CGTAGCGTCCACTTGGCTGCTTGTCACGCGCTGGCGTCTTCATATGCGAATCTTCGAAATACGGCGTACCCTCAGTAGAGCGGAACACCTCGGCTCTCCTGCGTTCGGGAGTCTTCGGCAGGGGAATCCTGCTGGGGTCTTCGACGGTCTTCGGAGTATCAGCCACTCGTTTCGCAATAGTCTGCCGAGTTCCGACGGCCCCCCGCTCGAGACCAAACGAGACTCTCAACCGACGCTTCCACTTGAGGATTTCGCGTGAAGCTCGGCTGGGGTCCCAATCGCCGAGTAGCAGGCTGTTGGGTCGGCTCGTGCACCGGAGCCCCATCGCCTTGAGTAGCAGCACCGTGTCTTCGACCAGTTGGTTGATGTCGGTGCTGTTCACCGGCTGAGTCAGCTCGGGCCCTAGCACCGGCCATCTCGCCTGAGCCATCGCCACTGGGGCAAACATCATCATCCACTCGCTCTGAGCTCGCATCTCCTCTCCGAGCCTGCCCAGAACCTTGTTCGCACTTGGCGTATCCGCATTCCTCGTCGCTCGCGGGATCAGGGGCGGACGTTCCCCTTGAGCGGCGGCTTGATCTTCGTCGTCCGTATCATTGCCGAGCTCGGCCGCCAGGTTGCACACAACAGGACGTGGGGTACCCATTCGTCCGACTTGCAGCGACAACTCGTCGACTTCGCCAAGTAGCTCGGCTTTCTCCTCATAATCATCCTCAACATCTTCCTCACTTTCTTGGTCTTGGGCATCCTCCTCATCGAACTGGACGGTGCGCGCCTCGTCCGCCGTCGCGTCCGTGATCATCGCATTCGCCGAGTCCGCCGAGTTGGTCAGTCCAGCCGAGTTACTTCCAACCGTCGCTGGACTCGGCGTAACAATTCCCTTGACCATCTTCACACTCTCTTCTCTTCTCTTCTTCTCAAACCTTGGTTAGCTGGTACCTACGAAACACAAGCACGCCCCTGTTCCCGGGTCGCGGCACCAGTTGTGGTATAGCAGTACACACAAAATCGTCAGTTGTGGTAACTTGACTACAAACACAACAATAGCCGAGCTGGTCGGCTTTGTTGGCCTGCGCCAGGTTGCCCCCGAGCGGTTCGGCCCAACCGGGACAGCGGGTGTCTCGCCTCTCGCCGAGATCTGCCAACCAAGATCACTCCTCCGGAGAACCGCCGAGTTCGACGGCCTCCGTTCACTCAACCCTGAGCCCTCCACCAAAGGATGGACGACGGCGTACGGAGCGCTTTTACAGGTCGCCGAGAGCAAAGGTTTCTCGACTCAGCAATCAGTGCCCGGGACGTACGGGAACACCGGCTCGCAGCGGTGGCGAGACTTTCCTTCGCGCTTGGCAAGACTCGCGCCCAACCCGGGCCGACCTTAATCTCTTGGTGCTGCCAGCCGAGTACCCTACAAGCTATGCCTCTCGGGTACCGGCAGCAGACATAATCCGGCCCCGTGCAGGGACTTACCGGAACGTGTACACATGCTTTAGGCCTAGAAAATTCTGCTCTGTTGTTTGTTATCTCTGTCGGGCGCCCTGAAGGGGCACCTCCACTATTCCTAAGCTCCAATACAAATACCAAATGAAAGTGGGCGGTTTTGGATCTCGGCCGACTCTTCGCTGAGCTTGGCGACGCCTGAGCTAGGCTGGTCCGGATGAGCTATCCGGACAATTCTTCGAACTCGGCTGAGCCGAATAAGGTGTCCGGATAAGCTGGTGAACTCGGCTGAGCTCGGCTGAGCTCGGCTACCGGTACAGTGTACCACTCCAGCCCAGTTGGTCGCGCGAAATCTGGTGTTTCCTACACCACATCACGCTGCTCCTGCCGCTGCTGCTCCACCTTCTCCTGCATGGGACGGCGGAGTAGCACTCGGGTCTCTTGGCGACGTCTGCGGGCGGCACGCGGCGGTGGGGGCTTCCTCCTGCTTGCTGCTGATTTTTTGTGTGTTCCGTATATTTGCGCTGTTTTTTAGCCAGTGAAATCTTGTTGTATTCGAGCGCGCTCGTTGTGCTCCCCTGTCAAATCGGATCACGGAAGAGCGCCCAAATCCCAACGAGCGCGCTCGCAGGCTTTTTGCTGCTCGCGCTCTTTCACGCGAGCAGCGCTCCTGCTCAGCTCGTGGGGTGCTTGCCTTTTACCGTGCGATCGCGCCCGCGACGACCAAATTCCGCCAGGCTATCCGGCGGTACATGAGGGGATCACGCAAATGGAGAATATGGAGAAGAGGGCTAAAGCTTCCCCACGTAACGCGATACCCACCGAAGCTTTGCAACAGGAGGGTTGGGCGCGAACGCTTTACGGTTGGTGCCAGAATGCTGAAGCGCTTGTTTGCGAGGCCTTTGCATTGCAGCTCCCAGGACAGTTGACTGTCCAAACGTCGAGGTTGTCATGGGCTCTGATCAGTGACTTCTTGTAGTTTATCAACGAATGTTTACAATATACTGTACCTCGACTGCTGCCACAAAGGGCGCACGCTTTTTGAAGGAGGCGGAAATACTGCCCGTTTGTGGTGAAGGTGAAGCAAGCCTTCGTGCAGCAGCAATGCCTCTACTTAGACTATAGTACTGCTGTACTTCCCCTCAAAGAGTTTCGTAGAGGAAACAACAGCAGATCAAGATTTCGAGTGGCATGGCTGCGGATTGCCCTTCCCAAGGTACATGTACTGTAGAGGAGGCCGGAGGTGAAGGTGTGACCGTGACCATCGCAATGATGCCGTCCTTCAACGCGACGACCACAAAGCTGCGACAAATCTACCGTAATCATCGTCCGTACTAATCGAGCCGCCAAGCGACCTTTGCAGGTGCAGGTGCAAGGCATTTGCACCTGCGTTTGCAATGCCGTGACCAAGCAATTGAGTTTGTCGACGCGGCAAGCTGCTCTCTTTCCTCCTTCTCCAGTCGCATATACTAATACGTTGTGGCTGACTCGGATATCGCACGGACGAACTGCTCTTGTTTAGCCGGTGTTGGGCACTGCAGCTATCGAGGCTAACCTCGACGGTTGAGCAACGGCACAAATTTCAGGTTGGATGCCACTTGCTTCGTAGGCACTGATCAGTCGAATGAGATCAAACTAACACTAAGCAAGGAAATGCTGTCGAAACAACGAAACAACGGGTACTTTATTTCAGCGAACGGGTAGCTCTGGCTGACTTCGACTAGCCACCCTAGCTTTACTGCGAAAACGTGAAGGAGTTGGAACCAGGGGAGGTCTTCTTGGCCTTGGTCGCCGGACCCACAACAGACGTCGGGGGCTTCGATCCCCTGGCCTCCACCGACACGCCGTTGTAAGACACCGTGTCCGGCTTGGCGTTCATCTTCGGGTCACTGCCGTCGTCCGACAGCGTCAACAGGCCGTAGTGGAACTCGTACGTCGACGGGAACTCCGTCACGGTCTTGTGCGTCGCCTCCAGCTCGAGCTCCTTGTCGCCCTGGCTGGTATAGAAGTCGAGCACCGAGCCGTTGCCCGATTTGGCGGCCGAAATGCCGATGCCGAAGTTGTACCACGTGCCAGGCACGAACTCCGTCTCCCACTTGGCGTCCCACGTGCCGTTGTTCAGGTAGATGATCTTGGCCGGGCTGGCCGTCGCGTCCACGCGGATCTCGAAGATGTGCGACTCGGGGAAGATCATCTGCCACGCGTACGGGTTCAGGAACGCCTCCTCCTTCATGACACTGGCGCGGAAGAACGTCGAGCCCTCCTTGTTGCCGGCAATGTTCTGCACCAGCTCGGAGCGACGGAAGTTGTTCTGCGTCTTGAAGATGGCCTTCGAGTCCACGGAGATGTCGATCACGCCCGTGTCGCCGTTGTAGGCCGGCTTGCGGCCGTCCTTGGCGATCGACACGTAGTCCGACACCTTGCCGTCCGTGCCGCTGTTGCGCATGGTCAGGATGTGGGTCAGGTACTTGTCCGTCAGCGTGTCGACGGTCAGGTCGTATCCGCGGCCGTCCCAGGGCAGCGGCTGGTCCGCAGCGGCGGCGGGGGCCGCGAGGTAGGCGGAGGCGAGCGCCGCCATGCCGACGATGGCCGAGGAGAGGACCATGTTGCTACTCGAGGGTGAGTGGGGGTGCGTCGCAGCGAGCAGATTGTCAAATGCCCCGCCGCCATTGCTCACGCGCGCTGAAGGTCCACCTTCAGCGGCTCAGGACCCACAAGCACGCCTCTCCGTCCCCATCCGATGAAATGTGCCCCAACGTCTCTATCCAAGAGATTGCTGTTGGCGAGCCCCGACCAGCCGCATGAAGCCGTTCGCCAAAGCCAGCTTTCGTGTGTGCCGATAGAGACCCGGCGGCAAATCCCAGGGCCCTGGCGAGCGAACAACAACATCGGACCGGACGTTCTCCGGAGGCGGCAACGCCTTGCCCCATCAGTCTCTACTGCTGCTACAGGACTTGCTCGACGACAGCCGAAGTATCCCCTTCTTGGCTGTGCGTGTATTCGACCCTCTCGAATCGACAGCGAGGTACGGCGCTTTCAACACAACCAAAGCGTGTCAGCTTACTGCGGAACTTGTTACTTATACTTACAGCATGAAGTTCACATAAGGTCTTCTGCCAGTTTCGTGCCGTCCTTCGAACTTGCGAACTTGCTGTGGCATAACTTTTCATTGAATTGTCCATTCTGAAATCTGATTGCACCCGCTAAATCTGCGCGATTGGGCTGAATTTATGTACTTCACGCTGGTCCGTGTAAATTTTGCAGAACTTCTTGTTATTGTTTTGAAAAGCTTGTTGATTTGGAGTGAGCTGCCAGTTTCCTGCCTCTTTTTGATAGCATTTTTGTATGCTATGCAAATCCTAGGAGGCTCATCACCGGAAATTGCATGTGACGCTGGAAAAATCTACCAATAGACTACGAGAGTTTAACAAGGAGAAGATGCTAATTGGCTAAAACAAGTAGGCACGGAACTGGTTGTAGGCACGCAACTGGCACCTTACCTTAACATTGAAGTTGTTATCAGTCAAGCGAATCGAACGGCACGGAAATGCACCCTCTCCTCCCTATTCTTCTTCGTTGAGGGCCCGCAGGCCGTAGCCCCTCTTGATAGGCTTGCAGACCGCGACAGGGGGACACGGCGCGCGGATGCACTGCACTTGCTCGAGCTGGCAGGTAGTGCCCGACAAGCAGAGCACCGCCGCGCACGGGTTGTAGCAGTACTGGGAGTTGTCGGCCGAGTTGATCTCGCAGACCTCGTTCTTGGAGCACTTCTTGGTGCACTTGTGCTCACAGTCAATAGGGATACACTTGGCAACACCCTTCTCCACCACGCACTTCTTGCCCTGGACACAGAGGAGGTTGCACACCGCAGCGTCTTGCGTGGCGTTGGCCGTAGCGGCGGCAAAGGCGATCAGCAGCACGGCGAAGCTTCCGAGTCCACGCATCCTGAGTTGAGAGTTGAGGGAGGGAGGGGGGTCTTCGCTTGGTCACGGAGAATTGGGAAATGGAGTGCCTCACCGACAGGCATGGAAAAGGGAAGCGAGACCCGAACTCACTGCTCGCATTCGTCCGAACAGCAAAACGGTCCGGCAAGAACTTTCGCTCGCGCTGTGTGTGTCCAGACAGAGCTGCTGATAAAAAATCAACTAATTGCGACCGGTATCCTTTTCGACACCTTTGGAAGTCCCCGTATTCGTTGTTGGTACACTGAAACGAACTACTTGGTATCGGCGGGTTCGAATGTAGGTCGTCGTTGCAGATTTCTTCTCCCTCAAGCGTACGCCTATTCGTGCTGCATTAGCAACCGCTGGCAGCACTGTTACCAAAAGCAAACGCTTCTCACTGCAGTGAATGAGTCGACTGCACCCAGGTTTGTTAGCTTTTTCCAGACGTGCTGCGTTCGTCGCATTTTGCACCCGTGCGTGCTGGTAATGGATGCATGCATCACTTCGCTTTGCGGACAGACTTTAACGAAGTTGCGGCTTAATCTCAAGTAAATCCCGGCGTTGCTGCGAGAAATTTGAAAATCGCCGGCACCTAGAGTAAGAGTTTACATAAACAGACACAATTCGAGTAGTAAGCAAATACAGCAGACTTGGCGTGTATCCGAGTAATGGAAATGTACCAGGTACTTAAGTATGAGCAGGGGGCTACTATCATTTGGTGTGTTTTACGCCGATACGCGCAGGCACTCAATTTCACTCCTCTTCTCAAAAAACCAACCTGGAGTACAACATCGCTCCGTTCGGCAAGGATTTTGTGCTAAACGAGGGCTTGAAAACGGCACAATGGCTACATTCCATTGAAAGTTATGAACAACAATCTTCCTCTACTCTTGCTCGTTCAGGGCCCTCAGACCGTAGCCCTTCTTGACCGGTTCAGGCTTGCAGACGGCGACAGGAGGACACGGCGCGCGGATGCACTGCACTTGCTCGACTTGGCAAGTGTAGCCCGACATGCAGCGCACCGTTGCGCATGGACTGAGGCAGTACTGGGAGTTGTCGGCCGAGTCGATCTGGCACTTCTCGTTCTTGGGGCACTTCTTGGTGCAAACGGGCTCGGCGGGGACGCACTTGGCAGTTCCATTCGCGACGACGCACTTCTTGCCGTGGACACAGTCGATGTTGCACACACCGCCCTCCTGCGTGGCATTGGCCGTAGCGGCGGCAACGGCGATCAGCAGCACGGCGAAGCTTCCGAGTCCGCGCATCTTGGGTCGTATTGAGAGGGGGGGGGTCTTCGCTTGGGCACGGAGAATTGGAAAGTGAAGCGTCCCTGCCGCGCCGCAAGAGCGAACCCACCTGCTCACATCCGTGCAAACAGCAAAACCGCCCAGCCGATAAGAAGTGTCGCTCATATGCGCCCCGACCTCTTCAACCAGAAGGCTGCAGCCTTTACCGTCGGTGGATCAACGCAGCCCACGTGTATTGCTTAGAAACGGGTTCACCTTTCTACCTGCATGCTAGTCGCTGTCCAGAGTTGTTGCCGCGTTGGCGCACGACGCCACCGGCGGGCACGGAGCTATGATGCATTGCACCTCTCGAAGCTCGCACGTGGAGCCTTCGGGGCAGCGGCCCTCGACGCACACGTCTGCGCAGTATTCGCTCTTGTCAGGCTCGTAGATTCGGCACTCTTGGAAGTCGCCGCACTCCTTGGTACACTTCGACGAAGTCTTGGGTCCAGCGACGCACGTCTGGATCGGCGGACACGGGGCACGAATGCAGGTCACCGTTTCCAGCACACAGATCTCTCCGGGTGCACAGGCAAGTGTGCAGCGCTTCGTGCTGCACTCGGCTGCATTAGCAACCGCTGGTAGCGCGACAAAAAACAGCGCTACAATAACTCGCCCGCTCATTCTTGGCTGCTGGTGTTCGCGTTGTGGAAATTCGGGAATGAGTGAAGAGGCGAGCCCAAGAAAACAAGTAACTTTTCGTTGCTTTTTCCATGATAGATGCTGTCTGAGTCCATCAATTTGGAAGAGGTGGCGCAAAAAACTTGGGACCCGTGCGTGTCAAAATCAGCGTGTTAAGCTGGGTACGGACAGACTTTCACGGTCGAAGGCGTTGCAGCCGCCCAATCGCGCCGACCGAGCGCAGCTTCAATCTTCTTCAAGCGCTTGATCATCGACTTCATCTGCACAGGTTTGGCTGGCAACGTCCAGCTAGGGGCTCTGTCTTGGAGCTGACTTGCATTCGCTTTCAGCACCGCGAGCTGCTGCAAGACCAGCAGCACCATCGCGCTCAGCTGCATCAGCTCGTTAGCCATGCCCTGCAACGACGCAGCGTGACACGCGAGCTCGAGCTGTTTTTCTTGAGACTCTTCGCTCTGCCGCTTCTGTGCTCGCTCTTGCTTCTTCATGAGCTTTTCGCGGATGATCAGCACCTTGAGCACTTTGACGCTGGCGTCCAGCACTTCGTCGTACTTCTCGCGGTGATGCCGCTTCTCGAGCGCCCATTTGGCTTGCTCGTACTCGAACTGCTCGTGATCGCACGCCACTTGTTGCAGAACGTCCTGCATGCGGCCTTCGAGTAATTCCAGCTTTTGTTGATAGGACTGCAATGCATCGTTGGGCACCGCACTTGTGGGGGCGGGACTTGCCTGCATTTCCTGTGCTTGGTTCTCTTCGAGCAGCATATCCAATCGGCTCTCCGCTTCATCTGCACGTTGGGTTTGCTCCCTCAACAAAGCTTCGCATTGCAAGGCGTACAGCTCGGTCGACTTCACACGTGCGGACAGATCCAAGACTTGCTGCTGCAGCTTTTCATCTTGGACTTGGATTTCTTCCGTGTCTGTGGCTGCGTCGCAGGACTGCGTTTGAACATCTGCTGCAGCTAACAGAGCTGAAAGCTCCGACACTTGCATTCGAAGCGAATAAACATCGCGCTGAGTCCTTTCGAGCTTCAGCGAGAAGCTGCTCATGCAGTCTTCGTAGATCACTGGACAAAGTGCGAATAAAAGTCAGCGTCAAACTGATCAAAAGAAGCGCAAGTTTTTGTAAGACTTACTCTGCTGTGCATTGGAGTCGTGTGCCAGTTGCTCTCGCTCCAACCTGTGCGCGACCTCGTCAGCTTGCATTCGGGCCATGCATTCCTCCTCAAAAGTGGTGAACGCCTCCATAAGATCTTGCTTCGCGACGAGACTCTGTTCCCGCCAAGAAACCAACGCGTCTTCCCACTGGACTAGCAATTCGTCCACCTTGTCCGGTATCAGTTGGGGCGTGGCCGCGTTGTTGTTATCCTCCTCTTCTGGCGACGTCCCAGTTGCAGCTGCAGCTGTGCGCAGCAGCAAACTCGCCGAGTCAGGAGACACAAAGTCGGCGATGACGTCTGTAACATCAAGGATTGTTCGGGCAAGGGTCTCTCGAACCGCACGGTTCTCTCGAGCCTGCCGCTCCACGTCGCGCTGCATCCAATCCAGCGCCTTGCGCATATCTTGCTCCACCGAGTCCATTTCCGGCTTGATCTTTTCCAAGACTTCAGCATCTCTTACTTCGGACTCCCCCTTTGCTGCTGCACCAACCAAAAAACACACACAGACAGCGTCAATACCAGCCCGACGATTCAGCTGTTCGCACGAAATTCGTACGTGTCTGGGGCGTCGAGCCTGACGCGAGCGACGTCCCAACGGAATTTTCTTCACCATCCGAGCTCTGCTGCTGCGGCGGCGGCTCCTCCTCCCAATCGACGCCCTCCTCTTCCTTATTATCATCTTCGCGCTCCACATGCTCGGGCGCCAGCATCACCGTGGGCGCCAAACGCCATGACTTCCCGCCGGGACTCTGGCCCACGCCATAGCGAGGGTGCCTCCTCTTCCTGGCGCTTTGGATGGCGGCCTGGAGCTGCTCCGCGGCCTGCTGCAGTCGCTGGGAGACCGCGGGGTCAGCTCGCATGATCAATAGTAGCGGTAGCGGCAGTGCGCACGAAGCGACGCGGCGGTTTTGATTTCTCGTCGCTGATTGGCCAGCAAAGTTGAAGCGGCGTTACCTCTGTAACCCAATATAATACCTGCGAAATAAAATACACACTGGCTCCTCAAACCCTATAAAGGTGGCGACTTTGTAATACCGCGCAACGATGTCGTCGGAGCTGCTCGAGCGCGTGGAGAAATGGGCGGCCGAGACGCCCACGAAGGTCCGTTGCCGCTGCATGACACCTCACCACGTAGCCAGGACGCGTGGCCACCTCTGTGCGAAGGCGCGATGCCCAGAGCTGCTCTGCAGCCACAGCAATCGCGTCTAGAGCGCCAGTGATCTGATTTTCCATTGGCAATCGGCTCTAACGCATTGTACTCGTGGGTTTGGCTGCTGCAGATAATGCTGTCGTTCGCGGACGACAAGGGCGTCGTCACGGCATCACTTACCTGCGCGGTATGCGGTCCTTCTCGTCGTCTAGAGCTTGCTAGAAGCCGAGCAACGACTTTGGGGCTTGTTATCTGATACTTTCGCTGTTACTCGCCACCTTTAGGAGCTTAACAAGCGCGTGCAGAACCTCGCGGGGCTCCTCGTCGCCTCCACACAGCAGCACAGCAAAGGGTTGGTGCTGGCCGCTGCTCTTTTAGTCACTAGAGACTGGAAAACTGACATTTTATCTTTTTAGGTTGGGGCTGAAGCAGGGAGACCGAGTGCTGCTGGTGTACCCCCCAGGACTGGACTTCATCGTGACCTTCTTGGCCTGTCTCAGGGCTGGAGTCGTGGCGGTGCCCGTGTACCCGCCTGACCCGCGCAAGATGAAGAAGGACATCAGCATGTTCGTGACCGTGACGCAGAACTGCCAGGCCAAGACGGCGCTGACGTGCTCGATGTACTACAACGTCAAGAAGATCTCGGCTATCAAAGAGAAGTTCACGTTCTCGGGCGCGGCGCAGTGGCCCGAGCACTTGTCCTGGGTCGTTACGGACGATTTGGTGGACGCCAAGGGGATCGACCCAGCCAAGCACTGGCTTACGCAGTCTCCGTCTGCTAACAGCACGGCGTTCTTGCAGTACACTTCGGGTTCCACGTCGGCCCCCAAGGGAGTGGTGCTCTCGCATGGCAACTTGAATCACAACCTGCGCACTATCAGCTCGGCGCTTCACGCCGGACGAGACACGGTGGTAGTGTCGTGGCTGCCGCAGTATCACGACATGGGTCTCATTGGCGCTTACCTGGGCACCATCTTCAACGGCGGAACAGGAGTGTACTTGTCTCCGTTCAGCTTTATCCGTGACCCCTGCTTGTGGCTTCGCCTGGTTTCCAAGCACTGCGCCACGCACCTGCAAGCGCCTAACTTCGCGTACTCGCTTCTTGCGAGGAAATCCGACCGCCTTACCGCTGGGCTCAGTAGCGGGGAGACTGTGGATCTCTCCAGCGTAAGGCATATAATCAATGGCGCGGAGCCTATTCAAGGCGAGGCCATGGACAACTTCCACCGTGCCTTCTCGCCCTTCGGACTGCCTGAGGGGGTCGTGAAGCCGACGTACGGCCTTGCAGAGCACACTGTGTACGTCTGTGGCGGGGGGAAGCAGCGGCTGTGGGTGGACAAGCAAGCGTTGGAGAGTGACCGCATCTTCCGAGTCGTTGAGAAGACTAGCGCAGCGGGGCTCGTAAAGGAGATGATCGGCTGCGGTGTGCCTTCGCGGAAGGACTACGGTATTGATGTTCGTATTGTCGACGCGGAGTCAGGACAGGAGAAGCCCGAAGGCGAGACCGGCGAGGTGTGGATCTCGAGTGCTTCCAAGGCGCAAGGTTACTACGGTGATGAGATGGGTGAGTTCTCCGCTGAGGCATTCCAGGCTAAAGTTGCTGGCGACGAGGACGGCAAAACGTACTTGAGAACTGGCGACCTGGGTGTGATATACAACGACGAGCTCTTCATCTGCGGCCGAATGAAGGACCTGGTGATCATTCGCGGCCGTAACCACTACCCTCAGGACCTGGAGGCCACAGCAGAGACTCACGAGGAGCTGCGACCAGGATGCTGCGCCGCGTTCTCGTACTCAAATGGTGGCAACGACGAGGAAGAAAAGCTGGCTGTGGTGGCGGAGCTGCGTGACCCTGCGATGACGAGCAAGGCCAGTCTGTGCGGCAAGATTCGCACTGCTATTGCACGAGAACACGGCGTCAAGGTGACTCTGGTCGTGCTGCTGGCGCCTCGTACAATCCCGAAGACGACAAGCGGCAAGATCTCGCGATCTCGGTGCAAAAAGGCACTGGAAGACAAGGCACTGGAAGAGCTCTACCGCAATGAAGATATGATTGCCGACGTCCCGGTCGAGGACGACGGAGGCGATGAAGCTGTGGCTGGCGAGACGATGGACCGAAATGTCAACGGCCCGCGTGTTGCCCCTACTGACGGGGGCGCTCCGAAGTCAAACCTGCCGTCAGTGATCACGGGGGTCCCTCCTGACCAAGTGCACGCGTTCTTGGTGAACGAACTTGCCCATACGCTTGGCGTCGAACCATCTCAAATCAACAACAACACGCCGCTGCAGGAGCTCGGTCTGGACTCGATGGCACTGACGCAGCTTCAAGGCGTGATCGCACAGAAGTATCAGGTGCATGTCGAGGAGGAGTTGCTGTATGGAGAGGGCACAACACTAGCGAGTCTCCATGCTGGACTATGCGGTGGTGCGTCGGGTAGCAGGTCAGGAGCAGGTGCGAACTCTGGAGGCGCCCCCAAGCAAAAGCTCTTCTGTGGATGCATCGCGTGCTAAGTACAGACGCTTAGCAAGGGAAGGATTCTAATGCACACGAGTTTTGCATGCTTAGACAGTCACATGCGTTGCAGTTTGTAGTGGTTTAGACGGAAATGTTTATTACAGGGATGGCACTTTGAACACGGGACGCACGGTATCGTAGCGATGCAAAATGCAGAGAACTGAGCTAACAGAGTCACGACAGCAACCAACTAACGATGGGTGGGATTCGTACAGCTTGCTCAGTCAATGTACTCGATAGAACTCGAGGAAGGTGGCAGGGCGAGTGGTGCCTTGCTCTCCACGCTCTCGGGGGGCTGCATCTGGTTGATGTAACGCTGCTGCTGCGCCGGGTGCACCTGTCCGGCGTACGCTTGCTGCTGCTCCATGATCTTCTTGCCCTCAATAAACATGGACCGGAGCAGCGCCTGCTGTGCTGCGATCTGCTCCTCCATCTTGGTGAACGACGTCGGCAGCGGCGTTATGTTCTGCACCTGGTCGGGCTCCTCCAGCAGCACGACGGCGTCTGTCGGCTCCTTGCGGCTCTTGACGTCCGACACCGAGTTGCTGCCACGGTCGCTCTGCGAACTGATGCTAGTGGACGCGCCCGATGCGTCGGAGTTGTGCCGCCGTCGGTCCCCTGATGTTTGCCGTCCGTTGCGCGCGGCGCCGATATCCAGAGTCCTGCTGCTGCCGGCCGACGTAAGTGTTACCAGCGACTGCTCCTTGGCTCCATCTGCAGGCTTCTCCCGGTTGATAGCAGACAGGACCTTGGTACTCCAACCAGCGTACGAAATGCCCGACTTGTCGCCGCTGGTGCCGCTGGTTCCCCCTAATGAGCTCGTAGACGAGGACGAGGACGCGAACGAGTGGTTCTGCTGCGAGGTCAGATCCCTATCGGCCGAGTGGTCCGACAGCGAGCCGCGAGCAGGAGGCATCTGGCCGTAGAACACTTCACTAGCACGAGACGCGTACGCCGAGGGCACGTTGTCGTCGAGGCCCTCGTCCGCCAGGTCGACACCGGCGCTCTTGGCTGCGAGTGCACTGCGGCGCTCCTGTCGGGCCTTGTTTATACACTTGAGGCAGAACTTTTCTACGCTGACGATGAAGCTGTTGCCCGTCTCGGGCAGCATACCGGTGGGCAGCTTGCTGGCCTGGATGCCGAGCTCGATGGTGCAGGCCCCGCACATGATCTCGGCGCACACGCGGCAGTGGTGGCGTGAGCGCAGCAGGTTGAAGCTCTTGAAGCACACGGAGCAGGCCGGGCGCTCGTTATTGGGCACCCACGCCTTGTCTGTGATCATACGGCTGCGCACCAGGAACTTGGCGTCCGCGGCCGTGGCGTGGTGGATGGCCACCGTGTAGAGCGTCGAGACCACGCGGTTCGCGAACCAGCTCGGCGTGTTGCGGTTGCTGTCGAAGCGGTCCTCGGAGAAGACTGACATGTCGACCTTGCCGCTGGACGTGTCCATGCTGCGGAAGAGCCAGACCCACATGCCCGTGGTGCGCGAGAAACCAAAGTTGCGCTCATGGCCGTCGCAGTCGGCCATGGAGACGCTCTGCTGGACCTTGACCAGCACTTTCTGTCCCTTGGCGTCCTCCATCGTCTTGGAGAACTCGACCACGAGCGTGTCGCGGCAGCTAAAGACCGAGTCCACGGAGCTCTGGAACGCGAGCCACTTGATGCCCATGAACTGGAACGGGTCGTCGCTCGACGCCTTCTCGTGCACCTGCAGCACGGCCGAGTCCAGGAAGCTGTCCTGGTAGCAGTGCGACATGTAGGCGCGCTCGTCCTCCGTGGTGGCGCAGTTGACGGCGTACTCGAGCTCCTCGAGCGACGTGTCGAGCTTGGCGCGCAGGATGGACTTGCGCTGGAGGTTGCTGGCGTCGGCCGCCTCCTTCTGGCGGTAGATGACGCAGTTCTTCTTCTCGAGGTGCGGCTTCCAGCTCTGGTTGCGGTACTGCGGGCTCAGGCTCGGGTTGTCCAGCCACGTGGCCGGCGAGTTGACCTGCGTCTCGGCGACGGCCTGCAGCTTGGTCTTGAGCGCCTCGAACTGCTCGGCCGACACGTTGGTGGTCGGCAGGTGCTCGTTGTCCAGCGGGAAGCGGAAGCTGTCGCCCGAGTCCTTGACGCGGATCACGCGGCCCGTGCGCATCCAGCTGGTGCCGCCGCGCGGCTGCTCCTCGTCGCCCCCGACGCCGGACTTGAAGCCGATGCCGACCCCCATGGGCACGGCCAGACCCGAGTTGCTGCTGGTGGAGCTGTGGCTGCCCATGCTACCGGAGGTGCCGGCGTAGGGCGCGCCGATGGTCGTGGAGATGCCCGAGCTCTGCGACGAGAGCGGCTGCAGGCCGCCGGGCGGCTGGAAGGCCGCGAACGTCGTGGCGCTGTTGCGCTGGCCGCGCTGCTGCGCCAGCAGGGACGAGCTCAAGCCGGCGCTGGACAGGGACGCGTTGCTCACGTGCGGGGAGGCGGCGTACGGCTCGCCGAGGTTGTGCGAGCTGCTGGCGCTCGAGAGCACGGGCCCGCCGCCGAGCCGCGCGCCCGTCGAGCGCTTGGTCGACTTGGCGCCCGGCACTTGGAACACGGTGAAGCCCACGCCGTTGCTCATGCTGCGCTGTCTGCTGTCTGCTGCGGGTGCCTGTAGACGCGAGGGGGCCGCTTCTCCTCCTGTTACGTGCGACGGCCGGCGTGCCTGCCTGGGTGCTGGGAGATCGAGTGTGGCCGCGCTGGCTGCGGTCGGCAAGTGGCATAGGGGGAGTCGGTCGCTCGAAGAAAGAGCCAGCCGGTGGGCCGAGGTCCGAGCGGCCCGGCTGTGCGCGCCAAGGCGAGCATTGGCGGATAATGGCCGATATTGGACCAATGATGAGCGGGTAGCTCCTCGAGGACCAACTTGGTACCGACCGGATTTAGCGGGCGAGGATTGCTGGCGCCGAAGAAGGCAGTAGGCCCACCATTGGCAGCTTAGTGCGCAGCCCAAAGGACAACAAGCGGTCAGTCTGCAGCTACCGGGGCGAACGAGCGGTCACTGCATGTGGGACCATAAAGTAAGGTCAAACAAAGAGGCCTAGATTCCCGAAACCTATCCCAACGCGGTGCCGTCGTTACAACGAAACCTGTTACAACTCTATATCGAATACGCTATATCGGACACATTAGCCTTGTTTGGAGCCGTCCTTGAGAATGAATACTCGTAAAAGCCGCTCGGCCTGACGACAGCCAATCAGCTCTGTCTCTGCTCGCATCGCCATCAGTGCAGAGACAGTGCGCCACGCTTGACGCGCGCCATCAGGAGATAAGGACCGAGGCGGAGACGCGGCCGCAGCTGGCCGAGGTCTGACCCCCGCGCGCTGCAGGCTGCAGTGCAGCCCGCAGCAGCCCGAGCACCGCACGCTCGCTCGCGTTGACGCGGGCGGTGGCGGTCGTGTTATCACGGCGGCGAAACCCGGCCGGTACGACACGACTGTACGGTAGCAGCGCCGTTCCCCCGGTGTAAAGGTGCTGGCGCTGATCTCGCCACGTTGTCCCGCGGCAAAGCGACTTGTGAGACAAGGACCGCGGTCACTGACGGAGACCTGGTGACAGCGAGTTGCTCCTCGCATTGACTCTGCACTGCTCCGCGATCTACGGGCAGGCTGCCCGTAGATCCCGTGGAGGGAGACTTGCCACCACTGCGACGCTGCTCGGCCTTTGAGGACATTTGCAGATCGATCACCAGCTTCGCACACGAAGAGGAAATACTGTATGTGAAGCCATTCAAAAGCGAGAGGACTCATCATGTACGAACGCCGATCTCTCGGCTCAAGGAATTCTGCTGCTAGAACGTTACCGCAAGCGTCCTGAAGACCATCAAGATGCAGTCGAGCAGCTCCAGCCTCCACCGCTGCCGTCACAAGCAGATTGCTCCGAATAGGAAGCCACGATTGAAAGCTGCAGCAATAGTAGCGGCAGGAAGGACGAGAAGGTCCTCTACCCACCGGAATATGGCACTACAAGGCTGTACATGTACGCTGGCAGCGTCGCTGCGTCTGCAAACAGAAGTGGCAAATTGGCTCTACGGCAGATGTCAAGCAGAAGACGAGACGTATCGTACATTCGGATCTCTGAGGAGGAAGGACGATGCCTCCGAACGGAATTCGCGATGAATAACAGCCAAGATAAGAGAAGAAACGATCTTCTGCAGACTAGTAAATGTATTTCAACTAGGCACTGTGGCTACTAATCGGTAAGACTCGACCAGAAGAGCTAGGAGCCTGCAGTTGTAGAGCACACACTCGCTTTGAACTAAAACCCAACGCTATGCACATCGACTTGCAAGACAACACCATGATCATTGTAAAGCAACTTGCTTATTGAATTCGACTCCAGGCTCTACTTGTGCATGTTGCCCATGAAGGGAGACTTGATGTCGTCGCCGCGGCCCCGACGCTGGTCACGCTGCTCGGCCTCGTAGAGCTTCGACACCGGTAGATGGATCAGCTGCTTGTACTGCGCAGGGGGAAAGAAGGCGTTCGTCAAAAGAGCTCATCAATAATACACTGAGTCAGAACATACCGCGAGAGTGCCGTAAACCATCAAGACGAAGCCCAGCAGCTCTAGCCTGCACCACAGCAGCCACACCAACCGATTCCAGTCAGAATGAATAACCACGATTGTAGTCTGCATCCACAACAAGAAATAAGCGTAAAGCCTACCAACTGTACGCAGTCCATTGCTCCCCGGGAGATGCCACGCCTTGCCACTGCACTACGTAGTAAACAAAGAGACTGAGCATCCAGACACCGAGTGTGCGCAATGTCTGCAAACAGAAGAAATCATTAACCGATGAGGAAAGTGACAACAACAGTTAAACAACATTTTGGAGCGAACCTCGGCAATGCTGCGCATGACGGCTGACAGGTGCTTGGTCACGTAGTTGCCCGTGACGTTGAGCGTGCCCACCGCAACGATGTAGGCCAGAATGACCATAATGAGTGTGGGCGAGTTCTTGACCTGCACGAACGAGTCGACAAAGTCCTCGTGCCATGTGCGAGCGAAAGCCGACCCCGTTGCAGGCGTCAGCGTCAGGATCGGTACTAAAATGATGTAGAAGACCAGTCCCCAGAGCCCCTCAAAGCCGACTAACAGCATCGGACTCACGTTCAGCGCCAGCATCATGTGCTCCTCGACGACAATCTGCAGCGCGCACAGGATCTGCGCCGCGATGATGAAAAACAGCCCCAGCACCGCGTTCGTTGACTCGGCATCGTCCGCAGCTGTAGCGTTCGAGTGGTGCCCTACACCGGCATATCCCACAAGGGCCACCGCCAGCATGACGATCCAGATGCAGGCGTAGTGGTAGCCGTAGAGCTTCTTGCCCATGAGTCGGACCGAGAAGAAGGCGCTGAAGATGATGATCGAGCCCCTCGCCATCTGATACACGGACGACGAGATCCACAGCAGCCCGACGTTGGACAGCACAGTCTGCAGCAGGTCCAGCAGCGACGGCAGTGCGATGGCCGCCATGGTGCGCAGCGACACGCGTCCCTGCTGGTCTTCCTCTCCTCCGAGCAGGCGAGGCGCCAGCAGCGGTGACTGCTCGTTGGCGTCCGCATTGCTGTGGTGGTTGTGCGACGGTCGGTACTTGCGCTTGAGCGCGTCCACCTTGTTCTCGGCGCCCGCGTGGGCCGCGTACTTGCGCTTGATGGCCGCCATCTCCTCTTCGGTCGGCGCGGTGGCCACGTACCTTCGTCCGCCCTTGTGCATCCGCAGCACGGGCGTCTCCAGGTACCGACGGTGCTGCGAGCACTTGCGCACGTACAGGAAGGCCAGGCACAGCGTCATGGCCACCTTCATCTGCAGCACGCCGAACCAGGGCTTGTCGAAGGGGCACAGCGTCGTCTGCGCGCCCGAGGCCGGGTCCACGCACGTGGCGGTGCCGTGCGAGCGCACGGCGTACTCGGTCTTCATGATGACGGTGCTGAAGGTGCCCGACACCAGCATGGCGGCGGCCGAGAGCGCGCCCTCGCGCTGCAGAGGCTCGCGCATGCTGCTGCTTCAGGGAGGATACGACGGTCGGTCGGGTGACCGCGCCCATTGGACGAGAGGGCGGCCGGGATCCGCCAATGAGGAGACCGCCCACTTCAACTTGGTCCGGTGCAACAGTCCTAGGACGGTCTCAAGCTCTGCCCGACATACTCGGACGGCTACATGCTCCCGTAGACGTTGGCTCGAGCCAGTGACAGCCGACATGTTGGTGCCGGGCGCTGATTGGTGGGTGATGGCTGCGAGTGCATCATTCATTAACCACGCGCCGATACACAGCGATCACTTTCTCATCTGCCGCACTTCCAGCAGGACGCCCAGCAAGCACCAGCAAGCAGCATGAGCAACTGCCTCGGAGTGGAGACCACCGCCGCCACCAGCACCGCGTCGGGCGACTCGTTCGTGGACGTGCTGTTCTTCCCGGACCCCGGCATGCCCTGCAAGAACTTCCACTCGGCCAAGGGCTGCACTCGCAAGAACTGCAAGTCCATCCACGACCAGGGCAGCTCGCTGCTCACCATGATCGGGTACCTCAAGGGCGCGAACAAGACCATGGACATCTGCGTCTTCACCATCACATGCGACGAAGTACGTGGCCGTTGCAGTGCCCGTACTAAGCGGAGGCTATGTGAGGCGAGCTGACAAGTGTTGCCTTTTACTGTAGATCGCGGAGGCCGTGCTGGACGCGCACGCTCGAGGTGTCAAGGTGCGGGTCATCACGGACGACGGACAGGCCAAGGGCAAAGGCTCCGACATCCAGAAGTTCATTGACGCTGTGCGTGGTCTTGAAGAGGAGTGGGAAACTACAGCATACCTTGACGTCTGACTGTTGTGCTGCTGAAACAGGGGATCCCCGTGCGCGACGACAACGCGCGCACCTACATGCACCACAAGGTGAGGTGGCTGTGTAAGTTTGATATGGTTGCTCTCACTTACGCTAACTGATGTCGTTGCGGTCTAGTTCTGCGTCATCGACAAGAAAATCTTGCTGAATGGTAAGTGCGCTGGCCGTGCATTTTGTCAACCATATTCCTGTGACTCTGACGGATGCTGCTGCAGGTTCCTTCAACTGGAGTCGGCAGGCCGTCGTTGGCAACGCCGAGAACCTCGTCATCCACAAAGATGGGCCCATCATCGGTAAGACCGTGGAGTGTTGTGCTCAACACCTTGGCCTGCACTCTAAACCCCACATGCGTTCCTTGCAGGCCGCTTTGATGAGCACTTTGCCCACCTGTAGCAGAAGTACGAGCGCTAGAAGTGGTAGCCGAGCGTTGTAAATGCAAGTATGTACTCTGTCGAGTTAGAAAACATGAACACTTGCCGTCTTTTAGACACTAAAAGCGATCGATCCACCCCCGGGCTACATTACCGCTTCATCCTGAGCGCCGCGCCTGTTGCGATGACTCCATCACCGCCTTGAGGAAGGCCAGGTTCTTCTCGTTCTCGATGCGGGCGAGCTCCAGCTTCTCTTGTCTGTCCGCCTCGCGCTGCTCGCGTCTGTCCCTCCTCTCCTCCTCCCTGGCCTGGCGTCTGTCCTCCATCTTGGTGTCCAGCGCCTCCCGCTGGAACTCGAGCTCCTCTCTCCTGAGCTGCAGCTCCTGCTGCTTGTACTCCAGCGTCTGCTCCAACACGTCTCGGATGGACGTCAACACCTGCTCCAGGCGGTAGTTGCCGCCAGCATCAATGGCGACGGGGGCGGGGACAGGAGCAGAGGCAGAGGCAGGAGCGCGCGGCCGCTTGCCCAGCACCGGGCGCCTCTCGGTCGGCGTTATCGTCGACGTCAACGGCGCCGCATTCGTCTCCGACCCCTGCTCACTTCCACTCGGCTCCGCCTGGCTGGCCATTCCCGCCTCCATCCCCGAGACGGTGTACTGCGGCGCGGGGTACTGCCTCTGCTGCCGCATCCCGCTGGTCAGCCGGGTGACCACCTCCTCGGGGATGTCCGGACAGCGCAGCACGTGGCGCATGAGGTTGATGGGGCGCGCATTGTTGACCTTGTCGCGGCAGTGGAGGCACTCCACGTCGGGGAGCCGCAACCGGTTCTGCGCAGTTGGTACCGGTAATGTACTGATCTAAGATCGCTCGCGCCTCCACCACACTTTGCTGCGTCAATCGCTGTTAACCATGCTGCGGAGCCTGCTGCGACGCTCGCCGTGCTCGGGCCGGGGACTGCTGCGCCCCGCGCGCTGCTTCTCGTCGCTGGCGGACGACGCGGAGCCGCGGCGCTTCCTGGAGGACCACCCGCGGCTGCGCATCGCGCTCGTGGGCCGCACCAACGTGGGCAAGAGCACGCTCTTCAACCGCCTGACCAAGACGCGCTCCGCCATCGTGCACAACGTGCCGGGCACGACGCGCGACCGCCGCTACGCGCGCGCGACGCTGGCGGGGCTGGAGCTGGACGTGGTGGACACCGGCGGCCTGGCCGACGCGCCGTCCGGGACGCTGGAGCAGGGCATGCTGGAGCAGACGCGGCGCGCCGTGCACGAGGCCGACCTCGTCTTCTTCCTGGTGGACGGCCGCCAGGGCGTGACCCACGTGGACACGCACTTCGCGCGCTGGCTGCGCAGAGAGAACACCAAGGCGCCCGTGCACCTCGTGGCCAACAAGCTGGAGGGCGACCCCGCGCGCTGGGAGAGCGAGCTCAACGACTGCTACCAGCTCGGCATGGGCGGCGCCATCCCGCTGTCCGCGGAGCACGGCGAAGGCCTCACGCTGCTGCTGGACGAGATCATCCCCGAGTACGAGAAGTTCGAGAAGCTCAAGGAGATGAAGGAGGCGCAGCTGAAGCAGGAGGAGGGAGAGCAGCAGCAAGAGGAGGAGGAGGACGATGATGTGAGTTGTTGCTGTGCGAGTATATTGACTCGAGCAATTGGATCGGTGCTGATACAACTGTTGTGTTATTGCTACTGTTTGCTATTGTAGCCGCGCACGATCAAGCTGGCGATTGTCGGCCGCCCGAATGTTGGCAAGTCGACGCTGCTCAACAAGATCGTACGCAACGACCGCGTGCTCACGGGCCCCGAGTACGTCGAGCAGTTAGTTTGGCTAGACACTGTGGATATCGCTAGCTGACAATGGTGATCGTGCTGTGTTGTTGCCAGGCCTGGTGTGACGCGTGACTCGGTGGAGGTGCCGTGGACGTTCCACGGACGACCCATCAAGCTTGTGGACACGGCGGGCATCCGACGATACAGCAAGCGCGACCACGATGACCAGATCGAGAACCTGTCGGTGCGCGACGCCTTCCGCGCGATCGACTCGGCTCAAGTTGTGGTTGTGGTGGTTGACATGAGCGAGCCCAAGCTCATCCACATGGATCTGACCATCGCTCAGCGCGTGATCGAAGAAGGCCGTGCACTGGTGCTCGCAGCCAACAAGAGCGATCTGGCTGGTGCTAACGTTGAGCTCGAGATGCAGCGTATCCAGGACGAGTTGCAGGACTCGCTCGCGCAGGTGCGTGGCGTGCCCGTGGTGCCTATTTCGGCGCTCACGGGCAATGGCATCAAGAAGCTGGTGCCGGAGGTGCTCAAGGCGTACGAGAAGTGGGACCTCCGCGTGACCACCGGCCGCCTGAACCGGTGGTTGAAGGCCATGGCGCGCCACCACCCGCCGCCGACGGTCAAGGGCAAGACGCTGAACGTCAAGTATGCGACGCAGGTCAAGTCCCGCCCGCCCACGTTCGCCGTGTTCGTCAGCAAGCCGTCCGACGTGCCCGAGGCGTACCAACGGTTCTTGCTGTCCCAGCTGCGCGAGGAGTTCGACATGGTGGGCGTGCCAGCCCGCCTGCTGCTGCGCGGCAACAAGGAGAACCCGTTCGAGAAGCGCAAGAAGTTCCAGCAGCGCACGAGCAGCGTGTTGTACGGCAAGCAGCGCCAGGAGCCCAAGGCCGCGGCTACGTCAGCACCAGCCGCCTCGTCGGACTCGAAGAGCAGCAAGAAGGCGAATCTGACCAGAAAGCAGAAGAAGGGCCACTTCACGCCTCGCCGCTTCAAGGGCAAGAAGTAGGCAACAACCAGATAGATAGAGCCACGCACACCATCCACACACATACACGCACTTTTGTCTATTGCCCCCACTTGGCGTTGCTTGACAGTTAGGCGTGGCCGGGGAAGCACTGCTCAAGGGTGAAGCCCTTGGCCGCGTGCTTGCTCTCAAAGTGGTCGTTCAGCTGCGTCTTCTGTTGGGCATCAAGGCAACAAGGCAACAAGGAGGTGAATATGGAGCAGGTTGAAGTGCAGCAATGGAGTTGAGCAGCACTCGACGTACGCTGGCCGTGATGAGGAACGTGGTCATGCAGATCTTGCACTTGAGCCCGGTGCGGTCCGCCTCCATCTTGGCCTTGGACTCGGCGTGGTTCTTGTGCTTCGCCTCCTTCATCTTCTTGGCGTTGTTGCGGTCGCGCTTAGCCGCCGACTTCTGGCCGTTGCCGCCGCCCATTGCTGCTGTGCTCTGCTGTGGTTGCTGTGAGACTTGCGCGCTGCGAGGCGACTTGGGGAATGAGTGATACAGGGACCAAAGCCTGCACGTCGCAGAGATACCCACCACGCGGCCACGTACGCGTGCGTGGGAACCGCTGCATAAACCTGCTCAGGGTCACTGGCCAATGCAAATGCAAGCAAGCAAGTGGCGGCAAGAACGGGATGAAAGCCTCACAAGGCAATTGCAACTGCGATGGACGAAGACAGCAAAAGACGCGTTCTCTCTTTGTTTATGGTTAAGGAGCTACAGCACACAAGAGGCAAGTTTCACCTAACTCTTCTCGCCGTACTGTGTGGAGGTCTCGCTACAGAGGATCCAACAGCTGCGCGTTGTGCTGATAAATGTATGTACGGAGTGATAGGAGCGTAGATTCACAGAATCTCTGGTTAGTGTGTTGCCATAATTTGCGGAGGGATGACCTGTCGGTGGCTTGGGAGACTGGTTAGACCTTGCCGGGGAAGCACTGCTCGATCGTGAAGCCCTTGGCCGAGTGCTTGCTCTCGTAGTGGTCGTTCAGCTGCGACTTCTGCTCACGTAAACACACACAGGCGGGCAGTTAGTCTAGTGCTAAACGGTTAGGTGGTGTTAAAGCGACAGGGGGCGGGCGTACGCTGGCCGTGATGAGGAACGTGGTCATGCAGATCTTGCACTTGATGCCGTTCTTGTCGGCCTCCATCTTGGCCTTGGACTCGGCGTGGTTTTTCTGCTTGGCGTCCTTCATCTTCTTGAGGTTGTTGCGCTCGCGCTTGGTCGCAGACTTCTGTCCGTTGCCGCCGCCCATGGTAGATGCTAAAGTGTCGGGGAGACTGCTCGCCTAAATGGAATGTGACGGATGGGTGGTCTCGTAGTAGCTACACCATTTACATCATTTTGGCGCAATCTTACACACAATTTAAACTTGCTTATAGTGCCATCTTTTGTGACCACTTTGTGGTGGACTATATTTTGAGAAGGGAGACCGTTAGACGCGAACCAAAATGGCTACACTTCATGCACTTGCACGGTATGCCGCTGCCCATGTGCTCCTGCTCGCTGCATAGCGCCCCGCGACGATCGCATTCTGCATCACTAAGCTCACGGTACTCTCTTAGTGACAATGAGACCAGCCACCACGACTTTTGCCTCGAGTTAGACGAATGCAAAGAGGAAGACGATGCATCGGCACTCGCTGTAAGCTCGCCACGCTATGAGGACGAATGCTCGGACGACGATGCAGTTGCAATGGAGCGGGAGGAGGCGGAGGCGGCTATCGCCACACTGCAGCTGCAGGTGCGCGCCTTGCGCAAGTACAAGACCAACTACGAGCTGCTGTGCGGCCAGCTGGGCGAGCTCAACGCGCAGATCGGCCTGCAGCTGCAGCGCCACGAGGCGGACGTGGCCGCTCTCCAGGCCTCGATCGCCGACCTGCAGACCGACAAGATCGCGCTCGAAGCGCAGGTGGCGGAGGCTCAGCAGGCACTGGAGGCGCAACGCGACGCGGCGACGCAGGACCGAGAGTACTCGGAGCACGTGCACCGACAGCTCGGCACAGCGGCGGAGCTGCTCAAGGCCACGGAGAATCGACTCGAGCAGCAAGAAGAGAGCTGTGCAGAGGAGATCGAGCGGCTGAGAGCGCAACTCGCTGAAGCTGATGACCAGCGGGCAGAGTCTCAAGAGTCAGTGAGGCGGTTAGAGAGCGAGATTGAGTCACTTCGAGCACATGAAGCTGATGCAAAAGAGCAGGAGAAGAGCAAGCACAAGAAGGAGCTCATGGCTCGTGCAGCGAAACTTCGAGCGCTGAGTGAAGAGTTAGAGGGGCAACGTTCAGCTGTGCGGGCCAGCAAGAAGCAGCTCGCGCAGGTTCAGGCAGACAACGACGCACTGCGCAAACAACTCGCCAACGTGAAACGCGACGGCGCTCACCTCACGGATATCATCGACAGCCAGCGTGTTGAGCATGAAACGCACGCAGATGAACTCGTTCAGGTCAAGAAAGTCAAGAAGCAGCTTGCCAAGCGCGTGACGGTATTGACTCGGGAGGTGGACCACCTCCAGAGCGAGCTGGCTGACACTCGAGAAGAACTCGTGCAGCGGAATGATGAGATCGAAAGCTGTCGAGTTGAGCTGAAAGGACTGCGGACTGAGTTACGACAAGCCACACAGGGACTGGGACTGGATAGCGCGCAGAGGCAGGTTGAAGCCTTCCAAAGAGGTGAGAATGAGCGGCTGACTAAGGTGAAGAAGGCTCAGGAGCAGGAGCAGCGAGCGAATCAAGAACGTCGGTATCGCATCGAGTTGAGTCGCATGCGCGAGCTTCTGACTGACAACCAAGTACGTGCTAGTGAGTCATCTAAGGACGTCCAGAAGCTGAGACGAGAGCTGCTGAGCGTTCAAAAGCTGCTGCATGGCTGCGCAGACGATCAAAATTCGACAGCAAAACCGATAGATCCGTGGGCTGAGCTCATGCAAAACAGCACCCTAATGGATAAAGTACGCGCGTTTGAAGCGTGAAGTGAGGAGATCTTAAAGTTATCACGCTCACTTGCTCTGCTTCTTCCTGCTGCCAGCGCTGGATGGTTTGACGAGTGCCTCGTAGCGCGTCTTGAGTTTGTCAAACTCTTGCCGCAGGAAGTCGTTTTCCTCCTGTAGATCCAACAACTCCTGGGTCATTGCGTTGGTGCTATCATCCATGACAGACTGCGCTGAACTATGCTGTAGCCGCTCGAGCTCAGCGATTCGCTCGTCCTTCTCGCGCATGCTTTCGCGAAAAGTTCTACGCAGCGTCTCCATTTCGTGTTTGAGTTGCTGTTGCTGTTGCTCTATCATGATCGCCGCAGGTGCAGGTGGCCCTACTTCAGTTGCGCTGTTGCCTCTCGCGCTCTTCCCTCCTGGCTTGGGAACCTTGCTTCCAGGTCTCCTCTAGCAGCAAAAACAACACGTTCAACATAATAATTAGCCGTGACAAAAACTAATGTACACTGTGTGTGCTGTGCGCTCGGCTCACAGGGATGCGTGATACGCTTTCGTCCCCGATCGGGGGTAGCACAGGAGACGGCGGAGTTGGTTGGGTCGAAGTAGGCAGCAGTGTTGCGGATTCGTCCTGCACACTTCGCAACTGTTTGTCCTTCTCTTCGAGTTGGGCTTTCAAGCCGCGAACAACCTCCGCTAAGCGCTCCTTCTCCGCCTATCATTCCCACCACAAGAAACACGTTAGGGTGAGCTTTATCATCAATGCTACGAACTAAAGTGATGAAACCACGTACTGCCATCGCGCGGTACTGCGAAGCTTCACTTGGTTGAGGCATCATCGTGTTCGACTGCACCGTTGCCCGGTCCCCACCTCGACTTTTGTGCTCAGCGACAATTTTACGAAGTCGCTCCAGCTCAGCGCGTTCATCGGCGTTAGCACTAGCCTTCATCCCGTCTGCAGTTCGCGCACGTCTCGCCTCGTGCAGTTTCGCCTTCCAAGCCTCGAGCTGACGCTGCAACGCGTCCACCAAGGCGTCGTCAGTGCGAGACTTTTCCACGAGAACTTGAAACTTGTTGCGCGTCTCCTGCTTCTCTCTGTCCAGGATCTGCGCGCGCGCCTTCAACGCGTCATATTTGCGAGTTAGGCGGTGGATTCGCTCCTGCAATTCATCTCGCTGGCTCGTGAGTTGGTCCAGGAGCTTCTGTCGGTGGATCTGCTGGCCCGATAGATCTTGTTGCGCTCGTTGATCAACGTCCAATACTGTCGTCGTATCCGCTGAGTCCTGGGAGGCGACTGAGGTAGTACCAGGCTTTACAGAGGCCAGCTGAGCCTGTAGCTTCTTCACCTTGGCTTTCAACATGATGATGTGCTGGGCGCGGCCTCGACGGCTTGCTCCACTCGCAGTGTTGTCCGTGTTACCGATGATGTCCTCTAGAGGCACGTCGTCGCCAACTTCTCGGACCAAGGCACGCTGGGTCTTCTTGAGTTCCTGCTGTAGTGAAGTGCTCTTCGACTTCAACTCCTCGCACAGCTTCTTCAAGGCGCCAGAATCGACGCCGGCAACACTGGAGGACGCATGCTCTTCTGGCTCCTGTGGTTGGTTGGCAGCATGATGACCATTTGCGCTCACTTTATCAGCAGCCGCTCGAGCCTGAAAGCGCTGGAGCTTCAGCTTGAGCGTGTCGACTTCATCTTCGAGCTTCTTGTTGGCAGCCTCGAAGGTTTTGCACTGCTTGACTGCATCAGCAGCTATTTGCTTCTCGTGCTGCAACGAGCGCTTCAGTGTACGCAATGTCTTGGCCTGGTGCACGATTTTCACGTCGCGGACGTCCTGAAAGCCAATTCAAGCAGTAACGAGCGGCGTTTAGCAACAAGAGGCTGAATAGGAAGTGAACTATAGTCATTGTGTTGCTTACGTGCTCAAGGATGTCCTTCTCCAGCAGAATGTCCTGAACCGCGTCAGCGTCCAGCCCTGGGACTGGGGCCTGCGCCTCCAACTGAATCTGCAGGCTATAGACCGGAATTAAACACAACAAGCTCAGCCGATGTGAAGCCCTATCTACATTGCACAAGTCCCACCAACGTACGCTTTGACCTGTTGACGAAGGTCGCGCGCTTCGGAAGTCAACGTCGCGTTGGCGTTAGTGAGTTCCTGGAGCTCTTGTACGTGATCCCATTGCACTTCCCCCTGGAAAGTTTGTCCTTGGTCCAGTTTGCCACTGCTAACAGTAGCCCCGCCATGGTCGTCTTCGTTATTGTTGTTACTGGGAATGCTATAGTGCCTTTTGTTCAGCGATGCTGTCGACTTGATCGCTGGTTCTTCATCGTCCGAGTCGGAGCTGCTGCTGTCGTCTTCGTCATCGAATCGAGGGACGACTAGCGGGGCCTATGACAAGACCCGGTAAGTTGCGGATTCAGCATAGTGGCGATCGCTCCAGTAGACAACGAACCTGCTGAGAAGGCACCCCTTGACGCCGCAGCGTGACGTCGATCAGCTTCTTGCCATCCGGGCGAACGTGTACACGAGTGCTCTCCACCTCCATTGGCACAGCAAGATCCCTAAGTGAACGAACGGGCTTGGAACTTCAGTACAGTTCGTCCCAAAATGCCAGTCCAACCGCCTGCTATATTTCGAGAGCAACAGCATCTTGATGTCTTCATTCACTAAATAGTCCACGCTATCGTACTACATTTCACACCAAACACTCCGTGGCGGACGACGAGAAATCCGTGCATACAGTCCACTATATGCGCGTTACCGCGTCTGCTTCCTGTGCTGCTCCTTTGCCTCTAGTGTGAAGTTTGCCAGTCCTTCAATGATATCGCAGGTTTTGGCGTTCGGCGCGGATCCTTTGCAAGTGACCGGCGCCACCGCAGCAGAAGTGGCTCGTGCTGTCCGCACCGGAACGGCATTCATCGTGGCAGTATCTCGTCGTACCCGCGTGACGCGATCGGTGACTTGCCGGAGACCAGCGAACAGGTCCTTCTCCTTGAAAAAGAGGCGAAGGCTCCGCATGCGGCTCGCGTCCACTGCCATCTCGCCAAAGCCTCGCACTTCCACCTTGGATCCATCGCCCTTAACACCTCGGAACTTGCCCGTGAACGGGCCCCAATGGCGCCACGAGAAATAGCATTGCGGCGGCTGGGTAAACACATCCAGGACCTCCATGGGGAACCCGTCCGGGAATGCTTCGGCCAGCTCCGCGCGCGGGTCCTGACTTTCGTCGCTGTCTCCCTGGTCTGCACCTGGACTTCTCTCAATGTCGCCTAGATACAGCATCCCCAGCATGTCGTTTTCGAGGATCGACGAGCCGGGGATTCGCGCGCCATCGTTCACCTGCATGTAGAAGGTGTCATGCCGCACGCTGTGCCACTGATCGTAGCGCGCCTTGTGCGTAGCCTCCATAATGAACGTCTGGCAGCACTCTTCCACGTACGAGGCGAGAGGAGTGGCGTCTGGCTCGCGCATCCGGCCTTTCACATACGCCAAGTCCATTAGAACGTACTCTGGAGCACCATATCGCCACTCGATGGCTTCTCCGTTCGCTGGTTCCTTCTTGATACGAGATGGCAGCTTGGCGCCCTTCGCTACCAACGCGTCCAGCTCCTGCTGCGCCTTCGCCATCCTGGACGCCGACGCGGTGAGCGCGGACCCTGCTACAGGCACAAACAGCAGCACGTTCCCAGCAGCATTGCTTCCTTGCGACTGGCCCGACGCTGTGGACGAGCACGAGTCCATTCGATTCAGGCGCGACGTCGGCCTCGACTGTGCAGGAACCTCCTTCTCTGAAGCTGATGTGGGCGAGCTTTCGGTGTACGAAGTGGGTGTTGACACTGCAGTGGCCTCGTCGTCGTCGGCCACGCGAGGCTTGCTCTGCAGCTTCCCGCCTGCATACACTCGAGGCATCTTGGCACTTGCGGGTTTCGTTGGGACTGGCTCACTAGTCTCATCAATCAGCAGCACAACGTCTCCAGGCGCTCTGTCGTCATCTCCGCGCTCGCTCGCAGACTTCCCTGAACTGGCAATTGAGTCCGCCGCCCGAAGCGCATCGTGCTCGTTCAGCGGCAGTAGCAGCCGCTTGTCCGAGGCCGAGGCCAATTTGCCAGGCTGACGCCCGTCGTGGCGCTTGGTCACCTGCACCTCTCGCAGCGCCTCGATCCACTGCACTGCCTTCTCCCCGCTCTCTGCGCCGAGCCGCAGCGTGATGCACTTGGACGCAGATCCGATCATGACCGAGAACACCTTGTCCCCTCCCCCGCCGCCTTCCTCGGACGAAGCATCGGCGCGCAACACGGTTCCCACCAGCACAGGGCTCAGGCCACTCGCCTTGGCGACGGAGTCACCGCCGTGCGGGTCCAGCGCGTGACCTGAGGCCAACCACAAGTTGAAGGAGGTCTCGTCCTTACAGGAATACAGCTCCGGGCTGCGGCGCGCTATGAAGTAGTAGCGCTTGTCCGCCACCTTGAGCAGTCCGCGCTTGATGGACAGGTAGCCGCTGAACCTGACGTCCACGGCCGCCTCGGGCCGCTGGTTGCTGACCGACATGAAGCTCGCGTTGGAGCTCATAGAGCCCGTGCGTCTTGAGCGGGTGCGTCGGCCGGCGCTGCTGGAGCTGCCTTGGCTGTGGCTGCTGGAGGACGAGCCGGACATGCAGATGGCCCGGTCGTCCGCGTGTCCGCTGCTGCTGTGATGGTGGTGATTGTGGTGGTTGTTGGGCCGCAGCGCCGCGGCGGCCGCGGCCGTGGAGCTGTTGGCCCGGGAGTTGGAGTGCGCTCTGGTTAGCATCCTCTGCTGGGCCCGCGGGCTCTCCGGCTTGTTCACGTTGGGCGCGCTGGCCGCGCGGCCCTGCGGCATAACCTTGGGGTGCGCGCGCAGCGCCGCCACGACGTCCGCGGCCTCTTCCGCCTGCGCGGAGGCCGTGGCCAGCGCGGCCAGCGCGTTGAGGCTGCCGGTCTTGCTGTTGAGGCCCCTGCTCTTCTTCGGAAAGTCGTCCTGGCCGTGGCGGCGCGCGTCGGCGGCCGGCGCCGGCGCGTCGTCCCGCCTGCGCGCGGGCTCGTCCTGGTGAGCCTCGTCGACACGGAAGCTGCGCTCGGCGACGTCGTCCCCCGGGCCGTCGTCGGCCATTCGGCTTGCGCGGCGGCCGCGCAGCCGATGCGCCAGCGCCTTCATCCCTGTATCGAGTCCCTCTACCTGTTGCCTAGTGACGCGGAAAGCGCAGTGGGCGGCGGCTTATGGCGTGCGGCGGCGGAGAGGGCCGTCGCTTCTCGTAATCTCGCTGACATAGGGAACATCTGCAACAGCTGCAGATGGAAGGTCCCTACCCTTGAGCGCAATGTGGCGCTGCCGAAAAAGGCAACTTCGAGGGCCCGACCGGCTCCTTCTTTCGCGTCCACACGAGGCAGGCCGCGGCCCGCAGAGCTCGCGGCGAGCTACGCAATGTAATGCGCTCGCGTCTGGCCCGAGCGCTGGCCTCCACGATTTGCAGCAGGAGAACGCTCCCGAGCTGTGAACCTACGGCGCTGCCCCCATCGTGCGCGCTCGATGCTTGAGGGCCCGAGGCTCAAGGGCTCAAGGCCAGAGGCGGCCAGGAAGGCTTTGCCCGTGCGGCATCCTTCAGAAATGGGGCGCTGGCCGTGAACATGCTGGCGGTGGCATTTCGATGGAACGACTCGAGCACGCTCGCGATCTGGTTGCCGTGCAAGGATAACGAATCGTGACGGCGGGCATTTCGGGGGGGGGGGGGGGGGGTGAATTCGTCCCCACGAAGTGTTCGTGTAATTTTCCACTTCATGACATACATGGCTGGAAGTCTCGAGTCCACAGCTCGACTTGATGTGGAGGTTTTGCTGGGCTAAGTTAATGTCCTCGCGCTTTGACTAGAAGTTGACTTTCCATGGTAAACACGCCGGATGAATACCACTCCATCGTGAATGCAAGCACAGCTGTTGACATCTGCTGCAACTCGGACACGGCGCGAGTCCACAGACTAAAAGGGTTTGTCAGCACCGCGAGTTGCCACACTGCAACACGTTGTGTTTTGATAAGCGGGTTTGTGCCATCATAACATGCCGGCACCTATCGTGGGGACGATGGCATCGTTCCCTTGCTGCTCGCTAACGTTGAGTTCAATCACACATGGTATCCGGTTCTCCATAGCAAAATTTATCGGCACACATGCCTGGATGAGTGCGCCTCCGCTTTCTACGCTGCCGCCTTCTGGGCGATTGGTTTCGCCGGCTGCCGCATCATGAGCAAGATCAGCGCCAGCAGTTTCTCGTACGTGACCAGGGAGATCGCGGCGGTGAGCACGGTTTGCAGCAGCTTGGCCTGCAGGCCGGCAAAGTAGCCGGCCACGCCTCTGTCGGCGTAAATCTGGGCGAGACACCCAGCCAAGCTGGAGGACCGAGCGGGGTTTTCTTGCGGCGACTTATGCTGCACTCGCATCAGCGACTGCGCGACCTGCAGCGGGTACGTGACCACGGTCGTGAACGACTTGGCCAACGCTCCGAGCACGAAGATATCCAAAGCAGAAAGCGCTGCCCCTGCCGGGCCAGCGGCGTGACGCTTCTTTTGAAGCGCAATCTTCATGCGCTCGTAGCTGACGTAGTGGATCACCGGGTTGGACACGAGCACCAGCGACGCCAGCGCGCCGTTCCATAGCGAGAGGAATCCTTCGTTCGCGGTGACCTTGCGCAAACAGTCTACATCATACACGTTCGAGTCAGCTAACCAGCAAGCTAAACTCACAAGAATACCCATGGAAGACACGCACCAATGACACCGGAGTACTTGGCGGCGTCCTTGGACTTGAGCCGCATGTTGGCGACCCACAACGGCGCACAAATGTAGACGTTGATAACGCCGGCGAGGCAGGACAGCGCGAGATTCTGCACAGGCGTGACATTGCCGCTCATCTGTCGATTCGGCTGCTGCAGCCGCTTCAAGAGCTGCGTCTTGAGTCCGTTGTAGCTGCACCACAACGGTCAGCATGGAATAAAACCCACACACCAGAAAACCACCCAGCTTAACGCACCAGAAGAAGTAAATGAAGTTCGATCCCCCAAGCGCGACCTGTGTGGACACGTGACCCTGGTACACCTGCCACTTCTTCCTCCTGAGGATCAGCAGCGCCTGCGCCCAGAAGTTCTTGGGGGCTCGCTTCACTGGCGGCTTGGCCTCCAGCTTCTTGTCCTGCTCCTGCTCCGGCTCCTCCTCCAGCTCGTTGGCCTCCACTGCCAGTCACATAACAACCCGGTGTCAATTCCTGCATCGTAGCCCAGTCCTGTGGAGCCTGGAGTCCAGCACTGCGTACCCTGCATGATGGTCTTGATCTGGTCCAGCGGGTACAGCAGCGCCATGGCCAGCATGCCGCCCTGCAGTAGGTAGCGCAGTAAGCACACAGGTCAGCAGGCAGACACGCAGGAACAGTAGACGCAGCAAGCGGCGCACGCACCGCGCTGCCGGCGATCCCGTGCGCGAGCGTCTCCATCGTCCAGGCGGGTGTCCGTCGAGTCCGATTGTGACGCGAGCTTCAAGGAGAGACCTTGACGTATGCATTTCCGTTAAAGTACGAATAATGGTTGAGGGGCGCGTTGACTTGAACAGACCAGCAGTAACGCGGTGCTACGTGCGACTGCGGAGAGGCTGCGCGACTGGTGCAAACGCCGTCGTTGGCCATTTTGGTGCGGACACCTTCAGGTTTGCATCGACTCGCGGCAGGAAGGGATCACTTCGGCTGGCCATCGCGCTGCGACGACACACCCTTTGGTTGCGGCGGTGGGGCACCTCTCGTCCCGTACTCTACCACTCGTAGACTGCGAGCAGTGGTGTCGAGTGGTTGCTACGGACCGGAGCCGTCTCGCACGCCAGCCACTCCAGTGACCGGAAGCCTGTTTCAACGCCGTCACCGCATCAACCGGTGCCTGCATCATCCAAGCGTAGCATGACGGCCAACCGCGGGACGACGTGCGCCAGGCGTGCGTCTCCCCGAAGTGGCGTGCTCGCTCGCCACCTTGCCTTTCATCCATCGCCAGACTCCACCGCGGAGGTTGGTGCTGCTGCTGTTGCTGCTGCTGATAAGACGCTGGCACGGTGATTCATGCAGAGCGAGCCTTTCCACCCACCGTTGGAAAAGCGCGGCAGCGAGTGTGAAGACTCTCGAGGCAAGTGCAGCCACCCGAAAGAAAGCCGAGAAGATCACCAAGTCGAGGCGAGCTCGACTGCGATTTGCAACTCTGACGCACATTTCACCACTCGCCACAGCTCACAATCAATACCCTGATAATTCAGCCTAACGATACAAACCCGTTTCCCCAACACCTCCACCATCACATACCCTCCCTCATACGCGCAACACCTTTGGCGGGATTGTAGAAACCTTGTGTGATCACTCGTCATCCTGGTCATGACCGCTAGACGTGCGCCAGTCTCCGATATCCTCCACCGCCCGCAGTTCGCTGCCTCCTCCCGTCGCCATGCTGGGCCGCGTGCTGAAGGAGGTGAAGCTGCCCTTCCCCGACGACTTCTTCCCGGAGATGGCGCCGTCCGCGCAGCTGGCCGCCGACCTGCAGCTCACTGCGTCGCGGCTGCTGGCGCAGACGCTGCAGGCCGAGTCGCCCGTGACGCGCTTCCACCCGAGCCAGCAGCCGGACCAGTGGAAGCTCGTCGGCGACCGCAACGGCCTGCAGCTCTACCGCGAGCGCGGCTTCGCTAAGGGAAATGCCGTGCGGGTGAACGCGCTGGGCCAGATGCCCGGCAGCCTGGAGGACGTGCTGCTGGGGCTCTACGCCGCCACCAACGGCGCGCTCAAGACGCAGCGCGCCATCATGCACGGCGACTTCCTGGACGCGGCCGTGCTGCACGTGCTGGAGGAGGATCCGCACAGTGAGGACGACACGGGCTTCTCCTTCCGCTTCGCGGGGCTCAAGTGGCTCGCCTGCGCCCCCACGGGCAAGCTGGTGCACAAGCGGGACCTGTGCTGGCACGAGGAGCTCGGACGCACGCAAGACGCCAACGGGGACGAGGTGGGCTATCTGGTCATGCAGTCGGTGAGGGTGGACGAGTGTCCGCCGTTCGAGCAGCAGGGACTCACCAGGTCCACCGCTTCGGTGTGCTACATCTTCCGCCCGCTCCCTAACAACCTCGTGGCGGTCTACATGAAGGGCCAGCACGCGGTCGGAGGCAAGTCAAGGGCCTGGAGCGCAGACTCCATCATGGCGGAGCTTTGGCTTGGCGTCGCTAGTGCGTTGGAATGCACCAAGGCCAAGCGACTGTCGAAGCTCGTGAGCGGCAAGGAGATGTTCGTCACCAGCGCACAGTACGTGGTCTCATTCTCGTAGATGTTGGCAATGCGTGATGCACCTTGAGCTAATGAGATTGTTGTCGCTTTTATAGGAGCAAAATGTGCGATATCTGCGACTCGAAGCTCAAGATGCTCAAGAGCAACCACAACTGCAAGATCTGCGGCAAGAACGTGTGCGACCGCTGTCGGATGACCAAGTTCATCTACCCGTCGCGCAACACGGGGAACTTCCCGTGCAGCTACTTCTTCTGCAAGCCGTGTCTGAACGATGCGAAGGAAAAGCTATACGGCCGCGGTGCCACGCGCGTGAGTTTCCACTCGGAAGATTCGTCGGGTCGGTCAGGGTCGAATCGCTCCGGGTCACCACGCTACGCGCGCGCTCCATCGACTGGCCGACCGGGACTCTCAATGATGTCGTCGTCATCTGACCCCACCCCGGGGCATCGTCAGCGAGCGCCGTCGCGTGACCAGGTTGGGTTGGCTACAATGCCACCATTCAGAGCTCGAGGAGGTCGACCGTTAAGCCCACGCAGCAGCTCTAGTAGCTACTACAATGCCCTTGCTACGACCTCGTCAGACCCGTCGATGTCTGTCTACAGCGCGTCTTCGATGAATGGAAATGGAATTGGCCACATAAACGACAAAATCAGCAGCTCTACTGGTGCTCAGAGTGTGAGAGTTTACCAGCCACCGTCGAGCCGACCATCAGGCCGGTCAGTCGAGAACCGCGCCGCTGCAAGTCCGTTCAAGATCCAGCGCTCCGGGAGCGATACGCTTCGTCGCAATGCAGCATCCAGAGCTTACTCGAGCAGTCGAATGCCAGCTCAACACATTATGGCTCTCCCGGCCAGTCAATCTTCCAGCGGCGGTATTTACACGGGGAATCAATCCATTGACAGCATGTACGATGTCGAAGGCGGAGAGACCTACCGCGGCCGTGGATTTATGAGCGATGACAGCGATATGAGCGAAGATTCATCGGATGAAGAGGACGTGCAAGTCACAAGCTACAGCAACCGGAGGCGGCAACCCGTTAACATTTACGACGTCGATGAAGGCAGCGTGGCCGAGATCAACCGAGATTCATACTCCAGCAGCGACCCGTCTGTTGAGCCCGAGCCGGTCGACGTGTTCGAGGAGGACAAGCTCAAGTACATCAACTCTTTTCGCTCTAACGATTGTGGCGTAGCGGGCTCTGCTGGCACGACAACTTCGTCAAACGGCTCAAGTGACCAGGAAAACCTCATGGAGCGACTCATGCAGATCAACATGGCAGCTGAGGCAACGTATTTGATGACCAAGTACAATTCCAACATCCAGGGAAACGCATCAAGATAAGACAGACACGGCGAGGCGCGGAAGCGAGATGAAGGGAAAGTATCCCTCTTGCACTTTATTAGCGCACGCATTTGTTCTAACTTATCCCTGAAACAAGCAGCAGTTCCTTAAGCCGCAGATTCTAGCATTTGCTCTAGTCGACAGGCTTCTTGCCGAGGTGTCTCAAGTAGGCCATTTGCCGGCGATACTCCATGATAGGAACGGCCGGGCTCCCGCCTGTACAACCAGAACAACAACGGTCAGCCCCGCTCTAAAACTATCGCGCAATGGCATTATCGTACCATAGGTGGCGTCCGACTTGAGGTGGTTCATCACGCCGCTCTTCGCAGCGATACGAACGTTGTCGCCGATCTGGAGGTGCTGCGCCACGCCAACCTGTCCGCCAATGTAGACGTTGTTGCCCAGCGTGGTGCTACCAGCGATGCCCGTCTGGGCCGCAATGACGCAGCCTGTTCCGAGCTGGACATTGTGGCCGATTTGAATCTGTTCATCAAGACACCGTTAGAGAGAGACGGCATTAGCGTGAGAGCACAGTATTTGCTCTGACCAGGTTGTCGAGCTTGCAGCCTTTGCCGATCACCGTGTTGCGCCAGCTCCCGCGATCAACCGCGCAGTTCGCACTATCAACCGTAGCAACCGATACACTCCGGTTAGCCCTCTCTCTCTCCTCGGTTCAGCATTCAACGTCACCGTGCGCACCCGATTTCGACGTGGTCGTGAATCTCAACGCTCAGCTCCTGGGGCTTCTTGGCGTGCTCGCCACTGGCGTCCAGCATGAACCCGAAGCCGTCCTGACCGATGCGAACGCCCGGGTGAACCACCACTTTGCTGCCAATGGTGCAGTTCTGCAGCGTCACGTTGGCGCCAATAGTGGTGTCGTCCCCGATGACCACGCCCTCCCCGACCGTGGTGAACGCGCCAATGCGACAGCGTTTGCCGATCTATTATAACGACAGTATCGCAAGCCACACACGCAAATATGCAGCAGACTGGTTAGTGGCCCAAAATCCATTGCTGTGACTGCCTTAGACGAGCAAGAGTGTGTCAAACCTTCGCGGAAGGGTGGATGGAAGTGTTGGGGAACGAATCGTTGCCATTCGACGGTGACGTCGAGAGCGCGCGAGCGGATTCCGACGCGCGCTTTGACAGTATAGAAGCTGCAGCGCCTCTGGTAGCTAATGCAGGCGACGGCACCGAGCACCGGCGCGCGCAGCGACCGGCAGCCTGCATGCGCACAGTCCACATTCTGCGCCACACACGATCGTCGTTGACAGCGATCTCAACTACCAAAAGTTACAGAGCGGCAGCAAAGTTACCGAGTATCATCCGGCATGGCTACACTCGAAGAGCTCAAGTACGTGGCACTGCTAGTAGTCTGCTACGCGAGACTCGCCAGTCTTCATCATTGCTGCGTGGGCAACGATCGCACTCTGACCAGCTCTGTGCGCCGTGACCGCCGCAACTTCCCGAAGCAGAGAAGTCTCGCAGCATCAATTCGTTCCAAGTCAGAGGGCGCTGCGTTCGATGAGTTGATGACACCAGCACTGCACTGCGGTCTTCCCTCCATCCCTCGCCCATGAGCTGAGCTGAGGCGCTTCAGCTTCCGCGCTCTCCACAATCCAAGTCGCAGCGCCCCGCTCAAGTGCACGCTCTACCGGCAACCATGGCGTCCAAGATGCTCAAGCTCTTCTCCCCGCTCACGCTCGGCGGCAAGAGGAGCCCGATCCAGCTGCAGCACCGCGTGATCATGGCGCCGCTCACGCGACTGCGCACGGGCGAGCAGGGCGTCCCCACTGACCTCGTGACCGAGTACTACTCGCAGCGCACCACGCCCGGCGGCCTGCTCATCGCAGAGGCCACCAACATCAGCCCCACGGCTCGCGGCTACTACGGATCCCCTGGACTGTACACCCGCGAGCAAGTGCAAGGCTGGAGGAAGGTCACGGACGCCGTGCACGCCAAGGAGGGCAAGATCTTCGTGCAGCTCTGGCACTCGGGCCGTGTGGGCCACAGTATGAACCAGCCGAACGGGGAGCACCCCGTGTCGTCATCTACGATTCAGCTGGACGACGGCGTGTCGTCTCCTGTTACGCGTGACGGCGTGAGACGCTCGTACAGCGTCCCGCGCGCCCTCGAGACGCACGAGATCTCGGGCATCGTGGCCGACTACAAGCGCGCGGCGGAGTACGCCATCGAGGCGGGCTTTGACGGGGTGGAGCTGCACGGCGCCAACGGATACCTGCTGGAGCAGTTCCTGTGCGACAGCGTCAACAACCGCACGGACGCGTACGGCGGCAGCATCGAGAACCGCGCGCGACTGACGCTCGAGACGCTCCAGGCCGTGCTGTCGAGTCTGGACTCGAGCCAAGTGGCCATCCGCGTGTCTCCCTTCGGTAACACGTTCGGCTGCACGGACTCGACCCCCGCAGAGACGTACAGCTACCTGATCAAGCAGTTGAAGCCGCTCGACCTGGCCTACCTGCACATTGTGGAGCCGCGCGGTCTCCATCCTACGGTGCAGAATGTGCCTGAGGGCGGCACTACGACGTTCACCCGCGCGCTGTACGACGGCGTTCTCATGACGTCGTCGGGCTACGACCGCGCCGAAGGTGTGAAGGTCACGGAGAGCGGCCTGGCCGACTGCGTGGCGTTCGGCCGCTCGTTCATCTCGAACCCGGACCTCGTGCGCCGACTGGAGCTCGACGCGCCTTGGAACGACTACGACTACCAGACGTTCTACCCGAATCCGACGCTGCCGGAGTCCGCGGGCTACACCGACTACCCGGCGCTCGAGCTGAAGGCGCGTCTTTGATAACTCGGGGAAACTGGAAACCCACCGATCGAAGTCTACGTAGTGGTGCCGTCTAGCTAATGCACAAGTAATAACGTCCATGTGCGCATATTCGACATGTTGCTTGGTTATCGGAGCTCTTGGCTTGACCAGCATGAAGACGTTGACGTCAACACGCACAGCTGCTTGGATGTGCTGCCCTCGCTTCAGTTCCCAAGTTGCAGTCTCCTCCGCAAGTGACCATCTCCAAGCAGCCATGTCCCCATCAACCCCGAAGCTATTCACTCCGCTGACGCTTGGCGGCAAGAAGAACCCCGTGCAGTTGCAGCACCGCGTGGTCATGGCGCCGCTCACTCGCCTGCGCACGGGGGAGGAGGGTGTGCCCAAGGATCTCGTGGCCGAATACTACGCGCAGCGCAGCACCCCCGGCGGCCTGATCATCGCAGAAGCCACCAACATCAGCCCCACCGCGCGCGGCTACTTCGGCGCTCCGGGATTGTTCACTGCTGAGCAGGTCGAGGGCTGGAAGAAGGTGACGCGCGCGGTGCACGCCAAAGGCGGCAAGATCTTCGTGCAGCTCTGGCACACGGGGCGCGTGGGTCACCCGTTGAACCAGCCGAACGAAGAGCTTCCCGTGTCGTCGTCTGCTGTCGGACTGGGCGACATCAAGACGTCGGCCGTCACGCGAGAGGGGAGACGCAAGTACGTCACGCCCCGCGCGCTGGAGACCCACGAGATCCCGGGCGTCGTCGCCGACTACAAGCGCGCAGCCGAGAATGCGATTGCCGCGGGATTTGACGGCGTCGAGCTGCACGGTGCAAACGGGTACCTGCTGGAGCAGTTCCTGTGTGACGGCGTGAACAAGCGCACCGACAGATACGGCGGCAGCATTGAGAACCGGGCCAGGTTGATGCTCGAGGCGCTGGACGCCGTGCTGTCGAGTCTGGACTCGAGCCAGGTGGCCATCCGCTTGTCGCCGTTTGGCGTCACCTTTGGCTGCACGGACTCGACGCCCGAGGAGACGTACGGCTACGTCCTGGAGAAGCTCAGCGGGCGGGACTTGGCCTACGTGCACATCGTGGAGCCTCGCGGTTTCCACTTTAGAGGGCCGCGCGTGCCCAAGGACGGCACAACGCCGTTCTGCCGCCCGCGCTACAACGGCGTGCTCATGACGTCGTCTGGATTCGACCGCGCGGAGAGCATTAAGGTGACGGAGAGCGGCGCCGCAGACTGCGTGGCATACGGCCGGCCCTTCATCTCCAACCCGGACTTTGTGCGCCGTCTTGAAGTCGGCGCGCCGTGGAACCCCTGGGACCGCAAAACGTTCTACATGCCTGCGAGCGGACCGCTCTCGCTCGGATACACAGACTACCCGACGCTGGAGAACAAGTCCTCGCTGTAGGTGGGCCATTGCTGCATTTAACTAGTGGACTGCAACCATCCGATTAAAATTCAGCCGTCCGTCCGTGGGACCAGATCACTCGTTCGTCTACAGCCTGAACGTTGAAGTTGAGTCGCTGTCGCTGCAACTAGATGCGAGTCCGCCAATTCCTACTGCGCTCTAGCTACGTGGCGCTAGAGCGCCGCTCTCACACCATACCCAGAAGCACCGCGCTGGTGTCCTACGGAGCTGTACCCATTAGTGCATTGCGAGCTCCTCGTGCATTGCGTTCCTCGACTGCCGACTGCTGAATTTCACTACGCGCCGCGAGCTTTCAGCAAGGATTTGAACAACTTCAACTACACAAGTAGCATCGCCCAGCACAGCACAGCCCAGCAACAACAGCAACATTATCATTGCGGACACTAGTATCAATTGCTGTCTGTTGTAGTGTAACCACGTCCATCTTGTCCTCCGCCGGTGTCTAGTTCCAGCGCGTCAATCCCACCGCATCCTTTCTGCGGCCAATCACTGCGGTCGCCCTTGGTCTCACTTGTCAATTCGCCAAGTGCCGCGCACACCAACGTCAGTGCCTTGAGCATGAGCAGCGGACGCAGCACCGAGGACCTGCGCGCGCGTCTGCAGTCTCTGCGCGCGTCGCGACAGTCGCCACAAGAACCAGTTCGGGACTGGGGCGACACGTTCCAGCTGGACGAGCTCGAGGAGCTGCAGTCGATGATGGAACAGGACGGAGGCGGCTACGTCAGCAGCAACGCCGAGGAGTACGACGCCGCACCGTCGTCCGGACTGCCAACTCCTGACGGCCCCGACGTCTGGCGGGACACGAGGCCCACCAGCCACTCGTACGTGGACGAACCGCACGCCAACCAGCCCATCGAGCGGCAGCTCTCGTATCGCCAGCCAGGCCTCAACCCGGCCGCGGAGGAGACGTACGAGGCAGCCTTCCGCCTCATCCAATTGGCCGCGGACGCGGAGCGCAGCGGCAGCCCCCTGCAGGCCATCCAGCTCTACACGGACGCGGGGGACGTGCTCATCAAAGTGGGCAAGAGGGAACCGGACCCGCTGCTGAAGCAGGGCATCCGGCAGAAGGCTAATGAGATCATGAAGCGCGCCGAGGAGCTGGACGAATGGTACTATTCGGTGCAGGAGAGCGCGCGCAAGGCGGCGCTGCCCCCACAGCTGCAGATCCAGAGGACTCAGGTGCCAAGAGTGCAGGAGGCGTGGCAGGGACGCAAGCCGACGCTGAGTCAAGCGCCGGAGTTCACGCACATGCGCTACACTGCCGTGTCGACGAAGGACCCCGTCAAGTTCTCGGACGACGGCTTCCAACTGCGCGTTGAGGAGGCCGGCAAGAAGATCCGCGTGTTTATCACCATCACTATGTACAACGAAGAAGGCAGCGAGCTGCAGGGGACGCTGAAAGGCATTGCGAGGAACCTGGAGTTCATGGCGGAGCAGTGGGGCGATCGCGCGTGGGAAAGCGTCGCTGTTGCGGTGGTGTCGGACGGTCGGACGAAGGCCAGCGCGTCCTGCTTGGACTTCTTGGCGGGGTTGGGGGCGTTCGACGAGGAGATCATGACGGTCACGAGCATGGGTGTCGATGTGCAGCTGCATTTGTTCGAAGCCACGGTGCAGCTTGTCCGTGACGACAACTTCGAGTCGTTCTATCCGCCGATCCAGCTCATCTACGCGCTTAAAGAGAACAATGCAGGCAAGCTGAACTCCCATCTGTGGTTCTTCAACGCCTTCTCGGAGCAGCTACTGCCGACGTACACGGTGCTCGTGGACGTCGGGACAATCCCCGGGCCTACCTCCATCTTCAAACTCATTCGCAGCATGGACCGCAACCCGCAGATCGGTGGCGTCGCTGGAGAAATCGCCGTCGACCACCCGAACTACTTCAATCCAGTCATCGCGGCGCAGCACTTTGAGTACAAGATCTCCAACATCATGGATAAATCTCTCGAGTCCGTGCTAGGCTTCATCAGTGTACTGCCTGGTGCGTTTTCGGCCTACCGGTACGAGGCCATCCGCGCGGAGAAAGGAGTGGGGCCGTTGCCTGAGTACTTCAAGAGCCTCACGACTTCGACGCGGGACCTGGGGCCGTTCAAGGGCAACATGTACCTCGCAGAAGACCGCATTTTGTGTTTCGAACTGTTGGCGAGGCGTGGTCGGAACTGGACGATGCACTACGTGAAGGACGCTATTGCACGCACCGACGTCCCTGAAACGTTGGTGGATTTGATCAAGCAGCGACGAAGGTGGCTCAATGGGAGCTTCTTCGCGGGATTGTTCGCGATCAGCAACTTCAGTCGCGTCTGGAAGGAGAGCGGCCACAGTTTATCGCGCAAGATCGTCCTCACGCTGCAGTTTATTTATTTGAGCGTGCAGAACGTGCTGAGTTGGTTCCTGCTGAGCAACCTGTTCCTCACGTTCTACTACGTGCTGACATTGACGCTGTACAGCAAGTATCCCGCGTTGTTGGCTATCGTATTGGGTATTTATCTTGCTATCGTGGGTGGAATCGTGGTGTTTGCTCTCGGTAATCGCCCTGAGAAGCGCACTGCAGCCTTCTACTCGTTCAGCTACGTGTTCATGGGTCTCGTCATGCTCGTGGTCTCGGTCATCTCCATCTACGGCCTGGTTGCGGACGTTAGCGTCACGGATCCGCGGGACGACCTCGCGTCGTGCAGCGTCTCGAACTTTGAGTTGGTGGGGGGAGTCGTCACGGCCATCGGCCTGGTCTTCGCTTCCGCCTTCATCCACGGCGAGTTCTCGGTACTGCTCAGCACGCTTCAGTACTACTTCATGCTGCCTACGTTCGTGGTACGGTCTGCTGCCTCTGCTAACCTTTGTTGTGAATTTGTTGTTAACTTTTACCCTTTCGTTGTTTGTCGCTGCAGAACATCCTGGGCATCTACGCTTACAGCAACTTGCACGACCTCAGCTGGGGCACGAAGGGGCTGGAGACAGCAGGCCACGGCGCAGCAAAAGTGGCTCAGGGCAATGGCAACCTGAAGGAGATCGTCGCGCAGCAGAAGCGCATCGAGGCCGAGAAGCAGCGCGCGGCCCAGGAGAAGGAGGACGTGGACAACAGCTTCCGGGCCTTCCGGTCGTCGCTGCTGCTCTTCTGGCTCGTGACCAACGCCGTGTGGATGTACTGCATGACGTACTTCGTGTCGAGCTCGTGCTACCTCAAGTTCATCTCGTACGTCGTGGCCGTCTTCAACGTCGTGCGCTTCTTCGGGTCCGCAGTGTTCCTGTGCTTCCGCATCGCCCGGCGACTAGGAACCTGCGGTGCCTCGCGTTCCGGTAAATCTGGCCGCAACTATCAAGCTCATTTGCCGGCCGAGTGGCAGGCGCACTACAAGCGCAGCAGCAACGCCACCACCGAGACCACAACAACGGGCAATGGCCAGCAAACCTACGTCGGCCTCAACATCTCGGACCTCAGCTCCCCCGCCGCTACCAACTACAGGAACATGGAAGAAGTGCGCTAACATTAAGCTTGGCTCAATACAACTCGCTAATAGCGGTCGTCTAACATTGCCTGTTGCAGTTGAGCTATATCATATTAACTTGTACGTGTATCCATGTAGTCGACTACCGAAATATATATATATATATATGTATGGCACACAAATTTGGTCACTACGTTTTTCGTCTCGATGCTGGACATGCTGCCTCCGCAGTGGCGCGACCCGATGCAGTGGGTCTTTGTGTGCGCGGCGTCGTTCGTGCGCGCCATCAGCTGCTTCATGCGCTACGCGGGGGTCGTCTGCGTCGCTGTCGGCATGGGTGCGCGCGCTCAGCGTGTCTCTCGGCTGTAAACAAATATGAAATTTCTGGTTGACGAGGTGTCCAATGCCAATTTTCTCAATTGTAGCGCTGATTTTCCTGGTCGGGGGCGTGTTCATGCACGCAATCATCCCCATTTTGACGGAGACGACGCTGCAGGTAGAACGGGGTGGAATTGGGTGTGTGGGCTATGGCAAGGATGTTGGTGTTTACCGTGTTTTTGTCGATTCAGTTGGTATGCCACTTGGCGGTGGCGATGGTGCTGCTCTTTAACATCTACTTTAACTACGCGCTGTGTATCGCCACGGACCCGGTAACAATTAGAGTTGCAATATTGGTGAGGTGGTGGATGCGTTCTACTCACTCTACCTATGTTTGTTCAGGGGGTTATTACGGCCAAGTGGAAGGACGAGGCGGATTTCTGGGACGTTGAGGCGGAGAACGGCAACAACGAGGGAGAAGAAGGAGAAGAAGACGAGGAAAGTGATCTGGAGCAGGGAGAAGATGGAAGTGAAGAGGAAAGCGCCGAGACGGAGCTGCTTCCGAGGATCCGACCGAGTGTGTTGACTCCTGACGGCAAGAAAGGAGGGGGTCGGGTGCAGTTGCCGCGGGTGCAGCTTGTGGACCCGCAGAGTGTCGCAAGACAGAGAGGCCGCTACCCGAACGCTGGGGATGGAATCACCTTCTGCAGGAGGTGTCGCCATTTTCGACCGCCTCGAGCTCACCACTGTTCGGTGTGCGACCGGTGCATCGCTCACTTGGACCACCACTGCCCGTGGGTCAACAACTGCATCGGACGCGACAACTACCGGGTACGAAGAGTGAAAGCCGTTGAACATTTTTACTGAGGCGGCGGTGATCTTACCTGGTTGGATTGTTGTTGTGTAGTATTTCTTCACCTTTCTGGTGTGGCTGGCGGTGGGATGCTACTACGCAGCCTACATGAGCTACAGGGCGGCCTACACGGACCTGAGCCGCGAACAATATGCCAAGGTAAGTCGATGGCCCTTTCCTTTTATGGGTTCCCCCTAGACTAATGTTTGGGGAACTGTCTATAGATGCTCGTGCTCGCTCAAGTGAATTCTCTTCACATTTCGGCCTCAAACACGCTTCAGTTCGCCTTCGCGATGTCTGGCGCCGCAGGCTTGGCTGTGAGCATCCTCGCAACGTGGCACATCTATCTCATTGCTACAGCACAGGTGAGATATTCGTTTATGCGCTGATAGTATTTTATCTGGATGCTGAACAGTACTTTTTTGTTGCTTAGACCTCGGTGGAGTTGCAGATCAATCGCCACCCGCGCAATCGCCGCCTCCATGGCGGAAAAGGGGTCAGCCCGTATACAACTGGCAGCATACACGGCAATTGGGAGCTAGTCTTCGGCCGGTGCAACTACAAGCTTATGTCGCTCATGCCGAGCACGCGCCTTCCGCCGAACCCGCGAACTCTCAACAAGAGGAAGCAGCGCGCCGCTGGCAGGGTAAAACCCGCTATCACCGCAGGATCTCGTTCTCCTGACGCCACGGTATAACTAATGAAGTGCAATTGAGCGATACACGTTTATGGATCCATTAGACAGGTGCCAGATAATCTAAGGCTGGCTGGTGCGGGTGAAGGTGTAGATGCAGTACACGTCGCTCATCTCGTTGAAGTGCAGAGCGAACAGTTCAGCCACGGCGTCGTTGCCCACGAGCGGGTTCGTCTTGTAGTCCTCGGGGACCTCCTCAACTTCGCAGGTGAAGCCGCGAGCCTCCATCGCCTCCTTGAACTCCACAAGCGAGTGCCGAGCCTGGGAAGCAACGTGCACGAACCGACCTTCGGTGGCCAGCATACCGTCCACCACGTTGACAAGCACCGGCACGATCTCCTGGTGATACACGAGGTCGGAGCCGAAGAGCACGTCGAACTTGTCGCTGTCGCAGCTGATCGGCCAGGTCTCGCGCTGAGCCCAGTCGATAGCCTCGACCTGAACGATGCCCTCCTCGCTCGCCTTGCTCTCCTTGAGAGCCTCCGCCTGCTCGCGCTGCGCACGAATGGCCTTGCAGTCGGGCTTGTGCTTCTTCCACGCCTTCTTCTGGCACTCGCGAGAGCAGTAGGCGACCGACCTGCAGCCGCCGCACGTCATCAGCTTGCCCTCCGGGTTGTCCGGAGTAAAACGCTGAACCGCGCCACACCGGCCGCAGCAGTCGAGCACGGGGGCCTCCTGCTTATCCTCATCGTCCGCTCCGGCCTTTTTGTCTGCAGACTTCTTGTTCAGCTCAATGTTGTGCTCGAGGTTCTGAATGGTGTGCGCGAACAAGTCGGACAGCACGACGCGCGCAGCGTTCGTGTACTTGTGCACAGCGAGGCCGCTGACGCCGCAGCCCGAGCCCAGCTCGCACACCTGCTTGCCGTTGAAGATGTCACGGTGGTCGATCACCCAGCGACTCAAGATGAGCGCCGCAGACCAGATGGACACGCCCGTGATGTCCTCCTCGGCAGTCGAGCCGAACGCGTCCTTGCTCCACTCCAGCGCCAGCTCCCTGGCGCGCAGCGTCGGCAGACCAGGGGCGAAGTTGAACTCCAGCACGGTCTCCTGCAGGACCTTGGGCGAGTTACTGTCCGACTCGTCTCCGTCCTCCTCCACCTCCTCCTTGATGGCGTCCTTGCCCATGCCCGTGCCCTCCGCCAGACGCTCCTCCGACGCCGAGCTGTGCTCCAGCAGCATGGCCACTGCACGAACAAACACATTCCATGGGTGAGCTTCAACACCTCCACCACCACAAAAGTCTAACGTAATATACAACGTACAGATCTCCGTGTCCTCGCACTGGAACGCCTCCGTGACACATCCACGGCCGAAGTTGTTGCGCGCCAGCACGTCCAGGTCCTTCACGCCGTCCACCAGCAGCTTCACCACCTCGCGGTGCTTGTTCTGCACGGCCCAGTCTGCAATAAAACAACAGCAATGAAATCAGCTTCAAATGACCATCATCTGCCTGCATCTAGCTGCATCTCACGTACGCAGAGGCAGGTTCCCGCTGGCGTTGGCCACGTGGCGCGCGCCGTTGTTCAGCAGTTCGCGCACGCACTCCACGTAGCCATTCGCACAAGCTGCAGCAATGCAATAGATAAAGCCCGATCAATTGCAACAGTGTCAGTGTCTAACCAATGTATTAGGGTGTGTCAAGTGTTGTTCATTGACGCACGCACCCATGTGCAGCGGCGTGTTGAGCGTCTCCGGCTGCACGAAGTTCACGGACGCATCTCTCTCGGCGCCGTCCACCGACTGCAGCAGCGTCTTAAGCTCCTCGTCGTCTCCGAAGCGCGCGCACTTGAGCACTTCCTCCGCCATGGCTGTCAAGTCTCTGCTAGCAGTTGAGGTTGTGATGAAGCTATGAGCCATCCGTCGCGCGGACCAATGAGGCGGCGAGGGGATTTGGGGTCAATACAGTGGATTTAATGACATTATGGCGATTATTCAAAACCTGATTCCCTGTGTTTACTGACTGGAAGTTGGGCTATGACGGATGTTGACAGGACCTTCTCGCTGAGTCGAAACTTCGCACAGAGTTTTGTATTCAAGATGAAGGCGGACGAAACGATTCTGCGAGGCGTGACGACATTCGCGGACTTGTCGTATCACTTCGTCATTTCGTGCAAGGCGGGGAAGATGAGTATTTTGCTGAAGGATCGGATGAGCAAGAGGCAATGGTAAGATGAGAGAAGCATGCCCCCCTGGCATTTCGTTGGGTGTTGATTATTGGCGTTGCATCGTCAGGAGCACGGGATACTTGTCCATGGAAGAGTACACAACACCGAGAAACAGCATCCAGGATGCATCCACTGAAGACTATGCCAAGGTACTAAGGGTAACTTGCGCCTTACTTGTTTCTTCCTCCTTTCAAGCGATTCTCAAGCAGCGTTTTATTGGCTACCAGCTTGTCGATGAGGTATTGGGGAATTCGATTGACCAGACGGGCGATTATTCAGACGCTTCAAGTATCGATCCCGGCAGCTCGGATGAATCTGGATCAAGCAGCGGCTCAAGCGATGAGTTCGATGCAAGTCAAGCTCGATCTGCTCAATTCATTCGCAAGTTGACGCCTCAGGAGAACGGCGGCTTAGAGCTAGAGCTCTCGGTGAATTCACAGTACTTCAGGCAACCTGGACGGTGTCTTACGTGTTTCAGCTGGAGCATATTTCGGTCGAGCGCATTCGCGCTCTGGAGGCGCGACTGCGTAATGCTGAAGATGAGCTGAAGGCGGCTCGAGTGCGTTCAACGCAGGAGACTGGTAATGGAATGATATACCTGGAGTGCACCTCAAGCGAGAACGCTGGAATGAACCGCAAGGGTCAGATCTGTTGGAGTATGATCGATGCAAATGGTTTCGAGCTCTCGGAGGGGAACTTCGAGATACGCTGCCTTGTGAACGGGTGGTACGTTTTGAGTCTAGCAGTGTTTTTGACGCCCACGACGACGTGGGGCTTGATTGAACTGCAGCTTAATGGGCAAGGTATCCGCCGCGACCGTGCAGTTCCCATTGCGGGGCAGCCCTGCAGTGCTTCCTGCGTTCGCAGCTCGCACCTGAAGAAGAATGACGTGCTGACTGTGGCTGTCGGTAGCGCTCTGAACATTGCGGCTGCACTCACTATTGTGCAACTCAGGGATTAACACCTGCAGCTCCTCATTCGAGGCATACATCGGCACTTCTCGTTCTATTGAAAAAAAATTCTCGGTAGTAAAGCTATCCACAACGTATTTCTTCATTTCTCTCCTCTATGCGCACCCTTGGGTCCACGAGCGTGACGGCTGAAGCCTTTTCAGCTTATTGCCACGTGATGGCAAGTCACACTCTTTGCCATGCTCGCACTCGTCGTCTCCAGCCTTCTCGGCTTCCGGTTGGGTCTCCACGTCGTTGAAGCAGTCGATATCGGACTCGCTGAATCGGTGCTGGGCCGGCGTCGATGTCTTTACCGTCCGAGCCGACGAAACCTCCACCATGGACCTGCGTAGCTGGTTGATCGCCCGGTGGGTCGACTCGCCGACGCAAAGTTGCTTGGCACGCGTGGTCAGCGCAGTACCCGCGCCGATTAGACCCGTCGACAGCGACGTAAGCCGCGGGCCCCAGCGACTCGTGCCGGTCATCGACTTCTTGTCTGGGCACGAGTTTCGCCACCGCGACGCTGAGCGACTGGGCTGGTCGCACCAGTCGTCGAAGTCGTCTTCGGCGTAGGCGAGAATGGACGCGCGCTCGCTGAAGCCGCGAGTTAGTGAGAGCGTGGGCGCCATCGTGACTCGAAGCAGGCAAAACGGAAAGTGAACCAGAGCTGTCAGCTCTCCTCGGCGCAGTCTACGAAACGGGGAAAAGTAGAACCCGGCGCTCCATTCATTCGTTTCCAGGACTGTTCACTAGAAATCAGCAGCGCAAGTAACGATGGAGATGGAGGAGGTGATGGCACACGAACGCTCGTAGTGGAAACAGCGCGCCCCTCAAAGTAACCGCGCGGTGGTGCACAATACCTCTGGCTGGCCCGAGTCGACCGCGTCATGACGGCAACTCGCGCTAGCCATTGATGCCGAGCCTGTTGGTCAGAGTTGAGACCCGGGCGAAAGCTGAGACTAGGTACCTGAGAAAATTAGCAGAGCTGAGAGCTGCGCGTCGTTGCATGAGAAACGGGCTCAAGCCCGAGAGTAGTGGTAAGAGCTGGGAGGCTCAGCCATTCACTACTAGTGGTGGCTCCAGGCCGTACGGACCAACAAGTGCACCATCCGAAAGAGCCAGTACCACCCACTGATCGAGGGCAAGCACAAGCAAGACCATGAGCTCCTTTGGACGGAGCCGACCTGAGTTCGCAGCAGGGTTCGAAGATCGCGCCGTTATATCTAGAGCTTTAAGGTTCATCATGTCGTCGGTGCCGAACGGGCATTTAACGGCCGAGCTGGCATCTCCGAGCCGCGCCGACACCGGTGTCTCTGTCGCCGAGAAAGCCGTGGCCCGCGATTCGTGGCTCCGCGTCACTGATGAGGCTGCTTCGTGCGCGCTGTCGTCGTTCTTGGGCTCACCGCGTGGCTCTCGGCGAGAGCTTGTCTGTCGTCTGGTCGTCGGCGCGCTTCAACATGGGTCGGTCGTGAAGCCATCTCGGTGCGAGATTCCCGCGACCTGCGCGCTAGTGGTGGAGCAATCATGGGCGAGTCTTGCTTGACGTCGTAGCTGGCGTGAAGACGGCTCTTCACAACGGAGCCCGGCGCTAAGGAAGACGGCGTGCTTCCAGTCAATTGTGCTGTGTGCTTTTCACAGCTTAGACGGTGCCAAACCCCACATCAGAGCGTGATAACAGGCGCTTGAGCCGTTATTGCTTGGCGTCGAAGATCGTTCGGCGAGCGTGCGGCGATCAAGAGCCTGTGGACGAACGTGTCGGTGCTAGAGCCTCCGGTGAACGGAACACGCTGGGCCCAAACTCAGGTCGGCCGCGCGCGCGGATGGATTGCTTTTGACGGAAGCTTACGGTACATGCAGCTTCAACTTGAAGGCTTTGCTTCGTACAAGACGTGCATGACTTTGACTCGCTTCCGATCAAATAAGAAACCGGGCTTGTCAAATCTGCAGCAGACAAGATAATGCCGACGACTCTGCTGCTCCTGTTGATGGCGCTTTCCCTTGCAGGAGGCGGCACTGGAGCGGGCCTCAATGTTACCGGGCAAGACGCTGCCATCACCAGCTTCCTTCGAGAGCGGGGGACCTGGCAGCCCATGTGCCTCTACACCTTCGCTGACCCAGACATCGGCAGCAGCAGTAACATCATCGCGAACCGAGTGCCCGGCGGTGCGTGTCCGTTCGAAGCCCTGCAGCCCGACAACGATCTCGTGTCAAGCTTGAACTCCGCCGCTTCTTTCTGGCAGCTCGGAGTTCACCTGGCCGAGGATCCGAATAACGCCACCACGCGCGTGCAGCTTTCATCGATCAGCTCCGTCTCGGCCCGTGAGTTCTTCACGATGGCGGCTGTAAGGAACGACTCCGTTAGCGGGTCAGGCGTGACGTTCGAGATGGTGATACGACGTCGCGCGAAGACCAACCGGGGCATGACGCTGTTCTCCATCGCCAACGAGTATGACGACTGCGTGGACTCTGGCTTTCGTCTGGATTTGAACGAGCACCAAGTGCTAGCGTTCATCTACTTCGTCCCTGTACTGGAGGAAGGGGGTGAAGCGGGAGTGGAAGCCTGCTACGAGCAGCGACTCTTTTCCGTAGACACTTCGGCCGCGTGCCAGCTACCGCCCCTTGTTGAGCCGGTGGAGCGTACTCCGGCCGTACAGATCGCTGTCACGCTAGACCCCTCAAGCGAAAGGGGTCATTGGGAAACCAGCTTCTACATGAGCTACACAGACGCGGATACGATGGAGAGAGTTGACTGTGCGGTGCATGACGAGCAACATCCGCCCAACTCGCAGGTGCTGAACAAACTCATTGAAGGTCGGTACCAGTTGTACTTGGGCAACAGTCGGCGCAACGTTAGTTCAGCGCGGAAACGGAAGCGGTTGGCTGCTGTTCGTGAATTTCAACTCGTGGGGAACTCAACCAGCTTGAACGCTACGGAACGGCTGCGTGCGATGCTTAAACAGAAGCTGACGAGCATCAGCGGGCCACGATTGCCTAAAGCGATGCGCATTTTTGGTGACAATTCACTCTCGCTGCACATCCTGGGGACCACTTTCTCTCCGTTGAATGAGGACACGCCACTTGCTTATCTGCGAAGCAAACTTGCAGATTTCAAGGAGCAATACGGCGACCAGATCGTCGACTACTTGGTGAATTTAGTGCAGAAGAAAGCGAGCAAGTCCGTGGTTGGGCAACGTAATGGAGATATCCTGACATCGACTGGTCAGAGTATTGACGAAGGTAGTACGTTCTCCAGATCCGCGCTGTATCAAGGTGCAGGTGGGGCGACATTTGATCTCTTCCACTTCGCCATTTATCGTCGAGTAGTGACGGAGGAGCAGGGCAACTCCATCACAAGGCAATTGCTATTGCCCTCCCGCCAGTTCCCGTCCAACCAGCAAACAGTGCGAATCCCCGAGGACTCAACAGTTCTGCTGAACCTCACCATGTTGCACGGAGTTTTTGATGATTTGCGTCTGGAGCTGCGTGGATTGCCCGAATTCGGTCACTTGCTGCTCTTCCCGAACCAAACTCTCGTGACAGCAGAAAATATGAATGCGTTTCGAGAACTGCCACTGGAATATCAGCACCGCATATTTTTCCGACCTGAACCAGACCAAAACAACGGAAATCTCCCGCTTCCGAACCCTGTCGCGTTCTCTCGGAGACTGCAACCGTATGCTACCGTGCGGTTTGGCATTGCTGATAGCTTGGCAGGGCGAGTTGTGAACAGGAGCTTGGATGGGAGAATTGACATTTTTGTGGATGCTGTGAACGACGCACCGCGCACTCGAAACGATGAGTTGGAAGTTTCAGTTAGAGTTGGCATTCCTGTTATTCTGAATCTGGAAGGTGACGATATCGATGGAACCCCTACAGCCTCATCATCGGATGAAGAGATTAGTGATGCAAGCGGGCTCTTGTCGAGCTTTGCTTTCACGAACGCCACAAACACCTCGATGGGCCACCAATTGCTGAAAATTGTACGAATGCCGAAGTTCGGGAAACTGTTCGATTGCAATACAACTTGCGAGACGATGAAGTTTGCTGGCGATGATGGCATCGAGTCTACTCGCGTTTATCGAAACAGCGTAGACATCGACGCTGCCACTCATTCTACCACGTTGGCGTACATTTATCACGGATGGGGGCAGGGGGATCTTGGGAAGAACGCGACTGGCTTGGTGGTTGATGAACTATGGTACAGATTATCCGATGGAGATCCTGGTATCTTTTCCGACGTTGGTGTCGTCAAGTTTGTGTTGGCGAGTGAAACGAGCGCTTCCGACGACAATGTGCTTGCAACTATTCGCATGAACGAAGACTCGATTCGATTATTGGATCTTGGTAAATTGGACCCGCTAGCACCATTCTTCAACTCCAGGACACGGTTTGAATTGACTGTTCTTCCTCGTCATGGCAACATTTTTCAGTTTAATGACGTCAACGAAAGTGACACAGCAGCAACACCAGAAAATGCGACCGGAAGCGTGCCACTCGAGAGCATTGGAGCACGCATCAAGCCTACAGGCACTATCGTTTCCGACCCACTTGGTCGAATTATCTACGTACCCAAACTCGATTATTCTAGTATAGATCCACGAGTTTCTTTTGCGCGAGACGATGACGGCGAATTCTTCGAATACAAAGTGCTTAACACTCCAGCAAACAACGATTCGCTAGTGGTTCAGGGAAAGTCGCCCGCGGCACTTTTCAGCAATGGATCGGTGGCACGGAGAGTGAAGCTGGTTGCTGTCAACGTACCTGATGGCTTGATTGTGCTACCGCCGTTCGCATTCAGTGCAAACTCTCCAAGTCTCGACACCGTGCCGGCCCCCGTAACTTTCAAAGACGTCGACAGCATCAACTCTGACCAACTGTATCAAGTGAATCTCGAAGCTACCGATGGCATATCTGAGTTAACGCTTGGCGTTGTCGTTACAGACGAAGATGTTATGGTGGGATGTCCGTATGAACGCCCGTGCGTACTCATCTGGAGCACGAATGGAACTCGCTTGAACACCAGCTCAAACAGCACTCGAGACTCGGAACTGAGTTTCCGCATCACTACACAGCTATACGACCCATCACATATCGAGCTGACCGGGACGATGGCTGTACTGAGCAAGGAACTTGCCGCTCTTGCATTCCGAGACCTGTCCGGGATTTCTTCAAACGTCGAGCATACATCGGGATTCAAACTGTGGGTCAAGCGTATTGGTGCTGGGGATGAAGGTGCGACCCCGACAATAGCCATATTCACTATCAAGTTTCCGGGCGATGCTACCAGTGTTTCGTCCTCTAGCGAGAATATGGTGCCGGCTTTGAATTCCCAGCTAGAGCGATACGTCTCGACGCTGCTTTTCCTACTAGCAGCCTGGCTAGTGTTGTCCATTGGCTCGTGCGTTTCATTTGAATTTTGCTGCTGCTGTTGCAGCCGCGCACGGAAGAAGAGGAGACGGAAATTTGAGCAAGAGCAACGGCGTTTTCGAGACCAAGTCGCGCAGAATGATTATGAATACTCGGTGCTGCTCATGAGTCTGGCGGATTTGATCTTGCAACCAGACTTGCTAGTCAGCCTATGCTTGTTAAAGAGTTGTGTGAGATCCACTGACCGTGTGAAGGAAACAGAAGTTCTGATGCAAGCATTTATCTTGCGAAGCCAGCTGCCTTTGTTGGAGAGTGAGCGTCAGGGAACTCGATTTGTCTTCAAGCTCATGGCTACGGAATACTCTGAAGGAATCGCAAGCTCCAAAGGGAGTGGATCGATCTTCCAGCGCCGAAAGTTTTTAGTGCGGCATAGTGCGGCTAGTATGGCGCTTGCTTGCTTCTGTCAACTGGCTGGTAGCAAGTGGATGTCGGAATTATTATCGCGCGGTGATGCAAGAAAAAGCTGTTCGGTAGATCCAGTCTCTGAGCTTGAGGCTCAGCTCGACAAGCTCACCCAACACATTGCAGCACTGCCTGTTGAGATCGTGATCTTGTGTCGAGCGTGTGCCAAGTTGTGTAGTGGAGAAGACGACAACCAAAACCGTGAAATGGAGTTGGATGCGGTGCACCTCGTCTTCTTCAACCACTTCATAGGTCCAGCGTTGCTATTCCCACGAGAGTGCGTGCCTGGATTGCACCCTTCGTTCGAGCAGGAGAAAGCAATGCGTATGATGGCAGTTCGAATAGCAGAATTCGCCGATGAATGGAGAACTTGTGGCAATATGGACGACACCCGATCTCGAAGCTACAGCACTGATAGTCTGCTTGGCACATTTTCAGCAGAGGTCGAGGCAATTGCTGCATGCCAACGCAAGTACAAGGAGGTGCTGGAGACTATTTCTTGGTCTTCAATAGTCGCCAGCTCTTACGACCCTAGCGAGCCAAAATCTGACGTCGACTGCGAGCTCATGGGCATGTGTCTTATGAACATCCACAGTTTGTTGGACAGCTACTTCCCCGAATTCCAAAGGACACTGCTCCGGGTGCAAACTTTATCGAACTCGGAGCAGACAGAAGCCACGATAGCCCGTATCACTCGCCTCCTGAAAGCATTGAGCTACCCACTCGCCAGCATCGATGAGCTCGTCGAGTATCTACGACCGGAGCTTATGAAGGACCCACTGCTCTGGAACGACTTCAGCTCTCAGGGATGGCACAACTACCATGAAAGTGAGCGCCACCTCCAACACCGCCACCAAATTCAAAGCATTAGTGACGAGAATCCTCAATCTCTCCTGGCAGAACACTTTGACGACGACAGCGACTTCATACTCGCGGAAGAAGACACATCCCCACGCGAAGTCGACTGGCTCAACACGTAAAGCAGATTCTGCTTGGTCTACAGTAGTTGAAGTTGATTTGATACCCGCAGCAAAATATATTCAAAAATATACTTGCACAAAATATACCAATTTTGGATGGACTTGTTCGGAGGTAGATACGATAGCATGGCGGACGCGCAGGAGGAGGTCGAGCATGTAGGCCCGCTGCTCACGGACCGCATGTCGCCGCTGTGCCTCAAGGCCGAGTACGTGGGCAACGTCAACGCCAACTTCATGCACGGCATCGAGTCGCTGAACGCGCGCTACGAGGCGCTGCGGCGCGTGCGCGGGGACGGCAACTGCTTCTTCCGGGGCTTCATCTTCGCGCTGTGCGAGCGGCTGCTGCCGTCCGATTCCGGGGGCGAAGACGCCAACGCGGCGCTGCGCGGACGCATCCAGCACAAGATCCAGCAGAGCAAGAGCGAGCTCGTGGCCATCGGCTACAGCGACGTGGCCATCGACGCCTTCTGGGAGACGTTCGTGGACTACCTGGCCGCCATGGAGACGCGCACGCACGCCGAGCTGGTGCAGGACTTCCAGACGGAGGGGGGCGAGTCCGAGTACCTCGTCTGGTACATGCGCCTGCTCACGGCGGGCTACATGAAGCAGCACGCAGAGACCTTCCAGCCCTTCATCGACGGGCTCTACCCGGGCCAGACGGTCGCGCAGTTCTGCGCCGCCGAGGTGAGAGGGGCTAGTGGTCTTATGAGAGCTGGGAGGAGAGCTGATACGCTGTTGCTATTGCTGGTTGCTAGGTGGAGCCGATGGGGAAGGAGTGCGACCAGCCGCAGATTGCGGCGCTCACGGAGGCGCTGCAGGTGGGCGTCAAGATCGAGTACCTGGACGGAAGTGCTGGCCCGGGCCAGGATCTGCAGAGCTACGTGTGCTCACCGACAGTGCCGGCGACGGAGCAACAGGAGCCCGTACCGATCACGCTGCTGTATCGGCCTGGACACTACGACATTCTGTACCCGAGGGAGGCTGGAGCAGAGCAGGAGAAGGCGTCCTAATGCCACACGACGGGAGCTGCACACTATAGCCGTTTTTGTTGCATCTCTGCCTCATATTTCTCTCACTCATAGACGAGATGCATCTGGAACTGCAAAGGCTCTACTTGGTCTTGTTGGCGATCGCCACGTCCTCGGCCGCCACGGAGTGCGCCGCGCTGCACAGCTGCGCAACGTTGATGAAGTTCTTGCACACGCAGGCGGGTAGGCACACGTAGTAGCACAGCTGCACGAATCGACAACAACACACGATGAGTCGATGGGTCAGCACCCGCAACAAAAAAGCCCCCAATAAGAGCAGAGAGTCCGCACCTGCATGACGGGCACGTTGATGTACGGGATGAGCAGCGTGGGGTCGAAGTAGAGCACGTAGAGCAGGATGTAGAACAGCTCGGTGCCCACGCAGCAGAAGCCGAAGAACGGGTAGCAGCCGTAGTAGAAGCGCAGCAGGAAGTTGCGCTCGGCGGCCACAATCTTGTGGTGGCCGCGCGACGAGTACATGTGGTACCAGTGGCTGGAGAAGTCGAGGATCAGCAGGTACATGAAGGCCACCATGTACTGCGGGTACAGGTGGGACAGCACCACGAGCAGCCCCGCCGTCGAGCAGCGGTCCGTGACCATGTCCAGCACAGCACCGAACGTCGAGCCTGCGAATAGCAGCAGCAGTAGCACACACGCAGAGTCAGAGGGTAGAGCATTCTACCTCGTTACTGGTAGAACGGGACACACATTGGTCGCAGAGCCGCGCGAAGAAGCCGTCGAAGTAGTCGCACGTGAAGCTCAGCGCGTAACACAGCACGCTGGCCTTGTAGTCCGTGAGCGCCACCGCCAGGCTGTAGAGCGACAGCACTACGCGCGTGTAGCCGATGAGGTTGGGCACGTAGAAGAAGACGCCCGTCACGGAGCGCTGCTTGGTCTGCTCGGCCATCGTTTGCGCCGCCTTCGCCTTGTTCCGCCGCCTTGACCTTCTCTGGAATGAGCCTCCAAGACCTCCCCCTGTTTCTAAAGTTGCATGAAAAGTTGCCCTCATCGTGATAAGTTGCGAAAACGTTGCGGGTAAGCAACGTAGCGAAAACGTTGCTAATGAGTGTTGGTAGTCGGCGTACGTGACCCCATCACAACTGCACTATCATCCCCGATGGCGGACGCGTCACCTCTTCCAGCGGAGCTCTTCCGCCTGTACCCGGACGCGCTGCGCGACTCGCATGCCGCGGCCTACGCGCTGCTGGTCGTGGCACCGCTGACGGCGCTGGCGTCGCGTCTGCTGCTGTACCGCGGCAAGAGCACGACGCCCCTGCAGGTCTACCTTGTGTCGCTGGCGGTGCCGACGCTCGCAGTGCTGTTTCCCTACGTAAGTACGCGTACGATTGGCTCAGTATTGCGGTAAGGTTGGAGGTCTCACGCGCGTGTATTGACGGGTGCTGCAGTGGTATTGGCCCGAGGAGAACAACGTCTACAGGATGTTGCAGGTGCGTCTGTCTAGGCTTGTCGATGCACTTGATTGACTGGCGTGTACTAAGTAATTATTGCAAATGCTGTGCCACCTTGCCGACGCCCAGATGAGTCGAGCAGAGTCGCGGTACCAGTGGTCGCAGAAGTACGCCTTCTTCCGGAAGCATTTCCAGGCGGGCCACATGTCGGCCGAGGCCTGGAACACGATCGACACGGCCTACGACGTACGTTGCTCACTGGTTTAGTCCGAGTTGTACAAATTAGTGTTGATGGGGCCAATTGGGTTTTTTCGTTGACGGCTGGACAGAACATTTACAACGAGAAATCGCGCTTCCTGTACGACTTCTGGGGCCCCGGCCAGGAGGAAATGTCGGTGTACGAGACGCAAATCAACGTCGGACTCTTCTACGTGCTCTGGATCGCCATCATGTACGTTCAGAGCGGTGTGGTCGAGCTACAGTCGACATGGTGTTACGCTTGACGCTAACTTGTGTTGCTGCTGATTTGGGGTTGGACCCAAAGCTATGCTGTCACGACGCCGAAGGCGGCCCAAGCTGCGAGCAAGATTTCTTTCGTGGCACTCATGGCTGTAGGTGGCAATTCAGCATTCGATGACCATATATGTCTATAGTCTAACGCTTTCTGTTTGCCTGGTAGCTTCTTGCCATCGAGATGACGGTGCGGTTGACCCGCTACGACCCGGTCATCACTGAAATCGCTCCGTTCACAACTCCGCGCGAGTATTTGCTGTGGGGCCACCGGTTCTTCCCAATTGTCGTGTTTACCGTGGTTATGATCAAGAAGGTGTTTTACGTGGATATGGAGAAGCACCACCAGCGCGTGCTGATTCACATGCTGGAGAAGAATATGGTACGTGCGCACTTCACTTCTCGCGAGAGGTTGCACACTAGATCCGTACTAATTAATCTTCACGGTCATGTCATGATTTCGCCAGGAAACGGTGGCGGAATTGCTAGAGGTGGGGAAAGAGCTGATGCCCGAGGCCGCGACTTCGAACAAGACTCCGAAAAAGTAGACTTCCCCGCTCCGATAGACCAGATCCCATGTTTTGACTCGTGACGTGTTGTGCGGCTAGTCCATTGCGCCGAGTTGTCCATACAAAAACAAAAACCCTCAGCTTTCACTTGGCCTCGTGTGCTTTATGTGGTGATTATCAGACCGATGCTGAGTTCGTCTTGTCTCTTGGGCTGGCAATTGGTGGCGGCGGTGGCCGTCATGAAAGGTGCGCCAAGAAACGTAAAACCATGCGGCACGATTGAGCGCTCCGGGCACCAAGACATGCAAACCGATTGCCGCCGATCCACGAGCAAACTGTCCCTCAAAACTGTCCAGCGATACAGCAGCATTTTTCCAGGCTTCCGTTTGATTTGCAAAGCGTCCGAACGCGAATGCTCTACGGGAGGCGATCGGTATGCTTGTGGTCTTGATGCGGCCTTGCCGATGTACAGTTGGGCCTTGGATGCTTACTCCGCGGGTTTTAGTCAATGCATCCATCAAAGCGGTGATCTTGCTGGCGGGCTGCTACGTTAGCGCCTTCGCTTTGTCCCCACGCTTGCATAAAAGGCAACTTCGACGTCTGCTTGGTGCGGATAGACAGCCTTCAGCTTGCGTCTTGGCCAGCGATCCAGGCTTGCGCCGCCCCTGCTCACCGGTCGACACGCTGCATACCAATGCTGCCGCGCTCAGCGCGCTCCTCTCGTCGTTCTCGCTCGCTCTCCATCGCAACTCTCACTTTCCAATATCCTCTGTTCAAGCCACAAGCTACAGCAGCCAAGATGCCTTCGGACGCCTTCAACGAGAAGCACGAGCTCGGCTACGTCGACCTGGAAGCTCACGATGGCCACTCCACCACTACGGGCACGCACGTCCTCCTCGAGGAAGTGGCCGTTGTTCCGTACCAAGTCAAGAGCCAATTCGCCAAGGAGATGATGGCCGAGTTCCTCGCCACCTTCATCTGCATGCTCTTCGGCCTGTCGTGCATGGCCCAAGTCACTCTGAGCGGAGGAAGCGCCGGCAGCTTCGTGACCATCGCATTGGCCTGGGGGTTCGCCTACTTCATCGGCATCTCGATCGGTGGCGGCGTATCTGGCGCCCACCTGAACCCAACGGTGACCGTGACGCTCGCTCTGCTCAAGATGCTGCCGTGGAAGAAGGTGCCGTTCTACATCCTCATTCAGACTGTCGCCGCCTACGTCTCGGCCCTGGTGGTCTACATCGTGTATCGTCCGCTGTTTAATGAGGTGGACCCGGACCGCACCACGACCCACACAGTCTTCGCGACGTTCCCGCACGAAAACGTTGGCAACTTCACGTGCTTCCTGACCGAGTTCCTCGCCGCAGCTCTGCTGATCCTTGGGATTCTGGCGCTGCTGGACCAGCACAACCGCCCCATTGGCCGTCACGCGGTCCCGCCGGCCATCGGCGTGCTCGTGAGCGCTATCGCTATGGGCTTTGCCACGAACACAGGCCTGGCCGCCAACGCTGCTCGCGACCTGGGTCCTCGTCTCTTCATGCTTACTGCAGGCTGGGGATCGCGCGTGTTCACACTCGGTAATTATTACTTCTGGGTCCCGCTCGTGGCTCCGATCCTGGGCGGCGCTGCCGGAGCATTCGTGTACGAGGCCATGGTGGGCTACCACCACCCTGGACGCTCGTTCGGACCGTACCCGGAGTACCGATTCTAGATCTTAGGTCTCAGCTTAATAGATTGCGTGCTTTGTTTCGTCTTTCGGTAATCCTGCACTCTCACTCTCTACAATCCCCCAACAAGAACAGCATGCAGTTTGATACACTGCCGACCATGGGACGAAGTTGAAAACTTGTTGATCCCATGGACAACGAATGAATGGGATGCTACCGTTAAGCTCTTTTCTATTATTAAAGGAATCCGAGTGGCCGACAACAACGCAGCAATGTGCTGGCCGAAGCTGCACTTTTCTGATGCATAGCGATGTCGGGATGGTGAAGCGCGAGTGCAAATTGAGCTGAGCTGGGCCAACGTCTTGCCTGCGAGCCTGCAGGCCACAGTCGTCCGTTTTTGAATGATCCGGCCCATCTCTATCACGGGAATTGGTGCTTGGTCAAAGCTGAAGTTGCTGTTTGACTGCTTCAGGACACCTGGTAAGCTTACGATAAATGCAGAGTGATCGACTCTCGACGGCGGCGCTTGTCGTTCACCGACAACAACGTCAATGCCAGTACGCACGATTCCTTGCGCGCCGCGGCGCTCACAGCCTGTCGACCACGAGATCGTTCTCCATGGGATCCTAGGTCGCATAGTGCTAAACGCGCCGCCGCATAGGACACGCCGCACCGATTCCCCGCCAGCCAACGCCAACGCCAACGCCGCCGATTGCTCGGCGTGTTTGTTCGAGTTTTGCACGCGCTTTTTAATCCGGTCAGCACTGCGACTCTCTCAGGTCGAAGCGCACAACCGAATTCGCCTCCGACAGGGCAGGTCGAGCTTCCGTGGCAACTTCCTGCGGATCCGCGGCAGCGATGAGCGACGCTCCCAAGCTCGGCCTTGACTCGGGCCAGACGCTTATGGCCCAGGGCCCGGCCGCGTTCCACGAGTTCGTCGCCAAGAAGATCGAGCCGGCATTGGGACGCAGCCTCCCGCAGATGGAAGTGCGGTGCAAGGAAGTCTCCCTCATCGCCGAGGTCTCGGTCGTGGAGCGGTCCGCCAGCGTCAAGTCTGAACTGCCGACCATCTACAACAGCGTCAAGCACGTTGTGCAGAAGCTTACGGCCACTCGGAACGTGACCAAGCGGAACATCCTCAATCGCGTGACCGCGGTCTTCGAGCCTGGAACCATCACGCTGTTGCTTGGCCAACCGGGATCGGGCAAGTCGTCGCTGCTCAGACTCCTAAGCGGCCAGTTTCCCATGGAGAAGAACATCAGCGTTGAGGGCGACATCACGTACAATGGCCGCTGCCAGCAGGACATTCTATCTCGACTCCCGCAGCTTGCGGCCTACGTGCCGCAACATGACAAGCACTTTGCCGCGCTATCGGTGAAAGAGACGCTTGAGTTCGCCCACAAATGCTGTCCAGAGGAGCTTGCGTTTAGAGGCGCCGAGGGGCTTTTTACACGAGGTTCTACTGAGGACAACAAGGCAGCTCAACGAACAGTGAGAGCACTGAATGAGCACTACCCAGCAGTGATCACGGAGCAATTGGGCCTTCAGAACTGCAGCGATACCGTTCTAGGCGATGCACTTCGACGCGGTGTGTCCGGTGGTGAGCGTCGACGCGTGACCACGGGTGAGATGGAGTTCGGCATGAAGTACGCGACGTTCATGGACGAGATCAGCACGGGGCTGGACAGCGCGGCCACGTTCGACATCGTCGCCACTCAACGCGATATCGCTAAGAAGCTGCACAAGACGGTCGTTATCGCGCTGTTGCAGCCAGCGCCGGAAGTTTTCGAGCTCTTTGACAACATCATGCTGCTGAACGACGGTGAAGTGATGTATCACGGCCCGCGCGAGCAAGTTTTGCCCTACTTTGAGAATCTGGGCTTCGTGTGTCCGCCTGACCGCGACGTCGCCGACTACTTGTTGGATCTCGGAACAGATGAGCAGTACCAGTACGAAATCGTCAAGGCGGCGAACCACCCATCGCTGCAGTGTCTGGCCCCGCGACTGGCGAGTGAGTTCGCGGAGCTCTTCCAACAGTCGCACATCCATCACGAGACGATGCGCGCGCTGGAGGCACCCTTGAGTATTGACCGTGCGAAGGACGCTAGGGAGCACATTGACAAGATGCCCGAGTTCAGGCAGTCCTTTTGGGCCAGCGCTTGGGCATTGACCCACCGTCAGACCACCATCGCTCTGCGCAACACCGCATTCGTACGGGTGCGAGCCTTCATGGTGGTCTTCATGGGGCTCGTGTACGCTACCACCTTCTACCAGGTCGACCCGACCAACGTGCAAGTGTCGCTGGGGGTGCTGTTCCAAGGCACCATGTTCCTACAGCTAGGACAGGCGTCGCAGATCCCGTCATTCATCGCGGCCCGCGAGATCTACTACAAGCAGCGGCGCGCCAACTTCTACCGCACCGCGTCGTTCGCGATCGGATGCTCTGTGGCGCTGATTCCGACGGCCATGGGCGAGTGCATTGTCTTCGGCTCTATCGTCTACTGGATGTGCGGGTTCATAGCGGAGGCGAGCTACTTCCTGTTCTTCATGCTGGCCATGATCTTGACCAACCTGGTGTTCTGCGCGTGGTTCTTCTGCGTGACGGCCATGGCCCCGAATTTCAACATCGCCAAGCCCATGTCCACGTTCTCCATCGTCTTCTACATCGTCTTCGCTGGCTTTGTGGTGCCCAGGAGCCACCTTCACGGCTTCTTCCTGTGGATCTACTGGCTCAACCCGCTCGCGTGGTGTCTGCGTGCAGTTGCCGTGAACCAGTATCGCTCGCCCAAGTTTGACGTTTGCGTGTACGCGGGTGAAGACTACTGCTCTCAGTACAACATGACCATGGGCGAGTATTCGTTGTCGCTGTACGACGTGCCGTCGGATAGGGCGTGGGTCTGGGCCGGAGTGGCGTTTCTGATGTTCGCGTACGTCTTCTTCATGGGTCTCGGGAGCTACGTGCTTGAGAACAAACGCTACGACGCTGCTGTCGCGGCCGTGGCAGTGGTTACAAGCATCGTCGAAAACGCCAAGGTGGATGAAGAGAAGCAGAACGATAGTGCAGTGAGCTATGCGCTGGCCTCGACTCCTAGAGCTGCATCCAACGCATTCTCGTCAGACGAATGCTCAGGCGGAGTCGTCGTCCTGGACTTCCACGAGGAGCACGACAAAATGTTCGTCCCCGTCACCTTGGCGTTCAAAGATTTATGGTACTCGGTCCCCAATCCGAGCAACAAAGATGAATCGATTGACCTGCTCAAGGGCATCAGCGGATACGCTCTCCCTGGTACCATGACGGCGCTCATGGGGTCGTCGGGTGCTGGTAAAACAACCTTGATGGACGTGATCGCTGGCCGCAAGACTGGAGGCACCATCCAGGGCGAAATTCTTCTCAACGGATACCCCGCGACTGAGCTGGCCATTCGACGATGCACAGGATACTGCGAGCAGCAGGACATCCACTCGGAGGGGGCCACCATCCGAGAGGCGCTCACGTTCAGCGCCTTCTTGCGCCAGGACAGTAGTGTATCGGAGCGTGCCAAGTTGACGACCGTGGAGGAGTGTCTGGACTTGCTGGATCTGCGCCCCATTGCCGACCAGATCATCCGCGGTCGATCGCAGGAACAAATGAAGCGACTCACCATCGGCGTCGAACTCGCGGCGCAACCGAGCGTGCTGTTCCTGGACGAACCCACCAGCGGCCTGGACGCTCACTCGGCCAAGGTGATCATGGACGGCGTGCGGAAGGTGGCGGACAGCGGCCGCACCGTTGTGTGCACGATCCACCAGCCTTCGTCCGACGTCTTCTTCCTGTTCAACAGCCTGTTGCTGCTGAAGCGCGGCGGCGAGACGGTGTTCTTCGGTGAGCTGGACAACGCGCAGCCCGACGACCGCGAGTGCGGCCACCTGATCGACTACTTCGAGGCGATCCCGGAGGTGGCGCGTTTGCCCGAGGGCCAGAACCCGGCGACGTGGATGTTGGAGTGTATCGGTGCTGGTGTCGCAGCTGCTACTGAACGCTCGACTTTGAATCCTTCAGCGAGCGTTGACTTCGTTCAACACTTCCGTGTGAGCCCTGAGCAGCAGGCTTTACTTGGTGGCCTGGGCCAACCTGGTGTCGCTATCCCTGTACCCGGCCAACATGGAGAACTCAAGTTTAGCAAGAAGCGAGCCGCTACTGCCGCCACACAGTTGCGTGTATTGGTCGGTCGGTTCCTGACCATGTACTGGCGCACGCCGTCGTACAACTTGACCCGCTTCATCGTCGCTGTTGGACTGGGGTCCGTGTTTGGCTTAGTCTTGGTGAACGGGGAGTACACGACGTACCAAGGTCTCAACGCTGCGGTGGGCGTCATCTTCATGACCACGCAGTACAATGGTATCGCTGCCTATGTTGGAACGCTACCGTTCACGGGCCATGAACGTGAATCGTATTTCAGAGAGCGCGCGTCGCAGACGTACGCAGCGCTCTGGTTCTTCGTTGGCGCCACCGTGGCGGAAATCCCGTACGTCTTCTTCAGCGGCTTCCTCTTCACGATCATCTTCTGCCCGCTGATAGGTTTCACGTCGTTCGTCACCGGGGTGCTCTACTGGATCAACCTGTCGCTCTTCGTGCTCATGCAGACGTACCTCGGCCAGCTGCTCGTGTACGCCTTACCAAGCGTGGAGGTCGCGGTGATTGTCGGCGTCCTCGTCAACGCGACGTTCCTGTTGTTCTCCGGGTTCAATCCACCGGCCGGATCCATCCCGGCAGGCTACCGGTGGCTCTACCACTGCACGCCGCACCGCTACTCGCTGTCTGTGCTGGTGTCGATCCTGTACGGCGACTGCCCAGTGGAGCCCACGTACGACGAGGCCACGCAGTCGTTCATTAATGTCGGCCCGCAGCTCGGATGCCAGCCGCTGGAGGGAACGCCTATGTCCATCGGCCACACCACCGTCAAGGGCTACGTGGAGGAGGTCTTCAACATGAAGCACGACGAGATCTGGGCGAACTTCGGCTGCGTCTTCGTGTTCCTGGCCGTCTTCCGCGTGCTGTCGCTGCTGGCGATCCGATACGTCAACCACCAGAAGAGGTGAGGTGGCACCCACCGCATGAATCCAATATATATAAATACATTTTGGCAGTCTTTCAATACTACGAACGAAAGGGAAGTGTTGAAGTTTTGAAGTTTTTACGAAAGCACAGCAACAACCACAGGGCCCACGCAATGAAAGAAACAAAGTCAATTGATACGTAGTGAGCAGTGCCCAAGTCGTCTAGGCCGAGGCAGGGGTTCATACCAGCTCGAGTTTAGCTGGTATCGGGTATCTCGGCCTTCTGACGAAGCTGATATCAGCGATACTGATACTAATATCAATATCATATCAATATATTGATACATATATTGATAAAAATGGTACATGTACCTGCAGTAATTTGGCTGATGTCGCCGTCTCCTATTCTTTTGCAGCACTTCCTTGTACTCGGACCAATTAGCCTTCATCAAGCACATCGTCTCCGCCCGGTCGTTATCAAGCTGGGTTCGCAACTCGTTCTCCACATAGCCACTAACACTGACACATCGCTCTTGGCACACGGTAGATAGGGGTTTGGCGAGACAGATTCTCAAGCTTATTTTCAACCGAAAAGGGATGATCCTTGTGAGCTCTAAGCATGTGCTTCCTGGGGTTAGCAGTCGTCTGTTGCCGCATTAAGACCAGAAGAGGTCGGGTCCTTGCTTTTTTGTGTGCTGCGCACACGAGACAGATGTGGGTGAACGAGCTGCTTTTCTTCTTTGTGTCAGGAATCGGAGTAACAAGTATTCGCTTTCGTTTTAAGTTGAGGTACATTACAGTCATTTAGGCTAGCTAACGACCTAGTAAATGCCCGGCCCTCCCGCACTTAAGGATCGTTGGAGGGTGTGCTGCCTACGCCCAAAGGGTGGCAGCAGATGCACACGTGTTACGGTGCGCCAGTGCGAGGGGAGGCCCGGCCAATGCCCTCCCGATCCGGGTTGGTGTCCATCCAGTGCTCAACATCCGCTTGGAGGGGCTCGTGTACGGTTGTCCACTGCGGCGGTAAGCGGGAGATATCTTCCGCCGTCGCCTGCTTGCTTTGTTTGGTGTCCATAGCAATGTTTGCTAGGCCGTCCGCTGTTTTGTTGAAGTGCCGCAGGTGATGTGACCATGAAGACACCATCAGTCGGTCCGCCAGCACCCGCACTGTCCGTAAAGCCCTTGTAAGTGACGGCCCTTGGTACCCGTCGCTTCTGCAATTGTGTTAGGATGAGATTGCTGTCGCCAACAATATGCAATCCCACCATTGAGTGCCGTACCGCATAACGCAGGCCGTTAAGGAGAGCGCGATATTCAGCGACGTTGTTCGTGGTCTTCGACACGTAGGAAACGCTGGCCAGCCAGAGGACGGCGGGCTGGAGGCTTGCGCCGCCAAGTTGTAGGATCACCGTCCCCGCGCCAGCAGGGCCGGGGTTTCCACGAGCCCCGCCATCAAAGTAGAGCAGGGTGTGCTGTGAAGTCGGAGCGGGGCGCGGCAGGCTCTGCGTCTCCGGGGATGGCGAAGTGAGCGCGAGATGGCAAATCCGTGCAGCCGCCCCTTGGTGCGGACTAGCCGTTGTGGACGTAGAGTGGATCCGAACGGTTAGGTATGCGGAACGAAGGCGTCCATGTAGGACGGCAGCCGCCCGTTTCAATGACGCGTCCTCCCTCGGGTCGCGATATAAGCACCTTCTCCGCCAAATCCCTTGCAACGTGGTCACCACTCCAAGCCGCCAGCAGAGGTTGAGTATGGTGTAAATGTGCCCCCGAATGGCTTCACGCGTGCCTTCGGGCTCATGACGATACACGGCATCCAGTAGCGTCCAGATACCGGGTGGTACGGTCTCGAGTCGAAGTCGAAAAGTGGACGAGATCCTGGCACCCGTTGTTCCGACCCCCAGGGCTGTCCATGGGGCATAAAACACATCCCAGAGTGTAGTAGCTCCTGCACACGTCCAGAAAGTGTGGCACGTGTTCACGTCCCGTTGCAAGCATTCCTCGACCGGACACCCAGGCACCTTACGCGTCGAGTCCCACCAGGTAAAAGCTTGTAGTTTTAGACGGTACAGGACCTGCTCGCCCCAGCCCGTGGCCCCTGGGATGCGTCGGATATCTCGCCACGTGACGTGAGCAAGCGCCTGAGCAATTTGAGGGTGATCTTGGAGCCACGCTGCGCTCCGTCCTGACACATTGCGTTTGCCATGTCGTCTGGTCGTAGCAGTTACGGCCAGTTTGTAGACGTGACGTGCTCGTTTCCAGCTCCGCCGACCCGCCCATAGACATACCATCCTGTCCAGCTGGGGATGTGGGTGAAGATGGCGAACGTTCACTTCTTTTCCGGCGAAGTCATTAAGGGCCCGGGTTGCGTCCAGTCTTGAAGCAGCAACAATCGTGTACAGCGGGCCAGTCACCGAGCTCGCCACGTCGATGCTCACAGTGATCCCATTGTCCTGATTGCTGGGAGCCTGGACAACCAGGGGATGTTGCACGGGCAGCGCACTTACTCTCAGCTCGGGGGCGCAGCTTGAGGCGTTGACAAGCTCTGGATAATGCGCCATTAGGTCCAGTAGTAAGCGACGAATCTCGTCTCCCTCGACGCGTAAATCCTTGCGCAGTATTAGCCGTCCCGCACTGATGTGTCTCCAACTGACAACATGCTGTAGTAGGCGTCCAGGCATTGTCGTTCTGGTGGCGAGTGGTCCATATCCCAGCGAAGCAGGAGGCGACACCTGGAATAGGTGCCGGATCTCAGCGTAGGGCAGCCACTCGAGGCAAGGCTGTCCCCCCGCACTGCGTATGGCGTGGCGCGGACTGGCCGTGTCCCCGCCCGCTAGACTCAGCACATTAAGCTCGCATTGATCACCATCCCAGCTCAATACGGCTGGCAAGGCCACATCCACGATTTCGTAAAGCTCCTTCACGGCGGCCTCGTGTCGAGGCGACAGCTGAGGGAGGCCCGCGCGATGAACCATTCCAGCACCAGCCTTCCACATTGTCTGCCCGGCACTAAAGCCCCGCAGAGACTGAGTGTTGACACTTGGGGTTGTGTAAATCGGTTGTGCGGGTGTTGTCGCGATGTTGGCGTACAGGATATCTCCTAGCATGTGATCGAGAACTGATCCAGAGAGCGCCCACTCGGAGACAGTTGTGGTCGCCATAGAGAGCAGTTCTGCTCTGAGGTCGGGAATCGCGATCCCACCTTCACGTCGGGGAAGGCGGGTAATAGCCGCTGCGAGCCACGACGTGGCGCCCTCCACACTCTCAGTAAATTGACCGTGTAGTACGAAGTTCCGTATACACTGCGAGTACACCTTGACCATGTCCGTGGTTGGCCAGGCATGACGCCCTATGAACAGCAGCTTGGGGATGATAACCGCGGCTGAAATCGTGGATCGTTGGTCCAACGTGAGCGTGCGGTGGCATGCGAGTCGGATACGGGTCAGGAGCTGTGCGCCTGCGGCTTGCCACGAGTGGTTGGCCTCGGCTCGGCTCCCAGCCTGTATTCCCAGGTATCGGCAGCAGGCGTCTGTTCCAAGCAGCTGGATGGCCGAATTCCAGGAGACGTCCGGGCTGAGCCCGTCAGAGTGTAACGCGATCGCGACCGTCTTGCTGCAATTTAGGCGAAGCCCAAAAGCTTCGCTAAGCTCCTGAACTGTGGCCAGTGCCGCCTCCAGTTCCTCCGGCCCCTTCAAATAAATGGCGGCGTCATCAGCGTACCCAGCGACGCGTAGCGCCGTCCTTGTCGTCTTCGTGGTGAGCAGGAACCCCTGGTGATACCCAATCGGCGGTAGAGCGGCTCAAGAGCGAGGATAAACAGCAATGGCGCAAGCGGGCAGCCTTGCCGGATTCCCCTAGTTACCGTCACCTTGCGCGAGCGGGTGCCATTGGCGAGAAACTGCACCGTAGTGTCGGTATGTAGTTTCTCGATCACCTGAACAAAGCGTGGTGGGTATCCGTGGCGTCTTAGAATCGCGTACAAGAATCGTCTGTCCAGAGAGTCATAGCCCTTCGCAAAATCGAGAAGTAGTGCCAACGCGTTACGATCGTCTTCGGAACTATGGGCCATCCGCTGAGCCGCTCGAAGGTAGTCGATCGTGGTGTGTATAGATATCCCCGGCACAAAACCAGTCTGAAAGACGCTGATCCTTGCGGCGAGCGTTTTCCGGACTTGCGTCGTCAGCAGCCTGGTAAGGATCTTATAATCCGTATTCAGCAAGGCGAGCGGCCTGTAGTTCAGGGGATCGCCGCCATCTCCGCTCTTCTTCAGACAAAAGATGTTGGCCTCGACGAAGGAGGCCGGGAAGACTTCCGCGTCGTACCACTGCGTGTAGAGCCTCGTCAGGATTGGCACTAGAACGCTCTCATAGGCACGGTACCAGTCATTGCCCAGTTTGTCAGGACCACACGCTTTGTCTGCCTTGCATTCCCGGAGGGCAGCACCAACAGTTGCTTCTGTGATCATCGCTGAGTTAGCAAGAATGGCAGTGTCAGCAGTGTTACCCGGCTCCAACCATTGCGCCACGTTCTCCACGTCGAGTGCTGCAGTCTCTTCACCACGCATAATTGGGGTCCAAGCCTCTGGCAGAGTATCCGCTTTGCCCTGTGGGTCCGTCACTGGCTGCCCCGAGGACCTGCGTAGGGACGGAATGATGTTATCACCAAATTTACAGGATATCCGCTTGAAGAATTGCTTCGTCGTCTTCCCTTCTCGCCACGTGTGCGACCTGAACAAACGTTGCGACTTGGTCCGAACCCAGTCACGCTTAGTAGGCGCAATCGTCTCCGTTAGCTGCTGCAACCGGGCGTGGATGGCTTGCTGACCGCCTGCATCGCCATGGAACAGTCTAGCCGCACCGGAGACTCAATCAAACTGTCGGTACAGCCGCTTGATTTTTTTGCGATACGTGTTTTTCTTGCTGCGCCGAGCCGCTTTCGTTGCATTTAGCAGCGCGATGGCTATGCGATGTTTGGCAGCATCCCACAGTTCCGCCGATTGTAAAGCCGTCAACGCCCCCGTGTCCAAGGTGCGCCGCAGTGCCGCAAGCTCCGCGAGGACCGCGTCATCCGCCCTCTTCTGGGCGTAGGCCGGTACAGGGAATACTCTTCGCTCCTTGTGGATGCGGAGAGGGTTGGACGGCGACCTCAGATGAAGGAGAACACCTTTATGATCGGAGTGGAGTCCGTCTTGGTCGACCTGAGTTGCTGTCATCCAGGGCCGAGCGAGATCGTTGGCATACCAGCGGTCGAGGCGGCTGGTGGCCGGCTTTCCTCCGTGCACGGTGCATCGATGGGTATGCTGCTCATCACGAAACCGGGCTAGAGCGGTGGGATCTGTCGGGTCCGGAAGAGCGTTGCCCAGGCTGTCGTGTAGGCGCCAGCGCTTTACCAGAGTAGCAAAAGCCTCCGAGGAGTGACTGTTTGCTGTAGGTTCGTATGATCGATCTTGGACTCCGTTTTGCGTGCAGTTGAAGTCCCCGCCTACGAAGATCGGGGTACCGGCTGATATGGTAATTTGAGCTAGGGACTCGTAAAACTTCTCGCTCAGGGGCACTGCTGTCGGCGCATAGATGTTGAAGAGGTAAACCTCCTCCCTGTCCAAAGTCGCAGTCGTAGCCATAAAATTCGGTGTCCAGAGCTGCTCCATGAGTGGCTTGACCTATTGAAGCCGACTGTTGGGGTGTACGAGAATGCCCACGCCCGCGGCAGAGCTAGATCCCGGTGACCAGAGCGAGAGCGTCAGGCACCCGTCTCCAACCCTGAAACCCCACTGTTGAGCGTGATCGCGAGCGACCTTCGGGCCTTCCTCCTCGGTCACATGTGTTTCCTGCAGAAGACTACGTCGAGCTGCCCGTGATCATGTCGACGCTTGAAAGACGAGAGCCAGAGCGACCGATCGTCCGATGTACGTCCGAACCCCCGCACATTTTGACTTAACAGACCGATGGTGACTTCGCCGTCGTGGAGGGTATTGTGCTGAGGGCTGCTGCGACCCCGGCTCCGTTTTGTACCCGCCTGGTGGCGACTGTGCAAGTGTTGGCGCCGGTGTCGGAGGAACTCCCTGCGTAGCGAGCTGTCCCGTTCTGACTGAGTCTGAACAGGGTAATAATCCCCAATGGTGGTTTGCTCAAGACCACCACGAGGTTGGACGGCCGGGCCGCCCTTAATTCCTGCGCGCAGCAGAGTCAGGCCCAGTGGCAGTCTCGATGACTGCTGCTGGGGAGGACTCCGACTGCGTTGCTCCCATGGGGAGCATGACCGCCTTGCTCCAATCGCGGTTGTCTGCAATATCCGTGCATAGTTGTTGGATCTGCGTGTACTCCGTATACCATAGCGCCATGGCACTGGTCGGTGCTCTACCCATGGGCGTATCCTTCCTGTCGGTGATCGCGTAGGGGAGCACGTGCAGTATGAACCAATGCTCCAGGGAAATATGCAGCGGGCGCAGCCGTAAAAGCGAAGCATCCACCAGTTCTCCTAGTGCCGCCCAGTCGGAACGATCGCTAGCGAGCTCAAACGCATCCGGCGGAGCCGCTTGGCGACACCGTTTCAGCCAAGCCGAGCATAGCTCGCGGGCTCTGTCATCACTTTCATCCTCCGTCAAAATCCGTTCCAGCGTCAGTATCTGGTGCATGTATACTTCCCGTTCACCCCAGCGAGCGAGTTGGTCCTGTGAGAAGCTTTGGGCCGCTCGCTCGGGGAACGGTAAGAAAGCAAGCACATGGTGGAGCGCCTTCGGATGTTCACACAGCCAGTCCAGTTGTCCCAGCCATGGACGCTGCCCTTCCTCCGCCCGCGGAACACCGTACTGTCGACCCACCGTGATAACCCAGGTGTCAAAAGCGCTGTCGTTTTCGCGATGAAGCCGCGTTGCGAAACGTCCATCAATCGCGTCCATGGTGCTCAGATCCGCCGTGCGCAACAGGCGCTCATAAATGTCGCGATGGACTGTAGTGTTGGGTCCCGGGTTGATCCTGCAGACTGTGCCAGCCGTGGGTAGTTCCGGGACCGCACTTTCCTGCGAGCCACTCGCGTAGAAGTCCACCCCCATCTCCTCCAACAGTGCTTGTTCCTCGAGTGCGGCCTCTTCTGTGATCGACTCTGGGTCGTAGCCGTCCGACTTGAGGACAGGAAGACCAACATGGCGGTGAACTGTGTCGAGGCGTTCTCGCATGGCAGGGCCGCGTTGTGCATGCCACGCATGGAACGTTGGGCAGTGCTGGACGCCGTAGAAGTGCCCTTCCGTGTGCTTGAGTAGCAGCATGGTGGGTATGACTCGCTGGTTGAAGCTTTCCTCGAGGATATCTCGGATTCGGTCATCGGTGAGTACCTCAACAACCCCGGTTTCGTGTCGGTCACCATTGTTCATGTCAAACAGTTTGTACGTGTACTGTTGGGCGTGGGCTGTGTCGTCGGGGGCAACATCCCACACGTAAACGGGCTCGCGCAGGTAGACAGCCATGGCGCGAAGGACGTGAGGGCCCTCCCAAAATGCTTGGGGCATCTTGTCGGCGACCGAGACGGCTCTCATTTTCGCGTAATGAGCATATAGCGCTGCTGCCGCCGCTTTGTCGGAGCGTGGAAGCTCTTCGCCAGGAAACAATCGGCGGAGCTCCCTGCGCGGGTCGACTAGATTCAATTGGACATCGTAGCGTAGGTTCGCGAGGACTAGGTCAATGACTCTCTGCTTGACGAGATTCGCTTCATCAACCACCTCAGGCGTCATGGAGAGCGACGCTGCCTGGGTATTTTTGACTGTCGCGTAGAGAGCGAGGAACAAGCACTGTCCATTAGCAGGGACGGAGACGGGCACACCATGCAGGCTCCCTATCCATTCGAGATAGCTCCGGCGGTGGTCTTCGTCGGAGGCAACGACCTTTTCGAATTCAAACCCATCGCTGTCATCGTCGGACTCGGGATGTGACGTAAGCGTCTCGCCGACAAACTCATCAGCGTCCAACGGCTGAGGCGTCACCGGCGAGGCCTGGTGCCAATATGGGTCAGCTGATGGTTGTGTTTCAGATGATGGACTATGCACATCGTGAAATACGTCAGGGGTCAGCCAGCTCTTCCACTTGGTCCTTCCGTGCGGGGTCAGAGTCGACTTCTCCCATCTCGACGTCCTCCGAGGGAGATGGAGCCTCGGTGTTCCCGAGATAGTCGGCAGCTGGCTTCCGGTCGGCGATCGCCGCCTCGTCAGCTCTGTGAGCGGGGCTCTCAGAGCAGTCAGCCGGCACCGCGTCAGCATCCGCATCGTCCATAGTAATGTCTTGCGGGGCAGAAGTACCTTGCGAGGGTGCCGGAGGGCTTGCTTCCGACTTGGACTCCTGAAGCGAGGCAAGTGGCGTACAGTGGGAGACCGCCCGTGGATGGACGTCGATAGCAGCATTCTGTCCGTCACTAGCAGGGGTCCCGTGGACCAGGGCATCTACGGCACTGGCCTGGGGGTCACCTTCCAACTCCGAGTCGCTGTCAGCCGCCAACTCGCGATAAGCTGCGAGAGTATCCTTGTACCGCTGAGCCGCTGTAGTGGTCGTAGCGGCCCGGCGATGGCGGGACCCATTGGGGGCGTGGCCATTGTCGCGCTGCTGTCTGGCCACTTCCTGGCCAATAGTCGAGGTTGGAGCCGCAGCAAAGCTACTTGGCGCTGCGGAAGAGCTCGGCGCGTCAGTCCTCGTTGCACGGTCGCTCTGTCGTCTGCGTGCGCCGCGGTTGCCGCGGCGTCGAGTTACAGTCATGCCTGTTGGATCAGCCAGCGTAGGAGCAGGGTGGGACTCCTCCGCTGGTGCGTTCACCTCAACCGGCCGTAGTGCAAGCAGCGACTCACTGCGGGAGCTATCTGCCGGTCTCCAATCCGGCACCGACAGCCTGCCGAGAAATCGGTTCAGCGTCTCGATGTCACGGCAGTCGGGTAGGCGCGCCGCTGCAACCAGCCCGCGGTGGCCGACGTACTCGCGCTGGCGAGAGGCACGAACATGAGGGAGTCTCGCGTCCGCGACCTTGCAGCGAGATTGCAAGTGGAGCGGATTCAGGCAGCGCCAGCATGGTGGCGTTTGCGTCCGTTGGAAGTGGTGGAGGGTCAGGGTCTTGTCACCCAGCAACAGCGACGTAACACCTTGTAACGCCTCGAGGCATGCCCTCGAAGAGAAAATTACTGCCCAGAAATCGTTGTCCGCTGTCGACATACCCCCCCAGACCGGGGTGGCGTACATCAAGTACGGGCATTTGGGCGATATCTTCGAATAGGTGCAGCAGTTGCACCGCGTTGTGCCCTTCCGTGCCAAGAACGCGAACCGCATAATGTCGTGCAAGTTGAGGAGGTGGGCAGATGCCAGGCACTTGAGCTTCCACCAAGTTCAAGTGAAGGTTTTGGCCACGGAGCCGGAGGCATTCCCCATCCCACGCTGCTGCCGCCCGATGCGACATACAAAACACCGACAGGGTATGTTCTCCGTCGAACATGATGCGTTGCGCCGCTCGGATGAACCGCTTCATCTTAAGCCGGCCAGCCTCATCACCTCCATTACTCGCCACTAGTTCCCGTAGGATGGATTGTCGAGAAATATGCTTGCCGAGGCGCACATTCGCCGGTACATCTGCAATGAGCGTGGCTTCGACATGTTCGTGGTGGAAAGCCAGCATCGCAGCGCGCTTGAGTCCAGTAGCCGCGCAGCTTAAAAAGGTTGGTGGAGCGGGCAGCTCTAGCTTCCGGCTGACATACGCGGACATTGCAGCAACTTCGTCAGCGGTCATCGGGCGCAGGGCTGTGTCGGCATGCAGCGGGTACATTGCAGTGGCGATTGCGTAGAGCCGTTGAAGTTCTGGCGCCATCTTACTGCTGCCCGCCGAGCGCTCCGCAAGGTCCTGGCGGAGCCGTCGCGCTCCTTCCGGCGACCAAGCCGGCTGGTTAGGAACTGCTGGTTGCAGAGGTGGTCCTGCAGCGTGTCGAGGTCCCTCAGGCGGCGATGCCCCAGCGGGCTCGGCGCTAGGGTCATGGCCGACGGGGGGATCCGGTGGCTTGGAGGGGCGGAGTTCCCCAGGGGGGCCCTCAGCACCGTTCATTGGTGGCAGCGTTGTCTTGCCGTAGGTCGTTCGAGGCAAATCCTTCTTCCTTCTCCCAGGGGAATTGCAGAGCGGAGTAGCAAGTACATGGATGAACTCCCAGACAAGAACAAACATGCTCTGGTTTGAGTGACGCACAGATAGTGGAATACCAACTCGACTCCAATTTCGCCTTCTTTATCTCTACGGCCACGATCACTGGGCGACGTATCCTCGTCGGCCATTCTCTAGAGAGCGCGCACGCAACCGAACCGAGATGGTAGTAGTAGACTTGTGCTTGCCGTGGGCTTGTTGGGAGAAGTGGCTATATGCAAGTAACTATGTGCGGTAGCGCACATGAAAATAACCTGGTTGGTGAAATCAACACTAGGTCGCAGGATATCGATATTTATATGCCGAAGTATCAATGGATCTCAATACAGCACCACCACCAATATCAGGTGATACTGATACAAGTATCCGGCCATACAGTATCGATATTTATTACAGGTATCAGCCTTGATATGAGCCCCTGGGCCGAGGTAAGCCTTGTGCCAAACGATGAGGAAGACGCTTAGCTTAGTACCGGTACTCCGGGTACGGTCCGAACGAGCGGCCGGGGTGGTGGTAGCCGACCATGCCCAGGTAGGCGATGCCGCCGACGGCGCCGCCCAGGATCGGGGCCACGAGCGGGACCCAGAAGTAGTAGTGGCTGAGCGAGAACACGCGTGAACCGAAGCCGACCGTGAGCATCAAGAGGCGAGGGCCGAGGTCGCGGGCGGCGTTGATGGCCAGGCCCGTGTTCATGCCGAAGCCCATGGCGATGGCGCTGACGAGCACGCCGATGGCGGCGGGAACGGCGGCGCGGCCGATGGGGCGGTTGTGCTCGTCGAGCAGCGCCAGGAAGCCCACGACCAGCAGCGCCGCGGCGAAGAACTCGGTCAGGAAGCACGTGAAGTTGCCCACGTTCTCGTGTGGGTACGTGGCAAAGATGGCGTTGGTCGACGTGCGCTCGGGGTCCACGATGTTGAGCATGGGGCGGTACAGGATGTAGACGACCATCGCGGCCACGTAGGACGCGACAGTCTGCGCGAGGATGTAGAAGGGCACCTTCTTCCACGGCAGCATGCCGAGCAGCGCGAGCGCGACGGTCACGGTCGGGTTCAGGTTGGCGCCGGACACGCCTCCGCCGACTGTGATGCCGAGGAAGTAGGCGAAGCCCCACGCGAGCGCGACGGTCACGAAGCTGCCTGCAGTGCCCGAGCTCAGCGTGACCTGCGCTGTGCAGGCCAGCCCGACGACGACGCAGATGAAGGTGGCGAAGAACTCGGCCATCATCTGCCTGGCGAAGGCGCTCTTGACTTGGTACGGAACGTGGGTCACGCCGTTGAGCGAGCCCACGTCGGTGGAGAGTCCGTCGTGAGCCTCCAGGTTGATGTACTCGTCGCCGTGTTTGTCGTTGTAGGCGTCCGCTGACATGGTGCAGTCGAGGAAGGCGAAGAGGGCGGCGCGGAACCGATGAAGCTGTCGGGGGCTCTGCGAGGGAAGTTGAACAGTGAGCTGTCCTGGAGGTCCATTGCGGCGCCTACTGGCACCACTGCTGCCGCACTGGTCGGGAGCAACAGCGGCGCCGTTGTTGCTGACGCCTCCGGGTGTAGGTTGCCTCCCGGTTGCATTGGCACGCGGCACGGCGCGGCGAGCACAGCTTGCCGAGCAAGTCTGGATCACTGGAACGCAAGGCAGGGCTACAGGCCTATCCATACACAGATCCACACCGAAGTTGAAGTTGCCTTTCATGGTGACAAGCATATCGCTATGCTAAGCTTACAGTACCATGACCGCTAGAGGTGGGCGATTGGGGACCTGGGTGAACCAGAAAGTTTAGATGGCGGGGCACCCTCACACCTGCAGGGCTGGTATTACATGGGCGAGGAGGTGGTATTGACGGCAACGCCAATCGCCTCCCGCGGAGCATTTGCGTTTGGTCGCTGCAAATCGAATGGGGAGCTGAAGATGCTTACGCCATTGCAGTAGATCGTGGATCGGCGCGCTTGCGATGGCGACATTTGCGCTGCGTGTCTTGCCGCGCCGGGTTCGTCCGTGTTGGCGTTCCTCTTCATCGACACCAGCGACGCGCTGGGAGCGACATAACAAAAGAGACGAGACGCAAGATCGAAGATGAACAAAGATACCTAGTTAATGAGAATTGCAGTACGTGTGGTTTGCTTTCATTTTTTGTATCATGCTGTTACGTTCCTGTAAACATTTATCCGTGTTCCATGCAGTACTTAGCTGCAGTCTCACGTAAAGTTTACCTACGCACGCTTTCAACAACCTCATAAAGGTCAATGTCAATGGTCCGATCCGGGAACTGCTCACCTTCGATTGGAGGTATTCTTGCCCCAGCAGCAGCTCGCGCGAGTCAAACGACACCATTGTGTGAGGCCCAACCACAGGCACGGGGTCAAGATTGGGCAATGAGCGCGCTCGGTTTGTCGTAGGGACTCTCTCCACCCTGTGCAACTTGTACTCCACGACCGTCAAGCTCTCTGTGACCGCTATACACAGAACGAAGCGCACTCCGGGGATCGTGGCCCACTGCCGAGCCTTCCAGTCGAGCAATCCTTTCTCGTCTCCCCACCCTCGAGATTTCCCGACTTCCACTATAAGCGTGAACCACGACGCATAGGACTTAATTCCAAGTGGGCAGATCGCTCCTGTAGCCACCCGAGGACCAAAGTGACCGTCGGGTTCGTAGTCTGGTAGCTCAGGCAGGTTTGTGGTGGTCTCGAAAGTGAAGCTCTTCATATACGCCCGAAATCCGGGTTGGCTCCACAAAAAATACATAAACTCATGGGCGAGGCGCTCGTCTTCTTTCCTTGGTGGCCTCGCGTAGTACACCGTGCCGTTAATCCATTCACAGCGCGTGAAGTCGACGCTTTCCAGATATGCCAGCCACTCATCCTTTGACGCCGCACAGACAGCTATGATACGCGACTCTCGCTCACAGGTCAAGTCGACCGCAGCGAGCTCGCGGTTGATGCGGGCCACTGCCATGGTTTTGGCTTTGAATTTGACAACGAGTTGGATGCAAGTCTGATTGAATGTGACAACGAACACTTTCCCAGCCCAAGCATTCTTTAAAATGGCGTTATGCGTGTTGACATGAATAAGACTCTGAGGGAAATTCGAGGTACCCCCCTCCCTCCCCCGCACCACACGAAATTTCATCTTCGATCTTGCGTCTCGTCTCTTTTGTTATGTCGCTCCCAGCGCGTCGCTGGTGTCGATGAAGAGGAACGCCAACACGGACGAACCCGGCGCGGCAAGACACGCAGCGCAAATGTCGCCATCGCAAGCGCGCCGATCCACGATCTACTGCAATGGCGTAAGCATCTTCAGCTCCCCATTCGATTTGCAGCGACCAAACGCAAATGCTCCGCGGGAGGCGATTGGCGTTGCCGTCAATACCACCTCCTCGCCCATGTAATACCAGCCCTGCAGGTGTGAGGGTGCCCCGCCATCTAAACTTTCTGGTTCACCCAGGTCCCCAATCGCCCACCTCTAGCGGTCATGGTACTGTAAGCTTAGCATAGCGATATGCTTGTCACCATGAAAGGCAACTTCAACTTCGGTGTGGATCTGTGTATGGATAGGCCTGTAGCCCTGCCTTGCGTTCCAGTGATCCAGACTTGCTCGGCAAGCTGTGCTCGCCGCGCCGTGCCGCGTGCCAATGCAACCGGGAGGCAACCTACACCCGGAGGCGTCAGCAACAACGGCGCCGCTGTTGCTCCCGACCAGTGCGGCAGCAGTGGTGCCAGTAGGCGCCGCAATGGACCTCCAGGACAGCTCACTGTTCAACTTCCCTCGCAGAGCCCCCGACAGCTTCATCGGTTCCGCGCCGCCCTCTTCGCCTTCCTCGACTGCACCATGTCAGCGGACGCCTACAACGACAAACACGGCGACGAGTACATCAACCTGGAGGCTCACGACGGACTCTCCACCGACGTGGGCTCGCTCAACGGCGTGACCCACGTTCCGTACCAAGTCAAGAGCGCCTTCGCCAGGCAGATGATGGCCGAGTTCTTCGCCACCTTCATCTGCGTCGTCGTCGGGCTGGCCTGCACAGCGCAGGTCACGCTGAGCTCGGGCACTGCAGGCAGCTTCGTGACCGTCGCGCTCGCGTGGGGCTTCGCCTACTTCCTCGGCATCACAGTCGGCGGAGGCGTGTCCGGCGCCAACCTGAACCCGACCGTGACCGTCGCGCTCGCGCTGCTCGGCATGCTGCCGTGGAAGAAGGTGCCCTTCTACATCCTCGCGCAGACTGTCGCGTCCTACGTGGCCGCGATGGTCGTCTACATCCTGTACCGCCCCATGCTCAACATCGTGGACCCCGAGCGCACGTCGACCAACGCCATCTTTGCCACGTACCCACACGAGAACGTGGGCAACTTCACGTGCTTCCTGACCGAGTTCTTCGCCGCGGCGCTGCTGGTCGTGGGCTTCCTGGCGCTGCTCGACGAGCACAACCGCCCCATCGGCCGCGCCGCCGTTCCCGCCGCCATCGGCGTGCTCGTCAGCGCCATCGCCATGGGCTTCGGCATGAACACGGGCCTGGCCATCAACGCCGCCCGCGACCTCGGCCCTCGCCTCTTGATGCTCACGGTCGGCTTCGGTTCACGCGTGTTCTCGCTCAGCCACTACTACTTCTGGGTCCCGCTCGTGGCCCCGATCCTGGGCGGCGCCGTCGGCGGCATCGCCTACCTGGGCATGGTCGGCTACCACCACCCCGGCCGCTCGTTCGGACCGTACCCGGAGTACCGGTACTAAGCTAAGCGTCTTCCTCATCGTTTGGCACAAGGCTTACCTCGGTCTAGACGACTTGGGCACTGCTCACTACGTATCAATTGACTTTGTTTCTTTCATTGCGTGGGCCCTGTGGTTGTTGCTGTGCTTTCGTAAAAACTTCAACACTTCAACACTTCCCTTTCGTTCGTAGTATTGAAAGACTGCCAAAATGTATTTATATATATTGGATTCATGCGGTGGGTGCCACCTCACCTCTTCTGGTGGTTGACGTATCGGATCGCCAGCAGCGACAGCACGCGGAAGACGGCCAGGAACACGAAGACGCAGCCGAAGTTCGCCCAGATCTCGTCGTGCTTCATGTTGAAGACCTCCTCCACGTAGCCCTTGACGGTGGTGTGGCCGATGGACATAGGCGTTCCCTCCAGCGGCTGGCATCCGAGCTGCGGGCCGACATTAATGAACGACTGCGTGGCCTCGTCGTACGTGGGCTCCACTGGGCAGTCGCCGTACAGGATCGACACCAGCACAGACAGCGAGTAGCGCGGTGCGGCGTTGTTGAAGTGGAGCACTCGGTAACTTTACCATCTGAAGTAACAATGATGTGGTGCACACATATTGATGTCGCTCAGGAGACGTTTGGGTGGTCTCCACTGCTGATCCGAGCCATGACGGACGCCAATGCGAGCGGCTACGTGCTGGCCATCGCCGGCATCGTAAACGCGCTGATCGCGGCCTACGAGGAGCAAGAGCCCGTGAACATGACGCGGCTGAAGAACGACGTGGCCAAGCAGTTCCGCCTGCCGTCGATGCCCAAGCTCGTTGACATCATCTCGGCCGTGCCCGAGGACTACAAGGACAAGCTGCTGCCCTTCCTCAAGGCCAAACCTGTGCGCACAGCGTCGGGTATCGCTGTCGTTGTACGCGGCAATTCGACACGCAGTTTGCGTCTTCTCCCGCTCAAAACGGAGCTCTGGAGCCAATGGGAGAGATATCTGACGCATTCTTGCTGTCATCTTATACATGTACGATGCAGGCCGTTATGTGCAAGCCCCACCGCTGCCCGCACATTGCCATGACCGGCAACATCTGCGTCTACTGCCCCGGAGGCCCCGACTCGGACTTTGAGTACTCGACGCAGGCGTACACGGGCTACGAGCCCACCAGCATGCGGGCCATCCGCGCTCGCTACGATCCGGCGCTGCAGACGCGGCACCGCGTTGCCCAGTTGAAGCGTCTCGGCCACTCCGTGGACAAAGTGGAGTTCATCGTCATGGGCGGCACCTTCTTGTCGCTGGACGCGCGCTACCGGGACTATTTCATTCGCAGTCTGCACGACGCGCTGTCGGGCCACTCGTCCACGAGCGTGGAGGAGGCGGTGAGGTACTCGGAGCAGAGTTCGACCAAGTGCACGGCCATTACCATCGAGACGAGACCGGACTACTGCTTGAAGCCGCACCTGCACGATATGCTGCGCTACGGCTGCACGCGCATCGAGATCGGAGTGCAGAGCGTGTATGAGGATGTGGCCCGCGACACGAACCGCGGACACACGGTGGCTGCTGTCTCGCACTGCTTCCAGCTGGCGAAGGACTGTGGATTCAAGATCGTTGCTCATCTGATGCCCGACTTGCCGAACATGGGCATGGAACGCGATCTCGCCGGCTTCCGCGAGTACTTTGAGAACCCGCGCTTCCGAAGTGACGGCATCAAGCTTTACCCGACCCTTGTGATCCGCGGCACAGGTCTGTACGAGCTCTGGAAGACGGGCGCGTACAAGAACTACTCACCCGAAGATTTGGTGGATTTAATGGCGCGGCTGCTTGCTTTGGTGCCGCCATGGACCCGGGTGTACCGAGTTCAGCGAGACATCCCCATGCCGCTCGTGACATCGGGTGTCGAGCACGGTAATTTACGTGAATTGGCGCTGGCGCGAATGCGCGATCTCGGACTCGTGTGCAACGATGTACGGACGCGTGAAGTGGGAATCAAGGGCATTCATGACCAGAGTGTTCCCGACCAAGTAGAGCTCGTTCGCCGCGACTACGTAGCCAACGGTGGCTGGGAGACGTTCCTTTCGTACGAGGACCCGCAGCAGAACATCTTGATCGGCCTGCTGCGTCTACGCCAGGCCAGTCTCGCTTCATTCCGTGACGAGATTACCCCGGGTTGTTCGATCGTGCGTGAGCTACACGTGTACGGGTCATCGGTTCCGCTGCACGCGCGAGACCCGACCAAGTTCCAGCACCAGGGCTTTGGAACGTTGCTGATGGAAGAGGCAGAGCGCATTGCACTGGAAGAGCACGGCTCGCACAAACTTGTGGTTATCGCTGGCGTTGGCACTCGCAATTACTACCGCAAGCTTGGTTACGAGATTGATGGGCCGTACATGTCCAAATATCTATAAATGGGCAGAGTGCGATGCTGTTAGATCGACACGCGTGGGTACTGTGCACTTGTATTTCTTTGGAATGTGTTACGTTTACCTCTTCTGGTGGTTGATGTACCGGAGTGCCAGCAGGGAGAGGACTCGGAAGACAAGGATGAAGATGAAGACGCATCCGAAGTGGCTCCAGATGTCTGCATACCTGATGTTGTAGACTTGCTCCATGTATCCTTTCACCGTTGTGTGGCCAACAGACAGGGGCACGTTTTCCACTGGTTGGCAACCAAGCTCAGAACCAACGTTGATATACGCCTGGGTCTCTTCATCGTACGTGGGGTCGTGAGAGCAGTGGCCGAACAGGAGCGACACGAGGATGGAGAGCGAATACCGTTGGGGCGTGATGTAGTAGAGCCACTTGTAGCCTTCAGGGATGGATCCAGCGGGAGGGTTAAAGCTGGTGAACAGCATGGATACGGAGCTAATGAGCACACCCACGATGGCGGCCACTTCCACGCTTGGTAGCGCGTAAATGCAGAACTGGCCGAGGTATGTTTGCACCAGAATGAAGAGCGAGAGGTTGATCCAGTACAGCACCCACGTCGTGAAGGTTGTGAAGCCCATTCCGGTGCGCGCTCGCGGTAGTACGACTCGCGCTCATGGCCCGTGAACGGTAATGTACCGACGAACGCGACAACGCCATTGTACTGCGTCGTCATGAACACGACTCCGACAACGGCATTGAGACCCTGGTATGAAGCGTACTCTCGCCTCAGCAGCACAACACCAAACACGCCCAGAATGAGCGAGATCATGATACGCGTCAGCGTATATGATGATGTGCGCCAATTAAGCAGCTCGGACGCAGTGGTGCTTGATTCTTGGCGAACAACGGGCACCTCCACGACGAGCGAGAGGTCTTTGCAGCGCACCTCCATCTGCGGCAGTGCGCGTCCCAACGCAGGTTCGAGTTGTTGTGCGACGAAGTCGTAGAAGACGGCCTCACCCTTGGCCATGAGTGCTTGGCCGGACTCGAGGCTTGGCTGGAGCTTGGACGCTGGGTGGGAGCCGACTGTGGTTTCGTTGGAGGTCGAGAGGACGATGGTTGTGGAATCAACCGCCCTGGGCGAAACTGGTTTTGTTTGGGCTGCAGAGTTGGTGGAAAAAGAAGAGTGCGTCCTTGGTGCATGAACCTGGCCGAGCTGTTAGGATCCACACTCATCACGCCAATCATAATAATCTGTGGCAAGCGTGTTAAGTGGTTGAAGACCGAGACCATGCCACACTCGCGACTCGTTTTGGCCGGCAGACTGCAAGTCAACCTGGATGAAATGCACAGAAAGTCCCTGATGGTTGATCTCGCAAGGGCATCTGAAGGCTGCGATTCTTCCTGCACATTGGAAACGGAAGGCGGCGTCGTGAATAGGCTTGCCAACGAGCCGACAGGGATGATACGTGCACGGTCAGTGGTGGTGTGTCATTTTGAGTAAGGCACATAAAGAGTTCGGCCAGATCCGATTTGAGACGGGCGTTGGATCGTGCGATCACGTCACTTGGATCGCGATTGACGTCTTTCTGTAAACGAGATAATCAGTCCCGCTCGCAACGAACTCCGGGTTGCACATGTACTTGAGACTCTGATTCACATGTTGGCTCTACTGTAGTACGTCCTACTACATGTCACGGGAAGCAGAATCTGGCAAACTCGGCCAGGCTGCATCTACTTTGATGCGCCGGTCAACTGAACCCGTCCAATCGTGTGAGCACTCGACCAGCTAAAGGAAATTGACGTTGAAAGGCGAGCATGGAATTTATTGTGAATTATCTCTTCTGGTGGTTGATGTACTGGAGCGCCAACAGCGACAAGAAGCGGAACACAAAGAGGAAGATGAAGACGCACCCGAAGTTGCTCCACACCTCGTCGTATTTCATGTTGTACACGTCCGCGATGTAGCCCTTCACGGTCGTGTGGCCGACGGACAGCGGCGTGCTCTGCAGCGGCTGGCACGCCAGCTCCGACCGCACGTTGATGTACGTCTGCGTGGCTTCGTCGAACGTCGGGTCTTCGGGGCAGTTGCCAAACAGCAGCGCCACGAGGATGGAGAGCGAGTACCGTTGGGGCGTGATGTGGTAGAGCCACATGTAGCCGCTCGGGATGGATCCGGCGGGCGGGTTGAAGCCGGCGAACAGCAGGAAGATGGCGTTGATCAGCACGCCCACGATAGCCGCCACCTCGACGCTCGGCAACGCGTAGATGAAGAGCTGGCCGAGGTACGTCTGCATGAGCACGAAGAGCGACAGGTTGACCCAGTACAGCAGCCACGTCGTGAAGGTTGTGAAGCTCATCAACGGGTAGAAGGGGGCGGTGAACAGGAAACCACTGAAGAAAATGTACGGGATCGGCCTGCGTTGCGCCAACGAAGTACCAGAGCGCTGCGTACGTCTGCGACGCGCGCTCCCTGTAATACGATTCACGTTCATGGCCCGTGAACGGTAGCGTTCCAACATAGGCAGCGATACCGTTGTACTGCGTCGTCATGAAGATGACACCCACCGCGGCATTGAGGCCCTGGTATGTTCTGTACTCCCCGTTCACCAGCACCAAGCCGAAGACAATGCCGAGGCAAAGCGAGATCATCAAACGCGTCAGGTTGTACGATGGAGTGCGCCAATAAATCGTCAGAAAGCGAGCGACGAGCATCCGCAGCTGCGTAACTGAGCTCGCGGCGCGCTTGCTCTTGAAAATCATCTCCGGTACATCTGATAAGGGCGAGGTGACCCCTGGTCGATCCAGTCCACTGAGCAAAGCCTGCTGCTCGGCGCTCTCGCGGAAGTGCTGCACGAAGTCCACGTTTGTGGCAGCGTCCGCTGTTGACTTCTCGCCTGCTCCAGCCACTCCAGCACCAATGCACTCCAACATCCATGTCGCAGGGTTCTGACCCTCGGGCAAACGCGCCACCTCCGGGATCGCCTCGAAGTAGTCGATCAGGTGGCCGCACTCGCGGTCGTCGGGCTGCGCGTTGTCCAGCTCACCGAAGAACACCATCTCGCCGCCGCGCTTCAGCAGCAACAGACTGTCGAACAAGAAGAAGACGTCGGACGAGGGCTGGTGGATCGTGCACACCACGGTGCGGCCGCTGTCCGCCACATTTCGCACGCCGTCCATGATCACCTTGGCCGAGTGAGCGTCCATGCCGCTGGTGGGTTCGTCCAGGAACAGCACACTCGGTTGCGCCGCGAGTTCGACACCGATAGTGAGGCGCTTCATTTGCTCCTGCGATCGACCGCGGATGATCTGGTCGGCAATGGGGCGCAGATCCAGCGAGTCCAGACACTCCTCCACGGTCGTCAACTTGGCACGCTCCGATACACTACTGTCCTGGCGCAAGAAGGCGCTGAACGTGAGCGCCTCTCGGATGGTGGCCCCCTCCGAGTGGATGTCCTGCTGCTCGCAGTATCCTGTGCATCGTCGAATGGCCAGCTCAGTCGCGGGGTATCCGTTGAGAAGAATTTCGCCCTGGATGGTGCCTCCAGTCTTGCGGCCAGCGATCACGTCCATCAAGGTTGTTTTACCAGCACCCGACGACCCCATGAGCGCCGTCATGGTACCAGGTAGAGCGTATCCGCTGATGCCCTTGAGTAGGTCGATAGACTCGTGTCTGTGGTGGGGCAAAGGAACGGAGTACCAGAGGTCTTTGAACGCCAAAGCGACTGGTACAAACCTTGCCTGTTCCTCGTGCAGGTCTACCACGACCATGTCTGACGGCGCTTCTTCTTGTGCTGGTGAGCTTGAGGCAGCTCGTGGAGTGGCGACCATGACGTAGCTGGCTGTTCCGTCCGGACGGCTTGGCTGCTCTTGCTCTTCCGGAATGTCGTCCAGCTCGCTCTTTTCCTTGTCATCGACGAAGCTGGCGACAACTGCCACCGTGGCAGCAGGAACGTCGTACCGCTTGTGCTGGAGAATGTAGCTGCCGGCCACCACGAAGAACGCGATCGAGAACAGCAGGAACAACACGCCACCCCACACCCACGCCTTGTTTGACGGTACGTCGTACAGCGACAACGAATACTCGCCCATGGTCATGTTGTACTGAGAGCAGTAGTCTTCACCCGCGTACACGCAAACGTCAAACTTGGGCGAGCGATACTGGTTCACGGCAACTGCACGCAGACACCACGCGAGCGGGTTGAGCCAGTAGATCCACAGGAAGAAGGCCGGAAGCTGCGTCTTGGGCACCACGAACCCAGCAAAGACGACATAAAACGTAATGGAGAACGTCGAGCAGGGCTTGGCGATGTTGAAATTCGGGGCCATGGCCGTCAGCGTGAAGAACCACGCGCACAGTGCGAGGTTGGTGAGAACCATGCAGAGCAGGAAGAACAGGAAGTAGCCCACGCCACCGACGAAGCCGCACATCCAGTACACGAAGCAGCTGAACACCAGACACTCGGCAAAAGCCGATGGCACCAGCGCCGTCAGACACGCGATCGCGAACGACGAAGTGCGGTAGAAGTTGGCCCGCCGGTGCTTGTAGTAGATCTCGCGGGCTGCGATAAACACTGGGGTTTGAGATGCCTGGCCCATGGCCAGGAACATGGTGGTCTGGTACAGTACGCCCAACGCCACCTGAGCATTTGTCGGGTCAAACCCGAAGAACGTGCTGCCGTAGATGAGACCCATGACAACCACCATTAGCGCCCGAACCCGCATGAAATCCGTGTTGCGAAGCTCCAGAAGCATCTGCCGGCGCATTACAGTCAGGGTGCCGGCCCAAAACGACTGCCGGAACTCAGGCATCTTCATCAGATGCTCCTTGCCATCACGCACACGCTCGTCACTCCAAGGCGCGTCCAGAGTTTGCATGATTTGCTGGTGAATTTCCGACTGGCGAAACAGATCCGCAAACTCACTCGCCAGTCGAGGAGACTGAACGGAGAAGGATGCGTGGGTGCTCGCCTTCGCCACCTCGTACTGGTACTGCTGGTCCGTGCCCAGATCCAACAGGTAGTCGGCCACGTCGTGGTCCGGCGGACAGACAAAGCCCAAGCTCTCGAAGTACGGCACCACGTGCTCTCGAGGCCCGTGGTACATAACTTCGCCATCGTTCAGCAGCAAAATGTTGTCGAAGAGCTCGAACACTTCCGGCGCAGGCTGCAGCAACGCCATCACCACCGTCTTGTGCAGCTTCTTGGCGATATCACGCTGCGTGCAGACGATGTCGAACGTGGCCGCGCTGTCCAGGCCCGTGCTGATCTCGTCCATGAACGTCGCGTACTTCATGCCGAACTCCATCTCGCCGGTTGTCACGCGCCGACGCTCGCCGCCGGACACGCCGCGCTTCAACGCGTTGCCGATTACTGTATCACGACAAGTCTGCAGACCGAGCTGCTCCACGATCACGTCCGGATAGTTCTTGTAGAGCGATTCGGCAGCTCGCAGCGCCGTCTCGTTCTGCTCAGGCGTGCCACACGATAGCATCTCCTTTCCAAGTCGAGACGTCACTTCCTGGGGGCAACATGCATGGGCGAACTCGAGCGTCTCCTGCACAGACAAGGTCGGAAAGTGTTTGTCGCTCTGCGGGACGTACGCGGCCAGTTGGGGCAGCTTCGGCAGCAGCTCCTTCCACGTGCACCCGTTGTACGAGAGGTCTCCTTGCAGGGCGACGTTTTTCTCCATGGGGAGCTGGCCGCTCAACACCTTCATGAGCGACGACGTGCCGGATCCGGGTTGTCCAAGCACGAGCGTGATGGTGCCCGGTTCGAACACGGCGTCCACGCGATTGAGTATGTGTCTCTGGGTCACGTGCTTGGTTGCGGCAAGTTTGCGGACGACGCGCTTGACGCTGTTGTAGACGGAGGGCAGCTCGGACGCAGTGGTGCTTGATTCTTGGCGAACAACGGGCACCTCCACGACGAGCGAGAGGTCTTTGCAGCGCACCTCCATCTGCGGCAGTGCGCGTCCCAACGCAGGTTCGAGTTGTTGTGCGACGAAGTCGTAGAAGACGGCCTCACCCTTGGCCATGAGTGCTTGGCCGGACACGAGGCTTGGCTGGAGCTTGGGTGTAGCTGTAGCTTGCGGTGCAGTTGGAGCGACCATGGTCGTGTTTTGATTGCCAGTGTTCATCTGGTGTGATGGGTCTTGGACAAGGTAAAACGAAGAATGAGCTTCCAGTTGCAGTTCTCACTTCAGCCGCTTCGAATGGTTTGCACACTCATCTGGTCGGGATCATTCCGAATCCGTGGTAACTTGCCATAGCGTGGTTGAAGAATGTCACATGTTGATCTCGGATTGAATAAAGCAAACGAAAGGCAATGTACCGTAGGCTACGGTCCGTAGCAGCACAAAACGCCCCATTCGGTCACGTTGACAACGTCCCAAACAACCGATGATCCCGTTCTCGCAGATCTTCGCTCGCCTAACTGCAGCGCTCACATTCGACTCAAGTGCCATTGACAGCGTCCAGCGCTGGACGCTCGCAATCTCTTTGTCTCCGTTTGCGCGTTCATAACCGGCGCATCTTTCGACGGTCGTCACGTCAATGATGAGGTGGACGAAATCCGTCCGTCGGTCGTCGTGATGAGGTGAACGCCTGAGACGAGTTGCACCACGTCGCATCACTCCACCTAAGTACATGTACACACGATAGCTACAATGCACAAAGTCAGATATGCAGCAGCCTCTTTGCCTACCTCACGTCCGCTGAGACCAAATGGAGTTTGGGGCTACATCTCAAAAAGTTAGATTTCATAAACACTCAAAAACTGTTTTGCGTCTAAGTTGTTGTGGGCCTCCGCCCCGTTAGTCGAGCTTCTCCTTGGCGGTTGGGATGTGGATGACGTTGGTGCCCGTGACCTTGATGAGGGTCTCAGGAGAGCGGAGCACGCGCACCAGTGTCTCGAAGATGCGCACCTCGTCCTTCAGGTGCCCCACGTAATGCTCGTGTCGGGCGATGTAGATGCCCTCCACCAGCTCCAGCACGTCTTCCGGGTCAGGTAGCTCCTCGTATTGGATCTGGAACAGCTTGCCGCGGAAGAACCCCTTGACGGCGCTACCCACAGTGACCACCACGAACACGTACACGGCGGTGAGTCCGTACGAGCTGATACCGAGCGTCGTGAGACCCTGCACGATGCGGTCCGACACGGCCACGATGCAGAACGGGTAGGCCGCGGAGCAGTAGTTCGTGCCCGACTCCCCTATCACCGGCGTGATCGTCCACCACGTCGAGCCGTCCGACGCGTGCTTGGTGACGGCCACTGAGCGCATCTCGGTCGACCGCTGGAGGACGCCGCTGTTGGCCGTCAGCTGCAAGACGGCGGGGAAGAGGTTGTCTATCTGGATGGAAGCCACCGTCGAGCTGCCATCGTCTTCCGTCACGGTCTGTTTGATCATCGGGATAAGCGCGTTGCGGTGCTCATCGGTCATTCGGACGGAATACTTGGACGAGATCACCTCGTCGTCCGTGGGGCCAGGCCGCGTGAACGTGAACTCGATGGTCCAGTTGAGCGCCTGCGTGGACTGCAGCTGCGTCACGAGGAGGTCCATGCGAGGCGGGGATAAGGCCCACACGTCGTACGAGAAGACGTCGAACTCGACGCACTGCACGGACGCGCTGTCCGTGTTGAGGTCGACCTTGCAGGATGGGCTGTTGCTGTCGCTGTTGGAGTATAGCTGGTTCATGGTCTCCTGCTCGTCCACGATGCCAAACACGACCGTAGTCAGCGTCACCTCGTTCGCCGTCGTGCTGGGGTTGATGGAGCTGAACATGGCCAGCGGACCCACGAGACAGATGAGCAGGAACAGCAGCATGACGCCGGCCGACGCCATCTTCTTCCTCATGGGCTGCCGCTTCTTGCCCTGGAGGATTTCGGCCTCCTCCACTCGGCCTTTCATCTCGCCTTTGACGCCGAAGAGGTGGGCCGCAGTGTCTTCCAGCAGCACCCAGTGCTGCCAGCTCAGCGACGTCTTGGTGCAGATGTAGTCCAGCAGGGCGCGCATCTCGAACAAGAACGGCGCCTGCATCATCAGCCCGAAGAGCATCTCGCTCACCGCAGTCACCCTGGTCTCCTCTGTGTAGTTGTAGCGGCTGCCGAGGTACGCCGGGTAGCCGTATCGGATCTGCAGCGCGCCGAGCCAGAGGTACACGCACTGGAAGAGGTAGAACGCCACAAGCGCTGGTCGTTGCTGGAAGTAGATGTTGGTGTTGCTAGGAAGGAAGTACCACACAGTCATGTGCAGCGCGAACGTGTACGCGTACTGCAGTACGACCTTGGACTGCAGCGACGAGCAGACGTAGGCCACGCGGTCCCAGATGATGAAGATCAGCTCGATCAACACCAGCAGCACGAGGTACCCAGACAGCAGCGACGACGACGACACGCGGCTGTTTGCGTCCGCCACTGAGGTGCTGCTCGAGTCTGCCTCGCCCAACTCCTCATAGAAGATGACGGCGTAGATAGACGAGAAGAGGAGCACCGACAGCGACGCAGTATAGAAGTCACGGCCGGGTTTCTCCCCCGTAATGGCCACCTGGATGTCCTTATCCCATTGAGCTGGCGGCTTGCAGATGACCGTCTGGAAGTACTCGTAGGCCTTGGGGTACTTCTTCTGAAGCCATGATTCCTTGGCGCGCGCGTGGAACCCGACCTCCGACTCGTCCGCGTCCATGTCAACCTGCTTCGAGACGACGTTGTCTGCGCCTGCCCTTGGAGAACGGGGAGAACGGGGCGACATGTTGCCTGCAGACCGGCGCGACGAAGGAGAGTGCGCCACATTGTCAGCCGCATTCTGAGCTGCAGCCATCGCTGCCTCCGCCTTCTTCTGCTCAGCTTCCTGCTTCTCCTGCTCACGCATCTCTTGTAGAACCTGCGCTGCGACCTCGTTGCAGATGTCTGCGTTGTCCAAGCTCACAACACTCGCGTTAGTCGCTGCCCTCTCCACTATCAGAAGGTTCCTGCTGCTGCGCTGAGAGGTGAAGGACGGAGCCCCTTGCGCTCTGAAGACCGAGCGCGCGCTCTTGGTACGCTCGAGCTTCTTGGTGGTAACAGGACCATCGTACAGGAACGCGTCGTCAATGGAGTCGTGCGACGAAGAGAACGATGCTCGCAGTCCGCGCATGACCTCGGACTTGTAACGTGACGAAGCCTGGTCGTCCACCAAGTCCCCACTGTGAGCTTCCGCCCAGAAGCCCTGAAGGCGAAGCTCTCGCTGGTGCCACAACAGGAACAGCATGACGTAAAAGTCCCATTGCAAGCCGTCGTACACTGACGTGATGTCGCTGATAGCGATCCCGTCGAACTTGTAGAGCCCGAACAGCACCATCGGCTGGATGGATTTCGCGTTGGTCGCTGCGTCGCTCGCTGCCGTGCAGTACGGCTCAAAGCTCGGGTAGAAGTAGCCGACGTCGGTCATTCCAGTGCAGAAGATCGAGAGCTGGAACAAATACCGCAACGCAGTGATGCAGCACGTCTGGTTAGGCAGCAACACAGAGGTCAGTTAGTTGTCAAGAGAACGATCCACTCAAGTGCAAACGATACTTACGTAAGCCAGGAGGTGCGTCCACACCATCGGGGCCGGACGAGGGTTCTCGACGACCAAAAAGCCGAAGACGGCCATTACGTAGACCATGTTCAGCAAGTCCGCCTGTCAAAGGTCAGCAGCAACAACGCATAAGTACTCAGCGTTTGCGAGATATGTGCATATCGGCTGCAATACCGTACCTGTACAGTAAAGCAGATGACCATGGCCAGGCAGCAGATACTCGCGCTCTTGCTGCGCACCCCGTTGATGACAAGCTGGCCGATCTCAGCAACCGAAGGCTCATTCAGATCGTCTTCTTCATACTGCGTGGTCTCCAGCTTGAACCCGGCGTTCTGGAGGTTGTACAGGAGTCTGTACAGCGGGATACGCCAGGCAAAGCCGCTCTTGTCATCGAACTCCTCGTCCTCTGGGTCGCCCAACATACTTTCGTCACCGGTCACACTGCTCCATTCGCTCTTGTTCTCGTCGTAGTTCGGGTCATCATCGCCACTGCGAGACGGTGGAGCGACGTCGAGAGGGTTCGGCAAGCTCCGCTCCTTGAGGCACTCCATAATGCTTTCGTCCAATGCTTCACGCGGAACAGCAAACGCCAGCGCCGAGAGGAACATGTTGAACTCCTTCGTGAGCTCCGACTGGAACACGTACTTGACGTCGCCGCGGCTGCCGGCGTGGCGCACGACAATCTCGAAGCAGTACAATGACGGTGACATGTCGTCGAACTGCACCTTGGTGTCACTGAGCTTGAGCGAGATCACGTCGCGCCATTTGAACGACGTTTTCAGGCGCTTCCTGTGTTTGCGACTGCGGTGTCTGAGCGCCTTGTCTTCGTCTTGGTAGAACACCAAGTGACTCGAGTCGATGACCACGTAGCGGTGCAGATACTTGGCCTTCATCCACGCGACCAGGAAGCCGAAGCGAGGCGCTGGCAGCTTCTCGCGGCGATACTTCATCCAGCCAGCGGTGGTCGATCCATCCAGGTTCAAAGGGTAAGTTGCGATGGGGTCGCTGGCGGCACTGAACGGGCCTTCTCCCATTCGCGAGACAGCGCACACTTTGAACTGGTAGCTGGTTCCGGGGCGAAGGCCTTCGATTCGAGCCTCACAGCGGTCGCCAGAGATCTCGACAATGTCTCCAAAGTCTCCGAGGAGTGTCATGGACGGAAACTGTTGCCGCGAGATGCGGTAGTAGCGGATCTTGTGGTAGCTCCCCGTGGGCTTTTCCCACGAGATCGTGGCCGAATTCTGCGTGCGCTCAACCGCAACAGGTTTGGTCGGGGCCATCGGGGGCAGATTATGGTGCAGACCCAAGGCGATGTCCATGAGCTCCTCGACCTTATGCACGAGCTTGGAGACGATGATCTTGAGCCGCTGGATCGCTGCGTTCTTGTCCTTCTTCATAGCGTACCATTGCTCCGTTCGCCGACGATAGAAGTCACGCACGATCTCCTCCCGACGAATTGACGCGCGGCTCTGCTCGCTGATGAGAATCGAGAGCACGGTCTGGTACGTTGGCGCGATGAGAATCTCGCACTGGATGGAGATCAGCACAAACAGAGCGATGAGGCCGTACGGGACCTTGTTGGCTTCCACACCGAGGAAGTTGGCGACGGACATGCAGCTATCGTCATCCCCCGACCTTGTTCCGATGAGGCAGTTGCTCAGCGCAGAGTACACGTAGGGCGCATTGATGAGGGTGATAACGAACAAGTGGCCCCAGTTCCACTTGCGCAAGTATTGGATCCACGGGTTGGAAGGCTCGCGCGCTTCGTCCAGTCGATACAGCATCACCAACGCCCCCAGCAGATACGCGATCGAGACTGCACCGCCTTGCTTCGCACCGAACACGAACACTAAGAGCAGCAGCAGCGGCAACCAGTTCGCAAGGAACACAAACTCCAGGTAGTGCCAGACGTACTTGCGCATCAGCAAGACGTACGTGACCTCCCCGGAGGACACTGCGAAAGGAACTTTGCTCGTGCCTCCAGTGCTGTCGTCAACCAGTACGCTGTCGTGGGTTAGCTTCAGGGTTGCTGCTGATTCATCGACCACCGTGATCACCTCCTCGTCTTCAACGAATCTCTTGGAATCCGGCAGGAGATACACACTCAGCAGGGCCACAAAGTCCGCCATCAGCGCCCACTTGTGCTGGTTGCTCAGCACCAGCCACTTCTCGTAAGTGTCCGAGATGGACCGCCACGGGAAGGTTTCCTCCATGTTGATGTCCAGGAAAGGAGGGAACCACAAGATCACCGAGTACTCCAGCACGATCACCAAGGACAACATCCACGCTAACGCCCACCATCGTCTGCACACCGTCGCAGGATATGCGTACATCATGCTGTACACGATGAGCAGATAAATCATCGCGATGATGTCTTGGTGGACAAAGCACGACACTGTGAGCAAGAGCATCACCACGTTCACGGACGCCTTGCTGGCGTACGTGGTGCAGAAGCTGCGCAGGCACGAAAAGAAATCCTTGTCATCCGCGGAGACGGCTGACAACGTTGTGTGGCCCCGTTTACTGTCCTGCTCACTCTCCGACGTCGGCTTTGCCTTCTTCGAGCGCACAAGCGCAATGTCGTCGTCATCGTACGTGAAAGCACGAGCGCGGTCTTTGAGATCATCTTCGTCGTCGTCCACTTCGCAAGAGGAGGTGGGGTGATACGAGTCCAGGTTATTTGCTGCATACAGCGCGTACTGCTCTTCGAACCGAGCCGTCAGTTCCTCGAGCTCTGCTTGGCGTCGAGCTGACGACGATGAGTCGAAGTACTGCGCCACACGCTGAAGCGCGCACATCAGGATGATCCAGAACTCCCCGGACAACAAATCCCACAGCTGCGGCTTGCCAACACTGTCCTTGTAGCGCTCGTCCAGGCGAATCATGCCGACCCAGTCACTGTCGTCGCCAGGCTTGAACAGCACGTCACTGCCACTTTGTTCCGTGTTGAAGGTGCTCAACTGGATCAGGTATTTCAACAACATCGACAGCGCCGCTAGCCAGAAAAGCGGAAACCACAGCTGCTTCCACGAGTCGCTCAAGGCTCGGCCTCCGATCAGAAGCACAATGTAGAGCCATCCCACGAAGCTGATCTGGTCTAGCGCAACCCACATGGTCACAATCACCAGCGTCGTCGCGCTGAACGAGATCAACAGGTGCTGCACAGTTTCCATCACGAAGCGGATGCAATCGGCTGCGCGGCTTCGGCCAGCAGTGAAAAAGTCGTACGGCGTGACGTCCTTCATCATGGACGAGAGCTGCCAGAAGCACAGCCCCATCATAACCGCGGTGGGGAGCAAGTACAGGAAGACGTCAGAGATTCCACTGTTGGACGCGTGGTATTCGAGGCCGAAGTCTTGCGCTGAAATGAAGGCGGACGTGAAGAAATGCTCCTCCAAGTATGTCGACACTTCCTCGAACTGGTAGATGTATCTCGCCACCAAGATCACAACTTCAACCAGCAGCGCCAACGACCACAGCACCTGGAGGCGCAACGACGTTCTCGGAGCCGACTGGAAGCCGCCCAAATGATTACCGAAGATGATCAGGAACAACGCCAACTGCACGCCCCCGACCATATTCGTGCTCAAGCTGTTTGGCCCACTCTCGAACTGCAGCACCACGACGATGAACGCAGTGTAGCAAAGTAGCACTCCACAGATGCGGAACCAATTGTCGATCTCTACTGCAAGTCTGGAGACGAAGAAGACGGGGTTCTGTCGGACATGTTCCCGCGTTTTCATGCGTTCCTCGATTGCTTCACTGTTGGCCACATAGATCACAAGCTGAAAGACCAACTGGAAGATGATCAGAAGCTGTGCGCTAAAGAGTGTTGGCCACAACGACCCCCACGTGTAGAGCCCTGGGTGATAGCACTGCAGCCCGATAAGCTCCATCTCGGAGCTCTCCGTGCAGTCGACATTGCGGAGAAACACGGCAAAGCAGGCCCCAAGGGCATAAAGCAGTAGCACGCGCCAAAACCGCCGTCGCTTCTCGAAAAACAGCATGAGCATCGCAGCAAGAACCAAGTATCCGATCTGCAAGAATGAAACGTGGGTGCTCAGCGCGACAACTAAAGACAAGCAACATCAAGTCAGTGTCAGCACAAACCACGTATGAACACCAGCTCTGATCACCGCAAACGCCTTACTTAAAATCGTGGCAAGAACCAGCGCGTCCAAATGGGTGAAGATAACCCGCTTTGCGTCGATAATCCACAATCGCGCTGCTGCTTGCCAGCCTGATTGGACTTCCTGCAATGATGCACAACAACCATAACCCACCATAAGCCCCTGTACAACTCCTTGCTCATCGTAGAACACACTTACACTGCGCATCTTCGCCAGGCGCACGAAGTTGGCAAAGCTTGCTCTTTCACCATTGACCACGGGGTCCCCGTCCTCAGCGGCGCGAGAGACCTTGGCCGTGTTTCGGCGTTTTCTGGACTCGCGTAGGACGTCTTGATACCGCCACTGCGTTCGGATGGCCAGAAACATGAACACGAGGCACAGCGTGTGCGCTCCAATATCGAGAAATGGGTAGTCGAACACGCGCAGGCCGTACGTCGTGTAGCCATCCGGCACGAAGTTGATCGTCAGGTTGCTCGTGTACTCTGCGACCGCCATGAGCGTGCCGTACGCGATCAGCAGCCACATGAAGATCGACGACGACAGGACTCCGAACGATGCGATGGTCACGAACGCCAGTCCTAAGAACGCGGCCGACAGGTAGGAGGGGTACGATACGCACCACACAATGGCCGCCGCGCTGCCCAGCAGGAGACCTCCGTCGCGGGCGAAAGCTCGAACTACGATGGACTGTTGACTCAGCAGGTCTTTGATGTCTGCAGTCTGGGCCCGATGCCTTTCATCAAGCGGGTCAAGCAGCGACCGCGCCACGTCGGCATCCACAGAACCTAAGTCGACCGTTGCGGCTTCTTCATTGGAGAACCCAGATGCAATGCTCGACCTGCTCCTCGTGCCACTCTCCTTCGCTTCCGCGTGCAGGTTGTGCAGCTTGGCGCAGCTAACAAAGAGCAGGAAGAGGAAGCCCGCGAAGAAGTAGTACTGCCACCGAACTCCGCCGTCCCGAAAGTTTGCAAAGCCCGCGTACTTGCCGACCTCCTGCACTGTGTCGTTGTCGGTCAGCTGGTCCACTTGGAAGACGTACCATGCCACGATGATGATGAGACTCAAGCCCAGCACGACGTTCGTGGTCTTTGGCCCGAGGAAGTAGCTCGAGAACTTGACGCCCGACTTGCGAGAGAGCAGTTCCTGCACCGTCATCCTGCGCACGAACACCGTGTAGCCGATCAAGCGCTGCAGCAGCAGCACGTACAGTACGCCCGTGGCGAAGGCCGGCACGGACACGGACGTGAGGAACAGCAGCACGGCGCTGAACAGCTCCACTGCGCGCAGCATGGACCGCCGCCGGTCGCGCTTGGGCTCACTGCGGTTGATGAGCTGCTCGCCCATCTCGAACAGGTCGAAGTGCTGCTGGGCCAGCTCCTGCTCGCGCTGCTCCTTGGACCGCGTGTTGAGTCTCCGCAGCACGTACCAGTAGTGGAACGCGCTGCAAACTAGCACCAGCACGTCCACGCCGACGCCCTGGAGATACTCCTTCGAGTTGTGCATGGGCCGGAAGCCGAAGAGCTTGGCCACGTCCGCGCCCGCATAGCTGTCGTCGTCTCCGTAAATTCCCCTGATGGCCGCGTGGCAGGCGCAGGCCACGAGCGCTACGGCCAGTGTCAGCAGGGTCACGGCCCGCGACTGGAACGACTGCACCGTGCCGTAGCAGAACACCAATAAATAATACAGCGACACGAGGTTGGCCCGCGCGCCCACGGCCACGATCAGGCACAGCGCGAACAGCACCTCGGCCGCCGTCCGCAGCACGGCCAGCGCCCGCAGCGACAGTTTGTGGTCGGGCCGCCGCTCGCTCGGCACTTGGTGGCTGCCGGCCGTGGGATGCGAGTGCAGGCCGGACGCGTTCAGGCGCAGCGACTGGTCTCGGCGGAACGAGCCGTGCGGGCCGAAGGACGGCGTGGCCACCTGGCCGTAGGCCGCGCCCACGTCCTGGGGCCGCGTGGGCGTCAGGACGATGCGTCCGTCCGCGCCGATGAACGAGGAGGACGCGTCGTGGCCCGAGGCATTCGGCCGCCGCATTTGACACAAGGTGGGAGGAATGTGGAATGGCCCCACATGGGCGGCGGTGCCGTTTGATGGACTCGATTTTGCACCAGCAGCTTGGGCGCTCGAGACATTTTGTGCATGGGAAGGAGCGTTTCAGCAATAGAAGCCATCGCTCTGAGAACGTTTATTCGCGTCTGCCCGCGTGCCTTGTCGTCGCTATCCATAGCTTGCAGTGCAAGTTCTACACATGCCGGCTCATTGACGATTTCAAGGTGGCGGAGGCAAGGCCACGTGCGACTTGGCGTCGGCCACGTGTGACTTGGTTCAGCAGCCCACGCGGCGAGTTCTTACTTAACCTTACATTGCGACCAGCTCTTGCTGCTCCTGAGAGAGAATGCGCCGTCCATCCATGCTCAGTGTGGGGACGAGCTGTTGGTGATGTCGGTCCCCATCGAGTAGTCGGACCCAAGTTCAGTTCGACTTGTCAGCAGCGTCACTGAAGGTGGTCCGTCACTATTCGACTCAACACAGTCGTCGTGTTGATAAGTGAGCCCATGTCCGTATATCGAGGTGTCCTTCTAACCACTTCAACTTCGAGTGAAAATTCAACTAAACTATATTTTTGCTATACCTACTTCCTACCGATCTACCGCTTCTGGTGGTTGATGTACCGGAGCGCCAACAGCGACAAGAAGCGGAACACAAAGAGGAAGATGAAGACGCACCCGAAGTTGCTCCACACCTCGTCGTATTTCATGTTGTACACGTCCGCGATGTAGCCCTTCACGGTCGTGTGGCCGACGGACAGCGGCGTGCTCTGCAGCGGCTGGCACGCCAGCTCCGACCGCACGTTGATGTACGTCTGCGTGGCTTCGTCGAACGTCGGGTCTTCGGGGCAGTTGCCGAACAGGATCGACACGAGGATGGAGAGCGAGTACCGTTGGGGCGTGATGTGGTAGAGCCACATGTAGCCGTCCGGGATGGATCCGGAGGGCGGGTTGAAGCCGGCGAACAGCAGGAAGATGGCGTTGATCAGCACGCCCACGATAGCCGCCACCTCGACGCTCGGCATGGCGTAGATGAAGAGCTGGCCCAGATACGTCTGCATCAGCACGAACAGCGACACGTTGACCCAGTACAGCACAGCCGTTCCGAACGATCCGACGCCCATCAGTGGGAAGAAGATGATCGTGAACAGGAGGCCGCTGCCGAACACGTACGGGATCTCGGCGACCGTGGCGCCGACGAAGTACCAGAGCGCATTATACGTTTGGCTATCACGCTCACGATAGTACGAGGCGCGCTCGCGCAGCGTGAACGGCAGGCAGCCGACGTACGTGATGTAGCCCTGGTACAGCGCCGTCATGAAGATGATGCCAATCGCCGAGTTCAGGCCTTGGTACGTCGTGTAGTGGCCATCGATCAGGACCAATCCAAACACCACCGCGAGAGCAAACGCGATCAGGAAGCGAGTCAAGTTGTACGACGGCGTACGCCAGTAGATGGTCATGAACCGGCTCATCAGCATCCGAAGCTGGGTCAGCGGACTCGCAGCACGCTTGCGCGTGAAGATCAGCTCTGGCAGGCGATCAGGAGCCGGCATCGACACGCCCGGTTGGTTCAGACCTTCAACCAAAGCCTGTTGCTCGGTGCTCTGACGGAAGTGCTGCACGAAGTCAACATTTGCAGCGGTGTCCGTCATGGGTTTCTCGCCCGCCCCAGCCACTCCAGCACCAATGCACTCCAACATCCACGTGGCTGGGTTCTGACCCTCGGGCAAACGCGCCACCTCCGGGATCGCCTCGAAGTAGTCGATCAGGTGCGGTCGTCCGGCTGCGCGTTGTCTAGCTCACCGAAGAACACCGTCTCGCCGCCGCGCTTCAGCAGCAACAGACTGTCGAACAAGAAGAAGACGTCGGACGAGGGCTGGTGGATCGTGCACACCACGGTGCGGCCGCTGTCCGCCACATTTCGCACGCCGTCCATGATCACCTTGGCCGAGTGAGCGTCCATGCCGCTGATGGGTTCGTCCAGGAACAGCACACTCGGTTGCGCCGCGAGTTCGACACCGATAGTGAGGCGCTTCATTTGCTCCTGCGATCGACCGCGGATGATCTGGTCGGTAATGGGGCGCAGATCCAGCAAGTCCAGACACTCCTCCACGGTCGTCAACTTGGCACGCTCCGATACACTACTGTCCTGGCGCAAGAAGGCGCTGAACGTGAGCGCCTCTCGGATGGTGGCCCCCTCCGAGTGGATGTCCTGCTGCTCGCAGTATCCTGTGCATCGTCGAATGGCCAGCTCAGTCGCGGGGTATCCGTTGAGAAGAATTTCGCCCTGGATGGTGCCTCCAGTCTTGCGGCCAGCGATCACGTCCATCAAGGTTGTTTTACCAGCACCCGACGACCCCATGAGGGCCGTCATGGTACCAGGTAGAGCGTATCCGCTGATGCCCTTGAGTAGGTCGATAGACTCGTGTCTGTGGTGGGGCAAAGGAACGGAGTACCAGAGGTCTTTGAACGCCAAAGCGACTGGTACAAACCTTGCCTGTTCCTCGTGCAGGTCTACCACGACCATGTCTGACGGCGCTTCTTCTTGTGCTGGTGAGCTTGAGGCAGCTCGTGGAGTGGCGACCATGACGTAGCTGGCTGTTCCGTCCGGACGGCTTGGCTGCTCTTGCTCTTCCGGAATGTCGTCCAGCTCGCTCTTTTCCTTGTCATCGACGAAGCTGGCGACAACTGCCACCGTGGCAGCAGGAACGTCGTACCGCTTGTGCTCGAGAATGTAGCTGCCGGCCACCACGAAGAACGCGATCGAGAACAGCAGGAACAACACGCCACCCCACACCCACGCCTTGTTTGACGGTACGTCGTACAGCGACAACGAATACTCGCCCATGGTCATGTTGTACTGAGAGCAGTAGTCTTCACCCGCGTACACGCAAACGTCAAACTTGGGCGAGCGATACTGGTTCACGGCAACTGCACGCAGACACCACGCGAGCGGGTTGAGCCAGTAGATCCACAGGAAGAAGGCCGGAAGCTGCGTCTTGGGCACCACGAACCCAGCAAAGACGACATAAAACGTAATGGAGAACGTCGAGCAGGGCTTGGCGATGTTGAAATTCGGGGCCATGGCCGTCAGCGTGAAGAACCACGCGCACAGTGCGAGGTTGGTGAGAACCATGCAGAGCAGGAAGAACAGGAAGTAGCCCACGCCACCGACGAAGCCGCACATCCAGTACACGAAGCAGCTGAACACCAGACACTCGGCAAAAGCCGATGGCACCAGCGCCGTCAGACACGCGATCGCGAACGACGAAGTGCGGTAGAAGTTGGCCCGCCGGTGCTTGTAGTAGATCTCGCGGGCTGCGATAAACACAGGGGTTTGAGATGCCTGGCCCATGGCCAGGAACATGGTGGTCTGGTACAGTACGCCCAACGCCACCTGAGCATTTGTCGGGTCAAACCCGAAGAACGTGCTGCCGTAGATGAGACCCATGACAACCACCATTAGCGCCCGAACCCGCATGAAATCCGTGTTGCGAAGCGCCAGAAGCATCTGCCGGCGCATTACAGTCAGGGTGCCGGCCCAAAACGACTGTCGGAACTCAGGCATCTTCATCAGATGCTCCTTGCCATCACGCACACGCTCGTCACTCCAAGGCGCGTCCAGAGTTTGCATGATTTGCTGGTGAATTTCCGACTGGCGAAACAGATCCGCAAACTCACTCGCCAGTCGAGGAGACTGAACGGAGAAGGATGCGTGGGTGCTCGCCTTCGCCACCTCGTACTGGTACTGCTGGTCCGTGCCCAGATCCAACAGGTAGTCGGCCACGTCGTGGTCCGGCGGACAGACAAAGCCCAAGCTCTCGAAGTACGGCACCACGTGCTCTCGAGGCCCGTGGTACATAACTTCGCCATCGTTCAGCAGCAAAATGTTGTCGAAGAGCTCGAACACTTCCGGCGCAGGCTGCAGCAACGCCATCGCCACCGTCTTGTGCAGCTTCTTGGCGATATCACGCTGCGTGCAGACGATGTCGAACGTGGCCGCGCTGTCCAGGCCCGTGCTGATCTCGTCCATGAACGTCGCGTACTTCATGCCGAACTCCATCTCGCCGGTTGTCACGCGCCGACGCTCGCCGCCGGACACGCCGCGCTTCAACGCGTTGCCGATTACTGTATCACGACAAGTCTGCAGACCGAGCTGCTCCACGATCACGTCCGGATAGTTCTTGTAGAGCGATTCGGCAGCTCGCAGCGCCGTCTCGTTCTGCTCAGGCGTGCCACACGATAGCATCTCCTTTCCACGTCGAGACGTCACTTCCTCGGGGCAACATGCATGGGCGAACTCGAGCGTCTCCTGCACAGACAAGGTCGGAAAGTGCTTGTCGGTCTGCGGAACGTACGCGGCCAATTGTGGCAGCTTCGGCAGCAGCTCCTTCCAGGGGCTTCCATTGTACGAGATGTCTCCGTCCACCGTGACATTCTTCTGCATCGGGAACTGACCGCTCAATATCTTCATGAGCGACGACTTACCGGACCCGGGCTGTCCGAGGACCAATGTGATGGTGCCCGGTTCGAACACAGCGTCCACGCGGTTGAGCACGTGTCGTTCCGTAACATGTCGGGTGGCAGTGAGCTTGCGGACGATGTGCTTGAGGCTGTTGTAGACGGAGGGCTGCTCGGACGTGGCCCCGCTCTGCTTCTGCTCGACAACGGAGACTTCGGCCACCACGGACAGGTTCTTACACCGCACCTCCATCTGTGGCAGCGTTCGTCCCAGAGCGGGCTCGAGCTGTTGAGCGACGAAGTCGTAGAAGGCGGCCTCGCCGTGCTCCATGAGCGCATGGCCGGACTCGAGACCTGGCTGCAGCTTGGGACCTGCGGTGGTCGGCGGCACGTCGATTGTGGTGCTTGGTGCGATCATGGTCGTGATGTTCCGCAGTCCATCGAACGGGGTTTTGTCGAGGGTATTGGGCGCGCGTGTGAACCACGAAGCGAATTCGCTAATGAGCTTTGATGGCGCGAGGGAACGGAGATCGCCCCTCGAAGGCCACGCACTTGGCAAAAGCTGTGCACACTCATCTAACGCGCAATATCGAAATGGCGATTGCGAGCCATTTTTTTACATTGTGAGAGCCGATATGGATGTAGAATAGTCTCCTTATAATAGTTTTGTGGCATCAAGACACTTTTACCGAATAAGGACTATTGTATGGAGTAATGCTATTTGTCAACCTTTTACACATGATACGTCGGTAATGCATAGTATAGATTATTAAAGTTTGTAGCATGTCGCATTTTGCGGGATCCTGTGACGGGGCGACGCAAAGTCGGTCGACTATGCGAACTTGCTGCTGCTGCGACCAGCGCGATAAGCAGGAAAGCCTTGGTCGCAGAGGCCTCCTCTCCGGCTGCAGGTGTATATGTATCTCTTGCAGAGGTTTTCAGGCTGCAAGACCGCGGCCCACGACGGAGAATTTGCGTTGCCGTTGCGGTGCCGTCGCGGCGGTAACGGCCCTGTTCATCGCTTGATGCACAGCAGGTTCATCCAATCTTTTGCGGGGATGAACACCGACCGATCAGTCATCGCCCTTTCCGGACGATGTGCATCTCGCCGATCGCAGATTTAACCGGCAAAGCGCGATCTTCAACGCTCTGTGGATGGGGGCTTTGGAAGTTCCAAGGCAATTTACGGTGGAGTGCTATCCATATCGGCGACAACGCCAGCGGGAGTGATAATTGTTATTTGTCACAAGATCCCCGCGTCTTGGTAAATGTACTTGCAAATGCCCTGACTCGACGTCATGCTCATGCGCTCCTGCGCAACCTGAAGTTTCCCTTTGAGACGGACGACCAGCAGCGCATCGAATGGGTAATTCCCAAAATACGGAGTGCTGGGGAAACTTTTGACATTTTCAACCTTTTGCGACCAAACACGGAGTTGTGGGAAAACTTATTCCCAAGACCAGCCTATAGAATCGTAGAGGTAGCCTTCACTGCAGAAAACACCAGAGACTCAAGAGCCCACGTGCTGGTGCACGCCGCTCCGGACGCGCCGCTGGAGAAGACGCGCCGCTGGAGAAGACGCTGGCAGTCGCCGCCATCATGGACGGCACACCCTCCGGTGCCTTGCTGTCCACGACCGTGCTGCTGCAGTAGGAGGGCGTGGTGCGCTCGAACCTCGGTCCTGACACTGACACCAGGGACTCGCTGGACTCGCCAACCGTGGCCTCCCTGGGCGAGCTACTGGCCACCAATGGCTCGCTGCGCCCGACGACTGTGAGCGAGCTGCTGGCCACCAATGGCTCGCTGCTGGCCACCAATGGCTCGCTGCTGGCCACCAGCGCCCGACGAGCTGCTGATCTCGCTGGACTGGCCTCCCTGGGCGAGCTGCTGGCCACCAAGACGCTGGTGGCTGCAGGAGACAAAGGGCGTGGTGAAGACGACTTCCGTGGCCATTGTAGGCACGCTGGACACCGAAGGCGAGCTGCTGGAGACCAAGGACGTGCTGGACCCGAAGACCATGGCCCCCGTGGACGAGCTGCCGAAGACCAAGGGCGTGCAGGACCCGACGACCGTGGCCGAGCTGCTGGACCCGAAGACCATGGCCCCCGTGGACGAGCTACCGAAGACCAAGGGCACGGTCAAGCTGCTGTACATCAAGCGCGTGAAGTGCGGGACGCCCGTGGCCGAGCTGTGGTACATCGATGGCACGGACGAGTCGCCACTGCACATGAGTAGTTGGGTGTAATACGAGATGCATTATGACGGCTAATTGATATGCAATGTATTATCCGAGAACTCGATTTGTTTGCATTCCTCGGACGGCCTACGCCTACTTACCGCATGTGCGCTTATTGTGTCCTTGCCGGTTACACTTCGTGCAGGTCATTTTTCGCTTCGCCCTGCCAACGCTCTGCGTCGTATCTCCACTGCTAGGATACCGTCGCTGCTTGTTGCGACCAGGATTCTGATTCAGTTTCGGGGGCAGATCGTCCTTGTTAACGGTTAGTTCTTCGTCCAGCACAAGTTCGATGGGGCCTTGCGCGTTAGATCCATGTAGCACCTGGAAGGAATCGAGTTTGAAGCACATAGGTGGCATCGGACCCTAATGTGTCGGGGCGCACGATTGTGGATCAGGTGAAGGCCCTATCGGGCGCGGACATACCTTTGAAGGAGGCCTACCGTGGCAAGCAGTTGATTCTTGACGATCTGTTTGGGACTGTGGAGGACAGAGAACGTAGGCGGTGAAATCCGTCCAGCGTCTTCTCCAGCGGCGCGTCCGGAGCGGCGTGCACCAGCACGTGGGCTCTTGAGTCTCTGGTGTTTTCTGCAGTGAAGGCTACCTCTACGATTCTATAGGCTGGTCTTGGGAATAAGTTTTCCCACAACTCCGTGTTTGGTCGCAAAAGGTTGAAAATGTCAAAAGTTTCCCCAGCACTCCGTATTTTGGGAATTACCCGCATCGAATACATGGATCTTGCATCGCCTTAATGATTTGCATGAAATCATCGCTCCCAACCACGAAGACGTATTCGCTATTTATACTCTACTTCCATACCATGAGGTGCCGATAGCGTCCGACACCTGCCGACACTATCGAGCATTGGTTAAAATACTGAATTTCTACGATTGGTCTAAATGGCCATCTAAACACTTCTTGCATTTTCATTTCTCTGGCATGGTGGCGGCGCCCCTGATCGAGTTCGCACGAAGGACGGCGAGATGACCAAGGGCACGAAGGACAACAGTCCTCCCCCGCTGGCACGTGCACCGCCATCTCACACACGGACGCGCGGTGCTCGTACCCGGCCACGGACGCGTCGGGCCAGTGCTCGCACCCGCGCGGATGGCGCGCGTCATGGCGCTTGCCTCCAAGCCGAAGGCCCCGAAGCCTGCGACCACCAAGGGCACGGCGGAAGATAGAGGCACCAAGTGCGTGGAGGTCGGCGGAGGGCAACAGCGAGGAGTGGGAGGAGGAGGAGAAGGAAGACGAGGAGGGGGGACGCCCGATAAGAAGCCTGCGCCTGGCGGCCACGCTGCAGGCAGCAACAGCAGCAGCAGCACGCGGAGCTGCAGAGCCAACCCAGGACCACGCCCCCGCAGCAGTAGCCGCCCTCGTCCCAGTACCGCTATTATAACCAGCAGCACCCGAAGCAGCAGCGCGGCGGCTGCGAGTTGTCGATCGCCGGGTGCGGCGGAGGGCACGCTCGCTGATGTCGAGCTTGGGGGGGGGGCTCCTTCCGGAGGGGGTACTGCTGCTACTGGCGGCGCGGCTGGTGCCGCCGCCGCTGCATGGTGGGATGGCGCTTTCTTCAGGCGCGGTGTTGCTTAGTGCTGTAGTGTATTGCACGAATAGAATGTATATAAGTGAATATTTCTAATTCTTGTACCACTCTCAATTGCTGCGGAGTCACTTACATGTATTGACGGTGGTACCTTAGCGGCAGTGGCCATAGTGTCACCAACAATGCCTCACCCAAAGCAGCTTTCTAAATGACACAATGCTGCTTCGGAAATAGCGTTGCCGAGAAACTCGGTTGAATTTGTAGAGCAAGTGAAAGCGCCACACAAAACGCTTCGAACAGGCAAACAGAAGCAATACAAAGTCAAGTGAAGTGTCGGCACCGTGCAAAATATGTGTTTAATCACCTAATTACTTAACTTCACTATAGGTGGATAACATATCTCGGCAGCCCTGCCTACATTACAGACAACGACTTACAAAGCCGGCAGACACAAAAAGCCGGCAGACGAAGTCAAGCAAAGCTTAACATGAGCAAACCAGCCAATCAGATTCAATCAAATGACTTCATAGTTGTATACCATCTGGTTTTGTGTACTTTATATGCTTTCTTGTGTACTTTATGCAGCACACCGTGTGTTTTATGACAGTTTTACAGATTTGACGGGAGGGAATTTATCGTTGTTTTTATATGGGAGGATGGCATTAAGCATGCCGGCTTTGTAAATCGTTGTCTGTATACGTCGGCAGGAGTGTCGGCAGCTCATACACCTACCCCTCACGTTGATCATTGGATAAAATACCGTCTATCACCCTTCTCATTCGATAATAATCGGTCATCGACATTTGATTGGATCATGACAGTCATACACTGGCTAAGTATAAAATCATATGTGTCGGCACCGTCACGATATTTTAAATATCGTGACGGTGCCGGATAAATATCATATTTATCCGTATATTGCAAGGCCACCATCAACCACAACTCTCAAGGAACTTGATAAAAATGACGGTGGAGTTGGTGGAAGGAAGCAGCGACTTGTATGGCACACGCCGACCACCTAGCGGTTTTCGTCGATACATGTACGCAAGCACCAACCCGTTGAATCGTCCTCGAGATATGCTGATGAGTGTACCGTACCAATCCAACGTAGTCGCCGCCATGTACCATCTTCACCTTGGGTGCAGCTTCGATGCAATCCCCGCATTCTTCGTTTTGCGCCGTGGACCTCGGACCTTCAAGCGCACCGCACCTTGGCCTCTCAACCGCAAATTTGAGGTATGACCGTACCAGTTCATGAAAATGGTCCTCCACCGACAACCGACCAGCCCGAGTCAAAAGCCCAACTAGGGCTAGACTCGGGCCATGCGCTAATGGCCCAAGGCGAAGCTGCTTTCCACAACTTCGTCGCGCGGCAACTTGAACCGGCACTGGGTCGAGAGCTGCCTCAGATGGAGGTGGGCTGCAACAACCTGTCGATAATCGCCAAGGTTCCGGTAGTCAAGCAGTCTTCCAGCTCCACCACACCGGAGTTGCCCTCCGTCTACAACAGTCTCAAGCACAGCGCCCGGAAACTCACTGCCACCAGAACCTTAACGGAGCGACACGTGCTCAACTGCGTGGACGCTGTGTTCGAACCGGGCACCATTACGCTGGTTCTCGGACAACCAGGTTCCGGCTCATGAAGATATTGAGCGGCCAGTTCCCGATGCAGAAGAGCGTCACGGTGGACGGAGACATCTCGTACAATGGGAGACCATGGAAGGAATTGCTGCCAAAGCTGCCCCAACTGGCCGCGTACGTCCCGCAGACCGACAAGCACTTTCCGACCTTGTCTGTGCAGGAGACGCTCGAGTTCGCCCATGCATGTTGCCCCGAGGAAGTGACGTCTCGACGTGGAAAGGAGATGCTATCGTGTGGCACGCCTGAGCAGAACGAGACGGCGCTGCGAGCTGCCGAATCGCTCTACAAGAACTACCCTGATGTGATCATTGAGCAACTCGGTCGCAGACTTGTCGTGATACGGTGATTGGCAACGCGTTGAAGCGCGGCGTGTCAGGTAGTGAACGCCGTCGAGTGACCATGGCTGAGACGGAGTTCGGTATGAAATACGCAACCTTCATGGACGAAGTCACCAACGGACTCGACAGTGCCGCGACCTTCGACATTGTCTGCACTCAACGTGACATCGCCAAGAAGCTGCACATAACGGTGGTGATGGCGTTGCTGCAGCCTGCGCCGGAGGTGTTCGAGCTCTTCGACAACATTGTGCTTCTGGACGACGGAGAAGTGATGTACCACGGGCCTCGTGAACATGCGCTGTCGTATTTCGAGAGCTTGGGCTTTGTCTGTCCGCCTGACCGTGATGCGGCCGACTTCTTGATGGACTTGGACACGGACCAGCAGTACCAGTACGAGTTGATGAAGGTGGGCAGTCATTCGTCCATGGCAACTCCGACACTCGATTGGTCAGTGAGTTCGCAGACCTCTTCCGACGGTCAGCTATTCACCAGCAAGTCGTACAGGCGCTGGAGTCACCATGGAGCAGCGAGCGGTTGCGTGACGCACAGCTGCGACAAGATGCCGCAATTTCGCCAGTCCTTGTGGGCTAGTGCGCTGACATTGACGCGCCGACATTTGACAGTCGCAATTCGCAACACAGCATTTATCCGCGTGCGCACCTTCATGGTCCTCGTCATGAGTCTTGTGTACGGCAGCACGTTCTACAACTTTGACCCAACGAACGCGCAGGTGGCGCTGGGGGTTCAGTACCAGACCACCATGTTCCTCGCACTGGGGCAGGCGTCTCAAATGCCAGTCTTCGTCGCGTCGCGCGATATCTACTACAAGCATCGACGTGCGAACTTCTACCGCTCGCTGTCGTTCGGAATTGCCAGTCTCGCTGCGCTGTTCCCTGCAGCTGCAGCGGAGTCGGTCGTCTTCGGCACGGTTGTTTACTGATGTGTGGCTTCATCCCGGAAGCCGGCCCTTACCTGCTCTTCCTGCTCTGCATGATCCTGACCAACCTGGTGCTGTGCGCGTGGTTCTTCACGCTGACGGCCATGGCCCCGAATTTCAACATCGCCAAGCCCTGCTCGACGTTCTCCATTACGTTTTATGTCGTCTTTGCTGGGTTCGTGGTGCCCAAGACGCAGCTTCCGGCCTTCTTCCTGTGGATCTACTGGCTCAACCCGCTCGCGTGGTGTCTGCGTGCAGTTGCCGTGAACCAGTATCGCTCGCCCAAGTTTGACGTTTGCGTGTACGCGGGTGAAGACTACTGCTCTCAGTACAACATGACCATGGGCGAGTATTCGTTGTCGCTGTACGACGTACCGTCAAACAAGGCGTGGGTGTGGGGTGGCGTGTTGTTCCTGCTGTTCTCGATCGCGTTCTTCGTGGTGGCCGGCAGCTACATTCTCGAGCACAAGCGGTACGACGTTCCTGCTGCCACGGTGGCAGTTGTCGCCAGCTTCGTCGATGACAAGGAAAAGAGCGAGCTGGACGACATTCCGGAAGAGCAAGAGCAGCCAAGCCGTCCGGACGGAACAGCCAGCTACGTCATGGTCGCCACTCCACGAGCTGCCTCAAGCCCACCAGCACAAGAAGAAGCGCCGTCAGACATGGTCGTGGTAGACCTGCACGAGGAACAGGCAAGGTTTGTACCAGTCGCTTTGGCGTTCAAAGACCTCTGGTACTCCGTTCCTTTGCCCACGAGTCTATCGACCTACTCAAGGGCATCAGCGGATACGCTCTACCTGGTACCATGACGGCCCTCATGGGGTCGTCGGGTGCTGGTAAAACAACCTTGATGGACGTGATCGCTGGCCGCAAGACTGGAGGCACCATCCAGGGCGAAATTCTTCTCAACGGATACCCCGCGACTGAGCTGGCCATTCGACGATGCACAGGATACTGCGAGCAGCAGGACATCCACTCGGAGGGGGCCACCATCCGAGAGGCGCTCACGTTCAGCGCCTTCTTGCGCCAGGACAGTAGTGTATCGGAGCGTGCCAAGTTGACGACCGTGGAGGAGTGTCTGGACTTGCTGGATCTGCGCCCCATTGCCGACCAGATCATCCGCGGTCGATCGCAGGAGCAAATGAAGCGCCTCACTATCGGTGTCGAACTCGCGGCGCAACCGAGTGTGCTGTTCCTGGACGAACCCACCAGCGGCATGGACGCTCACTCGGCCAAGGTGATCATGGACGGCGTGCGAAATGTGGCGGACAGCGGCCGCACCGTGGTGTGCACGATCCACCAGCCCTCGTCCGACGTCTTCTTCTTGTTCGACAGTCTGTTGCTGCTGAAACGCGGTGGTGAGATGGTGTTCTTCGGTGAGCTGGACAACGCGCAGCCCGACGACCGCGAGTGCGGCCACCTGATCGACTACTTCGAGGCGATCCCGGAGGTGGCGCGTTTGCCCGAGGGTCAGAACCCAGCCACGTGGATGTTGGAGTGCATTGGTGCTGGAGTGGCTGGGGCGGGCGAGAAACCCATGACGGACACCGCTGCAAATGTTGACTTCGTGCAGCACTTCCGTCAGAGCACCGAGCAACAGGCTTTGGTTGAAGGTCTGAACCAACCGGGCGTGTCGACGCTGGCTCCTGATCGCCTGCCAGAGCTGATCTTCACGCGCAAGCGTGCTGCGAGTCCGCTGACCCAGCTTCGGATGCTGATGAGCCGGTTCATGACCATCTACTGGCGTACGCCGTCGTACAACTTGACCCGCTTCATGATCTCTTTTGGACTCGCTGTGGTGTTTGGACTGGTCCTGATCGATGGCCACTACACGACGTACCTAGGTCTGAACTCGGCGATTGGCATCATCTTTATGACAGCGTTGTACCAGAGCTACATCTCGTACGTCGGCTGTCTTCCATTCACCGCTCGAGAGCGTGTATCGTACTACCGGGAGCGTGATAGCCAGACTTATTCAGCCTTCTGCTATTTCGTCGGGGCCACCGTAGCAGAGATTCATTTCGTGTTCACGAGTGGTCTGATCTTCACAGTCATCTTCTTCCCGCTCATGGGGGTTGGATCATTCGGCAAAGCCGTGCTCTACTGGATCAACGGCTCGTTGTTCGTGCTACTCGAGACTTATCTGGGCCAAATGTCCATCTACGCGCTACCAACAGTGGAGGTGGCCGCTATCGTGGGCGTGTTCGTCAACGCGACTTTCCTGTTGTTCGCCGGCTTCAACCCGCCTGCCGACTCCATTCCAACCGGGTACACCTGGGTGTACTACTTGACCCCGCAGCGATACACGTTTGCCATCTTAATTTCGTTGCTATTCGGTGATTGTCCAGAAGACCCGACGTACGATGAAGCCACGCAGACGTATATCAATGTTGGTTCCCAGCTTGGTTGCCAACCACTGCAGAATGCCCCGTTATCGATCGGCCACACGACGGTGAAGAACTGCATCGCTGACGTCTTCAAGATCAAGTACGACGACATCTGGAGCAACTTCGGCTACGTCTTCCTGTACATCGCCGCCATCCGCGTGATTTCGCTGCTCGCACTCCGATACCTCAACTACCAGAATCGATAGGGCAGCCACAATATCGCTTGAGCATACATTTCCAGCCAAACTCCTTTGAATACAAACGTCCAACACACACCCAGTCGATTCATCGTCATCATGTATGATATCATTGTTTCAGACGGCAGGGCAGATGCGATGCTGGCCATGACACCACTGGGCTTCTGCCTTTTACCACTTGGCCTTTGTAACCTGCGATTATCTGCTTGCACTTTAGACCGTCGTGTCCACTTCTTCATCGTCCTCCGGCTTGGCGAAATCAGACAGTGCCGGTGCATGAAGCAGCAGCGATAGGGGTAGTTGCTGCGGATTCGTGTCCGGGTCGAAGTGGTCTGTGTCATACATGCTCAGCCACTCCTTCAGCGCTACGCGCAGCTCCTCGATCTCTCCGTACTGAGTCACAATTCCGCGCTCCTGACACGCGAACTCCAGTTCACTGAGCGAAAGATCATCCACGCCTTCCTTCAACAGTAGCTGGTCGTCCACCCTCAGCTCCTCCATTCTCCGCTGGAGCCTCTTCTCCAGCTGCGACTGCATCAGAAACTTGTTCAGCACCGCGAAGCTCGGGAACAGGGCCGAGCCTTCGGCCAGCACGTGGATGTGCTTGCTCGAGAGCGCGGGGAGTGCAGCCGGGCCCTCGAAGAAGGGCGCCAGCTCGGCCACCTGCGTGGGCCGCAGGCCACCGCTGCCGGCCGCCTTGGCCAGCGCCAGCATCTCCTTGAGCGCGCCGTCCTTGTGGTCGATCTGCTGCAGCAGTTGGGCCAGCTCCGGGTACGTCTTGGCCCGGGCCAGCACGTCCTCGCGGAAGAACTGGGTCTTCTGGTCGGGCCTCCAGAACTGCCAGGGCAGCAGCTGCTTCGGGAACTGGTAGCCGAGCAGCGGCGCCGCGTAGCCCAGCAGGGGCACGCAGAAGAAGGCCAGGATGGGCAGCGACTTGAGCAGGTCGCGGTGCGCCTGACGCAGCAGCAGCATCTCGCGGCGCGAGAGGTTGGCCTGGCCGCCGGACTCCTTGACGCGGCGGCGCAGCGCCCAGGCCTCCTTGTTCTCGTGGTACAGGCCCTTGGACCCGGCCACGAACGGCTGCAGCCACTTCTGCAGCTTCTGGTACGGGGACAGCTCCTTGGGCGCCGAGCTCAGGTGGCGAGCCGCGCACGCGGGTGGCAGGCGGGCAGCGGCCAGTAGGCGGCTCGACGTTGCCACGCGTTGGGCGCGCACGCGCAGAACGGAAGACAGCATCTCGGCCACAGGCGGGGAAGATACTGAAGTGAGACTGTCACATGGGTCTGTCGTGTTAAATTCGGTTCTAAATTCGATGCTAAATTTCGGTACCGCTACACGATTGTATCACTAAACTGCGTACACAGAGTACCGACTGGGCCACCGACTGGCGTTTTCCACACAAGGATCCTCTCTTCACTTTTACGCCGAGGGGGAGAGATCTAACCACCTTGTAGCAGCCATGGCAACGCAGGACGTGGAGATGGCCGAGCCCGAGCAGGTGCACCCGCTGCAGACGCAGTTCGAGGACGCGGAGGACGTCGCGGCCGCGCTCACGGCGAACGCGGCGCCCGACGCGGCCATCCAGGCCTTCCAGCGCATCATCTCCTACGGTACAGCGGGCCGCGAAGAGTAAACGGCACTGCGCAGCTATTTGTTAACTTGCTATTGCTGCTGTGGCTGGCAGCCGGGGAGGACGCGGCGCTGGAGCAGGTGCAGCGCGTGAAGGAGCACTCGATCTACAAGCTGGCGCAGCTGTACATCCAGTTCGGCCGCGAGAAGGAGCTGGCCACGCTGCTGCAGTCGCTGCGGCCGTTCTTCGCCACGCTGGCCCGCGCCAAGACCGGCAAGATCGGTGCGGCCCGCCTGCTGTGGTTGCTGCTTAGAGGGCTAAGGCCACCAAAGTGCTGACGGATTATTTTGTTATTGTTAATTTGTTGTTGCTGCCTGGCAGTGCGCACGGTGATCGACATGGTGGCCAAGGTGAAGACGCTGGACGCCGACAAGGCGCTGCAGCTGCAGGCCGACCTGTGCCTGGACTCGATCGAGTGGTGCAAGCAGGAGAAGCACACGTTCCTGCGCCAGCGCGTGGAGGCGCGCCTGGCCTCCATCTACTTCCAGCAGCAAAAGTTCCAGCCGGCGCTGGACCTCATCACCGAGCTGCTGTACGAGATCAAGAAGCTGGACGACAAGCAGCTGCTGGTGGAGATCCATCTCGTGGAGAGCAAGCTGCACCACGCGCTGCGCAACGTGCCCAAGGCCAAGGCCGCGCTCACGGCGGCGCGCAGCATCTCGAACACGATCTACGTGGTGCCGCGCACGCAGGCGCAGATCGACCAGATGTCGGGCATCCTGCACGCGGAGGAGCGCGACTACAAGACGGCGTACTCGTACTTCTTCGAGGCGTTCGAGGCGCTCGCGACGCTGGACGAGACCGAGGGACTCAAGTGCCTCAAGTACATGCTGCTGGCCAAGATCGCCAGCGGCGGTGCCAGCGAGGTGAACCTCATTATCAACAGCAAGCAGGCCATGAAGTTCATCGGCATCGATCTGGAGGCCATGCAGGCTGTGGCCAAGGCCCACGAGCAGCGCTCGCTCGAGCAGTTTGAAGCGGCAACGAAGAAATACGCCCCTCGTACGTGTGAATGGTGGTCGGTGGTGAGTTAAATATGATTCTGACTTGTGGATTCGTTATTGTTTCACAGAGCTCGTGGAGGACGCGCTGATCAAGAACCACCTGGGCAAGCTGTACGAGCAGCTCCTGGAGAGTAACTTGATCAAGATTATCCAGCCCTTCTCGTGCGTCGAGATCGCACACGTTGCCAAGCTGATCAAGCTGCCGCTCCCGCAGATTGAGTTGAAGTAAGAGCGCCTGGCACCTGTTAGTTGGCTTGGCTGCAGTCGTATTGACGTGGTTGTGTGCATTTGCTTTTTCGTAGGTTGTCGCAAATGATCTTGGACCACAAGTTCCACGGCATTCTGGACCAGGGCAAGGGCCAGTTGATTGTCTACGACAGCCCTACTGAGGATGTATGTGCAACTCTCGCCGAGCTTGTTCCTGTCCGATTGTTTGGAGGCTGACTGACACTTGCATGCTCGTGTTGTGCTTCGTTAGAAAACATATACCTCTGGCCTCGGTGTCATCGAGAACGTCGGACACATCGTAGACAACCTGTTCCGGCGCGCCGACAAGCTGCAGGCATAAGCGCGGAACGAGCGATATCTTGCAGAAACACGGAGTTTAGTCATCGTCGGTAGCTTCCTGACGTGTTCGCGGTAGGAATGCGATGCAAACAGGTGCTGTAAGCTAGTAATCGACAGATTGAGGACTTCCATTAAATGAGCAAGTGCAACCATGCTAGTTCTGTTAACTTATCAGTTGATTTATGCGGGTGTCGACACCCACCGCAGTGTATCAATGCAGTATGAAGTTCGTTTCAGTGCTTATCTTCGATGACCGTGCACGTGGCTACATGCGCGGTGGCTCTGGCCTTGAACTCGGACACGAAGCGAGCGATCGTGTTGAAGTTCTGCTCGAGAGGACAATCTTGGTTCTCCTCGTACTTGCAACTGAAGCGCTGTTTCTGATAGAGAGCAACAACATACTTCACGTTAGCATCGGACACCTTATGCTGGAAGCAATGGTACGAACTTACGCTGTGTTCCAGCTCGTCGAGGAGCTTCTGGACGGCGCCCAGATCACTGTCAACTTCGCTAGCAAATCTTGCAAAGGCTGTCTGCGACCGAGCTGCTTCCTCGACTGCCTCTGGGGCAGTACTCGTCGTTGAAGCCGCTTCAGCTAGCGATACCGCGAGTCGGTGGCCCTCGCGGAGCTGCTTCATTTCGGCTTGCATTGCGCTGACAGACACGTTGCAGCACAGAGGCACCTGGTTGATTTCCTCGTAGAACTCCGGGAGGTAGTTGTCCTTGTCATTCTTGTCTCCATAATCCCGCTGCAAGCAACGAGAGCACTGGTTAGACCTGCACACTTTCACTGATAGCATGGCCACCGGCGACTCGTACCTGAATGAACTCCACAAACGTATCAAGCAACGATATAGTTGGGTCGACGAACGACTTCGTAGTCATCAACGAGAGCAGCGACTCGAGCGAAAAGCTTTGAGCCTCCGTCTCGTGTCCGTTGACGAAGTTTCCGAAGTCCCGCAGAGCCCACATCAGTCTCTGGAATTTGTCGCTCGAGTGAAGCTGGTTCAGAGACCTCGTCACACGTTGCGCCAGTTGCCTACAGTCGAATATCAATCATGCAAGTGAGATTGATGCTGCAGCTTTCAACATGTTCGTGAAAAATATATATACTGTACGTACTCCAGTTCGTACACCCGCGACGAAAACTCCAGCTTGAACTGGAGGCACTCGAGCTTCTCCTTCACCCTTGGGACTGCACGGACAGCCACGAAGAACCGCTCACTCTGAAGGACATTCAAACGCACAAAGAAGATCATCAATATCGTGAAACTACAACCTCCCACTCAAATCACTTACTAGTCCCAGCGTTGCGTTGTCTGCTATCAACTGGTTCAGCACGAGCTGCTCGGCCATGCTTGGCCACATCGCCAGGATAGTCTTGATGTCGGCGACCTTGATATAAACTGCAGTCAGGTCTTCGAGGTCTTCGGCGACTTTCTCGAACGGCACTGTGATTCTCCTAACTGCCAGCTCGAAGTTGAGGCTCTTCTGGCCCTTCATCATCCGCACACCCCCTCTTTTCACGATTCGGGAGCGCGCCTGAGTCCCCAAAGCGAGACTCACATCTCCACTGGCCGACGGCAGGGAGACACAGGCGGCGTTGGTCGCAACGGGGTCGATCACACTGGTATAATGCCTCAGGATATCTGTCTTCATGGCATCGGAGATGCGCTCCGCAGCTCCTTTCTCGCTGCGTTGAGTCCAAGTAGACCCTCCCTCTAGTGGCGAAGTGCGTTTCTCGTTTGGCACTTGGGCCCAATGCCATCTCTTGCGCGATATCGACGGCCGGGGAGCAGATGAGGCCGGCTCAGGCGGCGGTTTGACGTAGACTTGTCCTTCAGGAACGGGGCTGTCCAGCCCAGCCGGGTTGATGCCATCCATCCGCATTTTGTCTTCCACCGCCACGCGAGGGATGCCGAACTTGAGCATCTTCTTGAAGCGCTCAAACGGGTCTTCCTTCGCAACCGCTTGATCCTCCAGCGCTGGTGCCGAACCGGTGGGCTTTGCCTGCGGTGTGTCGTCCTGGCAAGCCGAACACAATCATAAGACACTCCCGCATAGTTTTACTTGCGTTAGCAGGCCGTACCCCCTGCTTCGCATTCTCCTCGCTCTTGGTCTTTCCTGCCACTTCCCCCTCTTCCTCGTCTTCACTCGAATCACTGGAGCCGCCATCCTGTCTCGTTCAAGCAAGGTCAGCACCATTGAGCGCCAGTTAGGCTGCGAGCAAGGGATAACATCGTACCCCGATCATTCTGCGGATGCTGTCTCGGTACGACTGTCGCTCGGCTTCCTGGGCACGCAGCTCAGCAAGGAACATGATGGCGTCGTCCTGGTAAGCAAGTGTCTGGTCTCGTTGTCTTGCTCAGTCGGCGAATCGAAGAATGAGCGCTCCTCGGCGCTGCTGATGCCGCTGCCTTTCTCGAAGTCGGTATCCGGTAACTGCGGATTGAAAGCAAGGAAGCACTCGAGAGTGAATACTGCGAGCTCTCCTCAGGGGAAGCCTTTCTCGAGTCTTCGGCGCTTGGCTCCCCACAGCCTCGCAGAGCTCTAGCCCGCCGCATTTTATCCATGAAGAAACATTTTCCGATCGTCTCCTTTGAGTCTACCCCCCCCCCCCCCCCTGAGTCTGTGACTCACGTAGCGTGTTGCACACTTCTTGTACCTCGCATAACTTCACGGTCAGGTGCCGTGCGGGCCACCGCCATTGAAGCCCGATCAGAACTCCGGTTCGGTGCTCACCGACCATTTGAGAACACCGAAGCAACTCCACAAACTGCCATGGTTGCTCTCCACTCCAGGTATCTCCTGCATCGTCAGGGGCTGCATGGAACACGACCACGTGATTACTTCTCAATCGTCCGCCCTTGTCGAATGCTGGCGTGCTGTGGGATCGCTACAACATAGTGATGCTGAATATTGGTGTTTGCTCGTGCTTGAAAAGCGAGTATCGACGCTTGCAAAACGCTTCTTGGGTCGGAGCCGCCGAGCTGTGCAATGTGCCCGTCATGGGCTCTCCAAAGAGTCAGCGAGAGCTGCGGGTCTCTTGCAGCGAGGGCCTCTTGCAGTAGACCTCGCTGGCATCCAGCAAAAAGTGCTTCGGCTCCCTTCGTACATGAACTATGGATAGCAGGCCGTCTAGAATAGACTCGAGTGCGCTGAATTGCCTGAATCTTCACCGCCGGTGATATGTGTTGGCCGCTCCGGAGTGTAGAGATCTGAAGCCGGTGGGGCTGGCTGCATAGAGGAGCTCGCCACTCGATCCTTCACGATCGTTTTCTAACACTGAGACGCAGTTCAATCTCCATACTTTTCGACAGTAGTTATCCCTTCGGCGCCCGCGCGACGACACCACAGCACGCGCTTTCATGATGGGGGTGGTGGGACCGGCTCCGCTCTTGACACACAAAGCCTCGGGCCGCGCTCATGAGCCGCGCTACCCACTCGCGGATTTCACTCGATTGACGCACATCGGCGACGGAGCGCTGTTCCAGAGTCTGGATACACATTCGATCTGCCAATACACTCAGCGTCAACGATATGATGGCGTCGTGGCTGGGGCGCAGCTCACTCTTGATGGGCATCACAGCGATTGCAGTAGTCGACGCCAGCAGCAGCTCGAGCGACAGCGGCAGCAGCTCCAGTGGAAGCGGCAGCAGCACCGCCACGGATCGCAGCTTGGTCAAGTTGGAGACCCGCTCAGGCATCCGGCCGTGGGTGGACCCGGACACGCCCGATGACGTGCGGACGTACGTGTCTTCGCGCGGAGACACCTGGGAGCTCATTATGAGCGACGAGTTCGGGGACGTGACCCGCAACTTCTCGGCCGGGGGAGATCACATGTGGACGTCGATGGAGATGCCCGACGGCACCAACGACGCACTGCAACTTTACTCACATAACATGACGTCGGTTGAGTGCGACGACTACCTGCAGATCAAGTCCATCGACGAGGTCGACGACATCACAGTCTGGAACAGCTACTTGCGCCCACCGGCGTGCCAGAATTCCACCTTCGTAAGTTTTGTATTGCTCTGAAAGGACTACTTTGGGTTGCTTACGGTGATTCTTGTTATCGAGCAGTACTATCGATCGGGTATGCTCCAGACGTGGAATAAGTTCTGCTTCCAAGGTGGCATGCTGGAGGTGGGGCGAAGCTGCCGGCCGTTCTGGGCAATGACAGCGGTAACCCTAGACATTGGCAAGGGGAGCAACGCGCGCGCGGATAACACGCAGTTCTATCCGACGTGGCCTGGAATCTGGTTAATGGGGAGCCTCGGTCGCGCGCTCTTCTCTTCGTCGACAGCCCGCATGTGGCCATTCTCGTACAATGAGTGCAACGACACCGTCTTCAACTCGAGCAACCAGCGTATCAGTGCGTGTGACCCCGACCCCGGTCACGGATTGAACCAATACCAGGGCCGCGGTGCTGTCGAGATCGATCTAATGGAAGGTGGCGGCGTCGCTATTTCGTCTTCGATCCTGATTGCACCAGGAATGCCCGCAGACTACCGTCGGGCGGCGATTAACGAGACCCTCGGCGACTGGAGCTACTGCACGTACAGCCAGGAGTGCGCTACCATCGGTGCCAACTTGCCGGGCGTCCAGACAGAGTACTACAAGGAGCGTGATCACCAGAGTTGGTACCAAGGTCTACGATATGGCTCGAACAACTACTGCGTCGTCGACGGCAATGATACGCAGTCGTATTCGCTTGTCACTGCTGGAATGAAGAATATCACGGCGAATAAGTGCGGGCTGCTGTATTGTCCGGCCTCGAACGACGTTCTGTCACACAAGCCGATGCGAAGACCCGAAGCTTGATGAGCGCCGTGGCGAGCGCTCGAAGAACACTTGAGAGGAAGTTGGAAAGTTGAAAAGTGATTGATCGATCCGTTAGTTTAGCGTCGGCGCGCCGCCGCCGCGCAACCAGTAGTTCTTGGCGGCCAGGACACGCAAACAAGTATCCAGGTCCCATCCTAAAGTCTATCAATACCAAATCCTAGATTAATCCTTATCTACCAATGAAAAACTACTAATCCTATTCGTAGCTTGGCCAAAATTTGTGACTTGCGTCCCATAATCAAAAGTCCGGCTGGAAAACTTGATTGTTGTACATCTCAAGGATTTACAGCCAATGAGGTCGCGCGAATGTCCATGTTTACGCGACCCATAATCAAGTTTACTTTTGACACCAGCCAATAGGATAGCATATAATGAATATGAACCATGCATCCCCGTATTACGCTGTCCAGCGTAAACTGAAGTGCTGTGCAGCAGCACTTGACGTGGGAGTCCTCTGCCATCTCATTGGCAGACGGACGTCCACGTCACATGACCTCCCTTCCAAGGAGGCCCCACTACTTCGACGCTGCACTTTACTTCTTCTTGGAGTCCCAGTACTTGTCAATGAGCCCTGGAATCTGATTCAGGTTCTCTACGGGTTCCCATGTAGCGTCTTCTCGGGGTTCACCAAGCCACCAAATCCGATATTGGAGCTTCTTCTTCCTGCGACGGTGGCCGATGACTTCACGTACAAGTTGTCCCTCTGAGCCATCATTCAAGATCACCTTGTTAACATTTTGGCTGCGTGATTCGTCGCTGCGATACGGCTTGAGCAACGAAGTGTGGAAAACGGGATGCAACTTGAGCCCCTTCGACAACTTCAGCTCGTAGGGGTCATGATGGACTTGCTTCACGACCGGGTAAGGACCAATAAACCTTGGCGCAAGTTTCTTCGCCTGTGCAAACCCCTTGTGACGAATGTCCAAGTTCCGTCCATCCAAAAGTACCATATTCCCGGGTTTGAAGTCTTGAGCAAGTCTGTTCTTGTCATAATACGACTTCATTCGAGTTTGCGCCTCACTCATCGCGTCTTGTGCCATTTTCAAAATTGCGTCTTGCTTGAGCAGGAAATCTTGTGCTGACTTCTGCAACTGCTCAAACTCTGGGTCCCCAGCCACCTCATCTGGCATATAGGGCACATAACCCAGATCAGCCTCAAACGGTGACATACCGATCGAGGAATGGACACGTCTGTTGTACGCGAATTCGGCGAGATGTAGGTATTCATCCCAATCATTCTGGAATGGGTTCACGACACCTCGTAGATAGTCTTCAATAAACCGATTAGTACGCTCGGTCTGACCATCCGTTTGCGGGCGGAAGGCGGACGACAAGTTATGAGTCGTCGCTAATGTCTTAATCACCTCCTGCCAGAACTTTGATGTGAATTTCGAGTCACGGTCTGAGACGATCGACTTCGGCACTCCATGGTCTTTCACATAATTGGCCATGAATAGCGCAGCAGTCTCTTCTGCTGTCGCAGCCGTGTTCGTGGCAATGAACTTAGCACGTTTCGTCAACCGGTCCACAATAACCATAATGGCGTCTTTTCCGGCTGCCGTCTTCGGTAGTGCAACCATGAAGTCCATCGTCACATCAATCCATCTGCCTCCTGGAATCTCCAACGGTTGAAGTAGTCCCGGCGGCTTTGTTTGGCGTGCCTTGTTTCGCTGACAAAGCTCGCACGTGTTCACATAACGCTGAATGTACTTCGACATCTTGGGCCAGTAATATTTCTTCTGGACGCCTAAGTATGTCTTGAAGTATCCGGGGTGACCTGCCGTGACCACATCGTGGTTTTCACAAATAACACGGTTCTTCAGATCTTCATTGTCCGGAATTACCAGTCGAGCATTTTCATCATCTCTCGTTTGGTAATACAGCAGTCCATTCTTCACAGAGTAGCGCGGTACCTCTTTACCACTAGCGATACTCTGCAACAGCTCCTGAACTCTTCGGTCTGTAGAGTACAGTTGTTTGGCCGAGTGCGTCACAGTTGCACTGGTCGTTTGGGCGCTAGCTACAATTTCACGGTTTCGAGCCGCTTCAATGAGCTCACCTGAGCGGCTTTGTGCTCAAAGAGTGGGGTTCGAGACACTGCATCCGACACTTGGTTACTGTCGCCTGGAATCCATTTGAACTGTGGTTGGAACTCGGCTAGTTCATTAAACCAGCGAGCCACACGACGGTTTGTTGTCTTCTGCGTCAATATAGTCTCAATCCTCTTGTGGTCTGTCTCCACCGTAAATGGCCGATCGAGCAGGTAGACTCTCCACACCCGAAGCGCATGCATAATAGCCAGCAATTCCTGTTCGCGCACTGGGTAGTTTAGCTCCGCTGGTTTCATTTTACGACCAGTGAATGCGATCGAATGCTCGAGCCCTCCCTCGTTTTGAAACAAGACTCCCCCTATGGCAAAGTTCGAGGCATCCATACGAATACCGAACGGTTTTCCGAAATCAGGAAGTTGCAACACGGGAGGGGTGGAGAGACGGCGCTTGAGTTCATGAAAACATTCCAACTGGTGCTCAGACAAATGCAGCGTTTCCTTTGGGTGCAAACCCTTAGTACTTTCATGCAATGGTCCTGCAAATTGCGCGAAGTCGGCGCAAAAGCGCGAGACATAGACCGTAGTACCCAAGAAGCTTTACATTTGCTTCTTTGCCCGTGGAATCGGCCACTCGCGAATCACACGCACTTTGTCAGGGTCCATTCGAACACCATTGCGGCCCACAAAATCACCAAGACAAGGGATCTCTTCGACACAAAACTGGCACTTTGACAACTTGACATACAGCTGCTGCTCTTGACAGCGTTGGAGTACTCTGTCCAACGCTTCGACATGCGTCCGAACATCTGTGTCTTGAGTGAAAACATAGATGTCATCAAAGTAGATGCGCATGACATCGCGTAGGTCGCTAAACACCCGCTGTTACAACCGGTTAAAAGTGCCAGGACTACCGCTCAAACCCATAGGGGTGACAAGATACTCAAACAGCCCATCGGGCGTCGAAAAAGCAGTAAATGGAATGTCAGATTCACGAAGTTTAACCTGGTAATATCCCCACAAGAGGTCCATGCAGGAGAACCAGTAACTACCCCCCATTGCGTCGAATGTGTCTTCCTTCCTCGGCATGGGTATGGCTGGCAAAATGGTAGAGCTGTTGAGCTGGCGATAGTCGTGCACAATACGCCAACCCACGGGTTTCTTGACACAAAAAGTTGGGGCACTGAATGCCGAGGTGCTAGGGCGAATGATTCCAGCCTGTACCATCTCCTTCGTCCAATCTTGGGTGACCTTGCGCTGCTCTGGACTTGGCGCCACTGTTTCACCGAAATCGGTTGCGTTCCCGGCTGAAGCTGAATTTCGTGCTCAATCCCTTCGCGGACAGGAGGTGTGGTACTCGGCAGCTCAGTGCGAAACACAGTATCGCGGTACTTGAGCAAAACATCATATGCCGGATTGTCCACTAGCGCCTCCCATCTTTGTTGCTTAAAACGCTCAGCCTTTTCTGAGTCGTGCGGGTTCACAACAAAAACAGCTTCAATACCCTTCCCTTTGCGAAGTTCCATCATAAATTGCTTCGTTGAGATCAGCTTCGTTTCTCCGAACGCACCGGTGTGGCCATGCTGCCGGTAGTAATGGAATATTTCACGGTTCTGGTTTGCATTCTTGACATTCTTGAAACGACGGCCTCCAATCATACGTGCGGGAGGTCGGTTAGGTACCACCAACTGATGGGCCGGGGGTCCCTCGGTCCTATTACGCGGACGCAGTAGTAAGCGTTCCCAGTCGATGTCAGGGTTATTCTCCCGAAGCCACTTCATTCCGAGGAGCACGTCCTTGTCTTCTGGAACAGGCATGACCGTAAAAGTCTCGCACGTCACGGGGAAATTCGGAATCTGTAGCATCATTTCGGCGGTACGTCTTGGTCTTTGCACGGTTTGGTTGTATCCCAGACGAACTGTCATCATGTCGTCGGGATGCTCCGTGATTTCCAATTGTAGTCGCTCGGCGAACGCTTCCGTGACACCGTTGAGGCTGCTGCCATTGTCGACGAAGATCGAAACTTCTGCGGGGGTCTCATCCTGCTTGAAGGCTAAAGCGCTTACTTCCAAAATAGCATAGAATGATCCGCCAACATAGTGGTTCATCTCCTTGGTGGACGTACATTGTGGCTTGATGTGGCCGGATTGTCCACAGTTGTTACAAGTGGCTGACTTTCGCCAATCCTCTTTCGGCCCACGCTTCGAAGGTGGCTTTCGTTCCTGTGGCTTGGCCGTACTGTTAGCCGCAGGTTTCACAGACGAAACTGCTTTCGACGAAGGCTGATGACTCACTGCAGGTTTTACCGATAGCCCTCCATAGTGAGCAAACTCAAAGTTCGTTGCAATCTCAATGACCTCATGTAAGAACCTTGGACTGAGTTCCTTCACCTTCTTAGCCGTCTCCGCACGAAGCCCATTCTGGAAGTAGAAACGCTTCTCCATTTCCGAAATGTCCAGACATCAAATCCTGAGACGACGACACGTATTCATGGATAGGTCCGTGTTGTTTCAGTTGAAACAACCGCTCACGCAGGTTGTATTCAAAGTCTTTCGGGCGAAAGCGCTCGCGCAACTTTGCCTTAAACAGTTGCCATGATTTCGGCATCCCCGCCGCATCACAATCCGACGAAAAGGCACGATACCAGTTCAGCACAGACTTGCCTAAACTGCTTGATATCATGGTCACAAAATCGGACGTATCGGCCTCCATTATTCCTCGTTTGTTAGCGTAGTACTCCTCCGTAGCAAAGATCCAAAGTTCCAGGTCTTCGCCAAATTTCCCTTCATACGTGGGAGGATCCTTCTTCCGTCGTTCACCTTGCGAGACCAGTAGTTGCTCAAAACGACTGTTGGCCTGTTGCATTTGCATCTGCAACTGGGTCTGCATCTGATTCTGATACATTTGCTGCTGCTATGCAATCCACAACATCAACTGCTGCATCGACATTGACTCAGGCGCAGGGGTTGTCGTCCCCGCTGATGGGGCTTCACTTTGCGCTTCTTGTGGCGTTGCCGCCTCCGTTTGAGCCGTCCGCGGCACTTGACGCTGCCGCGGGTTAGGCGATTCACCCTCACCCGCCCTACTCCTTGTCACAGGCATTAGGTCTCGAGCAGATGGACTTTTCGATGAGTGATTCGTAAAACGGTACAATAAAACGGAGACGAAGTGAAGCTAAAAGTGTGTTTAAAGCTTAGTGTTTCTGAGGTTTTAGGCGGATAAGCCGGTTAATCTTCGCAGCAATGTTGTCCTCGCAGCTCTTAAGGTCGAGAAGAGCTAAGTTGAGTTGCCGATCAACCGTACCCTCAACGCTGTCGTCCTTGATACCCCAGATCTCTTTGCGGACTTAACCAGGACCCTCTTAGCGGTTTTGACCTGCTTGAGAAGATCCGATTGCACTTTCGCAATTTTCTCCGCCTTGACCGGCGAGAAGAAGAGATCGGTGTCAATAGCCGTAACAGGAGGAGGAGCCGGCGTAGACGTTGATGATACTTTAACGTCACGCGCTTTTTGGTGCTTCCTCTTACTGCTGTGGTTGTGACCCTTTTTGTACCGGGCCATGGACCGACTCCAAAGATCGAAAAAGGCAAGGGACTACTACCGGGTAACCAGGGACCGTTATACTTCTACAATGTTCCGCGTTAGCAGACACAAAGCAGGCGCCCTGTTACTGAACCGACTTCTAGTAAGAGTCCAACACAACCCCGAAGGTTAGGTACTATACGGTCTAGGCGCAATGTGGTATTTCCACCTGCCCACGGCGTGATGTACCCACTTCTTCGAAGTGTGCTCCCACAGAAAACTGCACGTTCGCAACCTAGAGCGTCCCCACTATGTGGCTAGCTCCAATAGTCACAGGTAAACTCGCTTCGGAAGGTATCCCCACGAGCAACCTAGTCTTGAACTTGAACCGAAGCTTGACACGACAAGTGCTACTATGTCACACAAGCCGATGCGAAGACCCGAAGCTTGATGAGCGCCGTGGCGAGCGCTCGAAGAACACTTGAGAGGAAGTTGGAAAGTTGAAAAGTGATTGATTGATCCGTTAGTTTAGCGTCGGTGCGCCGCCGCCGCGCAACCAGTAGTTCTCGGCGGCCAGGACATATCCAGGTCCCATCCTAAAGTCTATCAATACCAAATCCTAGATTAATCCTTATCTACCAATGAAAAACTACTAATCCTATTCGTAGCTTGGCCAAAATTTGTGACTTGCGTCCCATAATCAAAAGTCCGGCTGGAAAACTTGATTGTTGCACATCTCAAGGATTTACAGCCAATGAGGTCGCGCGAATGTCCATGTTTACGCGTCCCATAATCAAGTTTACTTTTGACACCAGCCAATAGGATAGCATATAATGAATATAAACCATGCATCCCCGTATTACGCTGTCCAGCGTAAACTGAAGTGCTGTGCAGCAGCACTTGACGTGGGAGTCCTCTGCCATCTCATTGGCAGACGGACGTCCACGTCACACGTTCACGGTGACATGGGCTACATCGACGGTGACAAGTCTCTGGGCCACTGGAACATCAACTACAACGGCACGTGCTTCCCCGAGATGAACGGCTACCAAGGTGTCTTCTTGTGTGACCCGGACAACTAGGACACCCGCTGCTCGGAGCCGCGCAATGACTCAACGCCGAAGACCAACACGATGGAGCCGTACAACTACCAAATGGATGCTCTCTCAGCGAACTGGGGCATTCACATGGGCGCGTACTACGACTACGTGGCGTACCAGCTCGAGTGGGTCACCGGTGACAATGGCTATCTTCGCTGGATGCTCGGTGGCCACCCTATCTTTGAGATCCCAGCCGAGGCCGTCGTCAACACGCCGCAAGGCGGAAGTAAGCCCAACCCGCGACTGACTTTTCCTCATGCGTCCATCTCACCGGCGTAAGGGGGGCAAATGAATATATTTTGCCTTGACTTGAATTCGAGGGCGTGGCGAGCGGCCCCAATGCCTTGATTTGCGAGTCCGCGCTGGAATGGTGGCGAGGCTAGATCATTCGCTTGGCGAGGTCCCTCGTTGATTTGGCCGATTGCACTGGATACTCTTCGAAACACCGCGACATCCACCGGCCCAGTAGTTTGATCGCGAGGCCATCCGCTTTTCCAGCGAGCAGAGCGCTGGCTCCTCCACTTCTCAAGGAGTGTGTCGAGTAGTTGGACTCGGGTACTCCAGCCTTTCGTGCCGTTCGCTTGATCGCTGTTGCTACTGTTTTCGTGTCGAGTTCCGCGCATAGATACTTGTGTTGGACAGCATTCAGGTCACGACGCGCTCGGAGAATGTGTTTTAAGGCTCGGACCGGGCATAGTGATCGATCGCCAGATTGGTGCATGGTGCGCCATGATCCCCGCCCGTACTGGTCGTTCTTGGCTCCTCGTAGGCCGATTGTGATTGGGCTTGCGCTTGACGCGGTGACTTGGTTACCATTCGAGTCAGCGAATAAAACATCTTTGGTCTGGAGACAATAGAATGATCGCCGCTTGCCGATGGCGAGATATTCAGATCTCCTCAACAGAAAGAAATACCCGATAAGGACGCTGCCCCACAAAAGGCGATCCCTCGGCTGCGTGAAGTTGAGAGAGCGCCGCAGCAGACGGAGGAATGCGGGCGTAACGGGTTGTTTCTTGCGGACTGGGTCGGACATCCTCTTGATGCCTTGGAGCAGGATGGTCATTTGGGGCGACCGACGAAGCTGCAAGGCCACAATAGCGACAGTGATACCAGATGACGCTGGACAACTCCGACTGGATCGTGTTGTGCTGGTTGCCGCGGCGTGCATTGTTTCCACCATATTTCCAGAGGTAAATTGCGATATAAATCAGCTTGTTGGAACTTGCCCGACCGGAGTCTGGTAGCCAGGTGTGCCAGCCCATCAGTTTACAAAAGCGGCGCCATTGCTTCCAGTTTGCGTTGTATTTCATGTTTGACGATCTTGCCAGGGCGTGGCTGCACAGAATCGCTCCCACACGCTTGAGAGATTGTCGAAGGGAGGTACGACGTTCACCTGCGTCCACGCACAAGAAAGATCAGACCACGTTGCCCATAATGGATGAGATTCAGTCCACGCCCGTGATCCCGCATCCGCCATTGTGTTAAGCTTGCTAGGAATGTGGATGGCAGTGAAGAATAGGCCATACTTGAGCTCAACCATAGAGATCAGTCGATTGTAGAGCTGCGCCGTAGGGTGGCGGCTGTACCGACGACTCGCCCACGAAACAGCGCTCATATTGTCGATGTGAAACTGGACGTGGGTGGGCTGTGTCGGAGATGCATTCTGCCAGTGCGGTCCCCACAAGAGTGCGGCGAGCACAGCACTCTGAAGTTCGCGTACGTTGATCGAATTCTGGTACGACCCACTCTGGAGCTCTGCGCATTCTTCGTCACTGTATTGCAGTCGGATATACTCACGCCGGTTGGTGTCCAAAGCACACAGACCTGTGTTGGAAGCATCCATCTCCACGATTATGGACGGGGGCGTAGTTGCAGCAAACTGTGATACTGGAATCCCATTAAACCGGTCTTGGTTGAGCATGACCGCTCTTAACCACCGCAAATCTTCGATGGTATCGGTGTCAAGGGCGCGGGCTCCGTAAGGCAGCATTGCCACGGTTGCCGTGTGAACCCTCTGGTAAAAGGCCCTAGCGGATGGAAAGCACGAGGCCACGTGGCGAAACACACCGAGAAGCTTCTGGAGGTCGGATTTGGAGGCACGTCCGGCATTGAGAACTTGGTCGACTTTGGTGGTAGCCCTCTGTAGTTTTTCCGCTGGGATGGATACGGTGACGTCGGCGGCGTCCCACATTAAGCCAAGCGCAACATTCTTGGAGCGCCACGGGGTAAACTTCCGGTCATTGATTGCTGTCGGCCCTAAGACAGTGGCCATTGCTTCTCGTAGCGCAACATTGGCATCGTGGCATCTTCGACCCTCATCAATCTCAACACACGTGTGATCATCACACCATACATTCCCACGAAAGGGGGACGCATTGTGGGTCGAGGAGTCCGACGAGTGCGAACCCTCATAAATATAATTGATGGCAGACCCCGCTAGAGAGTAAAAGGCTGGCGACCCACACCAGCCAAAGCCACAGGCCAAATCGATGACTACGTAGTCGTCGATGGCAAAAGCAAACATGTGCACGGCATCCTCGTGGACAGGCACGTGACGAAAGGCACCGGAGACGTCTCCGAGCATCAATAACACGTCAGCATCAGGCTGGGCCGTGCGTAAATCGTGGATCCGGCGCGCAATATCGCGGGGAGGGTTGTAGGAGACTGGCGGGAAGTTGGAGCGATCCGTAAAGTCGTTCACCGATGCCCCATCAGGATATGAGTAGTCGTTAATCATCCGTGTCTCGTTGCCGGCCTTGTCAACCACTCCAACCGGGCTGAGGAGTATCTCAGACCACACTCGCGTTGAGTACGAGATAGCGGCCATCTCGCTGACCCTTCCTGATGTGTTTGAGGACTTCGGCAGAATGAGCAGTGGCGCTCTTGTGATTGGAGGGCCGAATTACTTGCCGATCCGGCTTCGTCATCGTCCAACGTGGACATACTCCTTCCCTGACAACGCCATCCCACTGGCAAAATAGGTCTGGGTTTGCTGCTGACTTGTTGGACAACTCATACAAGGCTTTGTTGGGCCTACCATCCTCCTTGGTCTGCCCGCGTATCAGACGCACGAACATGGGCAGCGACAGATTTGACCGATACGCCAACATGGTGAGGAACTCGACGGAGTCTGTATCAATCTTGTCGTCCACATGACTGGTAGGAGGGGGTGTCAACCCCAGTGCGGATGCATATTCGGCCAGGTTGGAGAGTCTGTCCCGCTCCGAAATATCAGCGAGGCGTTGTAGTAGATGCAAAGTACTTGATAGATCTCGAACATCTCGAGTCCTTGTACACGAGCGCGGTTTTTCACGAACATCAATACTTGATGCAGCTTGATCTGCACAAGCGGGCACAGCACGCAAACACGGGGCACCACGGACGTCAATCACTGGAACAGCAGATGATAGTCATTGTTGCGACTGTTCTGCTACTCCTTTGTACTTTTCGGTGATGTAGGCTTTCACGATTTCAGGAAGGAGCTTGGGTTGAAAGTGCGCGCGCTTGCTGTCAAAGCAGTTCCCATTCCCATCGCCGGGGCAGCCGACGACCGAGATTGCCTTCATACACAGGCGCTTGTCACCTTGACGCGGTAGTGCAGATAGCACGGCAGCTGGGATCGATGACGTGCGGGGCTGTCTGTAGACACGGCGGGTGTCATCCTGACCGTGGCGGGCCCGCGGATGGGCATGCTTGAGCTCGCGCTGAGCTCGTCGGAGCTCTTCCAGTTCCAATAGATCCTCGTCCTTTCGAGTAAACTCTTGCTTACCGATACTCCGGGCCGCGTCAACGTCGCGCGAGACAATCATACTCCGAAACTTGCTAAACTTGCTCGTGATCCAGAACGCCATAAGCTTCCAGCCGACACTGTCGGAGTCGGACAGGCCTTGGTAAGAGTCGATAAAGCTGATCGCATCGTCAACACGGTTCACAACCGTCTGAGTGTAAAAATGCTCAGCAAATTTGCGAAGGGACCGCAATGATCTGCTGACATCGGTGCGCGACCTTGCCGTTTGAGCTGGGCGCAGCGTGTTGCGTTCCGAGAAGTCCGTAAGCTGACAGTCGAATCATGGGCATTTACGCGAGTCATCAAGTCTGCCGGTTGGCAGTGCATCAGTGAGAGTCCATGGACGCCAAATCCAAAGTCGAGAAGGCCACGGCACACGGGTGGCACGGCGAGGAAGGGTGCGTGGACTCGTTGCTGCATACGTTCGAAAATGTAGTTGCACGACTTACCTCGAAATCACGGGTGTAAAATTGTCCGGCTTACGCGCTGCTGGGTCGCTGATGGTCGAAACGCACCCCGACTGGGCTCATTGTCATCGTCGTTTGAGCTAGGCTCGTCGTCCTCGGTACCATAACCAACTCCATAGTCAAGAACATCGTCGTGTGCCGATGCACCATCCCGTTCCGGGGCTCTTGATCTCTTACCAAGCATACGATTCTGATTGCGCAACGCCTGGATATCATCATCCGTTGCCTTGCTTGTGATACTCAGTAGGTCATCAGGCATGTGAGATGACATGGGTCGCTGTGGTGCAGCTCCGGGGCCTGATCGATCGGCACGTGGCAGTTGCGGGTCGTTGTAAATGGCTAGAGCGTTCTTTTTGCGCTGACCCATGAGGCAATCGAGAACATGCTGCCGTCGTACTTGCACCGTTGCCAGATCGTGGGGGCGGATGAGAGGCACGATTTCCTCGGGTATGAAGGGAACTGTCAGCATGGACTGCACCGACGCTGGTAGCTCTCCTCGACGCCTGCGACAGGCCATAATCACTGCATTCCGTTGCACGAGAAGCTCCTTGGCGTTGAGAACCATGTCTGTCACTGTCGCCCCAACTTGAAGGGCGTACGTTATCGGGTCGGCCTTGATGATGCGAAGGGGTTCACACAGTCGTACCGTAGTATCTTCCTGCCCGACTAGCACGCTGAGCGATGGGCCGGCCGCCAACATCTCGTAGCGGATCACGACTCCATATGCCCACTGGCCTGTTGAAGGACCGCTGGGTTGAACGAACGCGACGGGTTGTCCCACGTAATCTCCGGGCCAGAGTTCAGCCTCGGCGGCATCGACGACGCGGAGGTCTATCGCAGCGACTGGAAGCTGGAGTTCGTGGCCATCCTCCCCGGCATCAGGGCCCACAACGCACACCGTCGCGCTATCTCCTTCAAGGTGGAGCACCCGAACGTAGCAGAACTCGGTGAGCGTAGGAGCGTGAGCGGGGCCAATGAAGGCGAGCGAGTTGGCGGAAACGGCATACGGGGACATGGTCGCTGGCGTAGATGCAATGGCTGGAGACTAAAGGCACGGGCTGCTCGAAGAGAAGTCGACTGAAGGGACACGTCCAAAACCGCTGAGAAGCTATTTCAGCACCTCAAGAAAGAATTCAAAGTGAGATCTAGACTGCGGCATTCGCCGGCTCCCCACTAATAGCTACATCAGCCTTAGGTTCTTACCGCCTATCGGAAAACTAGTCATCCTCACGGACTGACCCTCATTCCCCGAGGAACCGTCGTACATTATTCTCAACGTGGCGCTGTCGGCAGCATGGGGGACGTACCCACCCAACCCTGGCAAACCGTGCCGCGGCGACGGCAAGGACGAGAAGGCCAACTACATCTGCGACTCGTTCCCGCTGTACATGAAAATCGACTACGTGCGACTGTACCAAGACACGAGCGAGAGCTCTACCATGGCGCACGAGTGCGACCCTGCTTCACATCCGACCAGGCAATGGATTCTCGACCACCGCTCCGACTACGTGGATGGAGACAACAAACTCGTCGAGATTCATGGCGGCGCCCCCTGCAGGGACTACACGGACTGCACCATTTCGTTCAGCGTCCAATATACTTTCCACACGGGCGTTTGCAACACTGATACGAACCGATGCGAGTGCATCAACGAGTTCTGGGGTGGGCCGCGGTGCACCTTTCAGCTGGGCGCTACGACGGCCAACGGCGAAGACGCGTCGGAGTTCACGTATGGCCCGCCCCTCTACGCGGCGTTCATTGTGCTGGACATCGTGGTGTTGCTCACGACCGTCGTGTTCATTGCGATGAGCATTCGCCGACGCCGGAAGCTCGTGGAGGACGCCGAGAAGGCCAAGGTGTCCTCCACGCGCATGACCTACGTCGTGGCCGACATGAAGAGCGCCAAGATCATGGGCTCGTCCAGTGAAATGATCACGTTCGCGTCCACCGACGACGACGACGAAGACGACGGCACGCTGCAGACGCGAAGGAGCTCGCTCCCAAGTGGGCCGTACCACCGTTTCCGTTAGGATAGTTGAAGTTGATGTATTATTGTGCCTTTCACTTATTCTGCCGTGATAATTCTGGCATAATTCTAATCCCTTCTCGGCTCTAATTATGCCCTGAGTTAGCTAATTCCCTTGTTAATTCCGGGTCGTTCCACCGCGGTCGAATTAACCCCTCTAACCCCGTATTCTGTAACCTATAGAATAAGCATTATTACAGGACAAAATATCTTGCAAACTTGGCTTCAAGTTCAAAAGTCGCATATATCTTTTTGTATGGCCAACACTTTACACATCTTCCATTCAGATTGGTGATGGGTAGATAGATGGGGATTATGCGATGGGAATAGAAAGACCAATATAAATCCCTTAAAGGTTTGACAATTCGTACGAAAGCCAATATCTGCCGAGTGTCCGCCATCCCCTCATTTCGGAAACGATGAACGGCCCTGGAGAAAAGACGTTCAAGCAGCTGTGGCGTGAGTTATGCAAGGAAGATTGGAAGGCACGCACCGGCGTGGCGAAGGATCACCGCTATGTGAAGCCAGGGATCAAGGGTCGTCTCGACGGAGCAAAACGTGGAATCAACTTCTTTGAGGGTGGATAACCATACGTTTTGTATATAATTACGTGTATGCTAACGATAGATGTATTTCCCCAGGTGAGGAGGCTCTCATGGCGTTTGCACGACGATCTGGTCGGCTTGATCTCCCCGCTACCGCTGTGCCCAGCGCTCGAAAGTCGACCCGGGCCCCGGCTGGGAAGCAAGCGTCGTACGCCGCTATTAGTCAGCCAGCACCATCGCCAGCTGCCCGGACGCCTAAACCAGCCGCTGGAAGTACGAGCACGGACACGGATGCAGCGTCGATTGCTGCTGCGACTCCACGAGCCACCCCTGCTGTTCCAACTGCGCATGTCTCGCTGGCCCCGGCATGTACACCAATGGCGACTCCATCGACTGTGGATGGCCCCAATACGGATGCTACAGAACAGGGTGATGGAGTGGGTGATGCTATTCCGGATGCTACTGATCAAGCCGACATGGGGCATCGTTTGGCCGCTAATGCCAACCAACCGGATGCAGCGCGTCGTTCAGCTTCACCTGCGGATACTGAGCAAGTTGATGGTGTTACTAAGCTGGTAGGGCGGAAGCTACTACTCTGGATATGACCGATCACACGGCGTCAGCACAAGGCATTACTCCGGATGCTACAGAGCAAGGTGGTGCGTCCCACGACGCTATTCCTGTGGTGTAGGAAAAACCAGATTTCGCGCGACCAACTCGGCTGGAGTGGTACACTGTACCGGTAGCCGAGCTCAGCCGAGCTCAGCCGAGTTCACCAGCTTATCCGGACACCTTATCCGGCTCAGCCGAATTCGAAGAATTGTCCGGATAGCTCATCCGGACCAGCCGAGCTCAAGCGTCGCCGAGCTCAGCGAAGAGTCGGCCGAGATCCAAAACCGCCCACTTTCATTTGGTATTTGTATAGGAGCTTAGGAATAGTGGAGGTGCCCCTTCAGGGTTTGGGCAGGCTCGGAGAGGAGATGCGAGCTCAGAGTGAGTGGATGATGATGTTTGCCCCAGTGGCGATGGCTCAGGCGAGATGGCCGGTGCTAGGGCCCGAGCTGACTCAGCCGGTGAACAGCACCGACATCAACCAACTGGTCGAAGACACGGTGCTGCTACTCAAGGCGATGGGGTTCCGGTGCACGAGCCGACCCAACAGCCTGCTACTCGGCGATTGGGACCCCAGCCGAGCTTCACGCGAAATCCTCAAGTGGAAGCGTCGGTTGAGAGTCTCGTTTGGTCTCGAGCGGGGGACCGTCGGAACTCGGCAGACTGTTGCGAAACGAGTGGTTGATACTCCGAAGACCGTCGAAGACCCCAGCAGGATTCCCCTGCCGAAGACTTCCGAACGCAAGAGAGCCGAGGTGTTCCGCTCTACTGAGGGTACGCCGTATTTCGAAGATTCGCATATGAAGACGCCAACGCGTGGCAAGCAGCCAAGTGGACGCTACGCTGAGTTGTTTGACGCTGCAGACGCAGCCGAGCTCAGCGACAGCGACGATGGGCGCGAGTACCTGAACTCGGCTGAAGAGTCGGTGAAGGACGTCATCAAGCACCTTAGTTTCGATGACGCTGAAAGTGATCGGACGCAATACTTGGAGGTTCGCACCCATGCGTCCCTCGACAAGATCCTTATGTTCGAAGGCAAACGTTACCGACCGGATGACTCTCTCCAGTGGCTTAAGCGGTTCATCTACGAGATGAAAGGAACTCGGCTGGCACAAGACCTCTGATACGAGCCATTCTCGATGAAGCTGGAGCGAGGCGCGAAGAGCTGGTATCGCCAGCTCCCGAAGAAAACGCAATGGAAGTGGAGTCTGCTGAGTAAGGCATTCGCCGACTACTACTGTTCGCAGTTTGACCAGTCGGCACGAGCTCGCTATTACTCGGCTCAGCGCAAAGACAACGAGCTGGTGTGTGACTTCCTCGTTCGTCTCAACGGATATGCGAAGTCGGCGAAAATCCAGTACGAAGCCGGTGGAGCGGATGCTGCTGACCATGTGGAACACTTCCTGTTGCACTGCGGAGATGATGACATCATGGATCTGCTCTATCCGCAACAGCTCACCGACATCAAGAAGGTCAAGAAGATCATGAACCAGAAGATCCTGGGGGAGCGCCGGAAGAAACAGCGCGACCGTCTCATCGGAAGCCGCAGCCGAGATGCCAAGCGCACCGATTCGCCAAGGCACTCGGAAGCTCGGCGGAGTGAGCCGCGCCGAGATGACCGCCGGGAACGACGCAGAGATGCCCGCCGGGATGACCGGCGAAGCCGACGCGACGATGGTCGAGACCGCCGACTAGCGATAGCGCTGCTGGAGGACGACCCGTATGAGCTGGCTGAGAGACGCCAATCCAATCGGCGATCCAATCTCTACGACTCGGACAGCGATCAGAGCGACGGCAGCCAGCCGAGCTACTCCGACTCGGCTGTAGACTCGGAAGACGATTACATCGACACCGGGTTCACCAGCGACCGCGACCGTAGACCGGGGGACCGAGGGAACTCAGCTGGGACACCAAGGAGTGATCACCGAAAGGGTCAGCCGAGCTCGGCTGACCGCGCCAGTCGAGGATACGATCGGCGTGACCAGACTCGGCGGCGCAGTGACTCCCGTGAACGCCCTTCGTATGGACCTTGTGCTGCCTGCGGTGGTGCGAACCACTCCGTTCACTACTGCCGCCGTCGCTGCAAGTTCTGCAAGCAATTGCATGATGTCGGTCAATGCGAGCTGTTCCAGCGCTATGAGAAGCTCGCCGCATTTGTCAAGTCCAATGTCGACAAGTCCAAGTTACCTGAAGACCTCCAGGACCTCTACACGCCGAGTGATTTAAACTCGGCGGCCCGCCAACACTGACTGGGTTGGATGATACCGGGCTGCCACAGTCAGCTGAGCCAGCAGTAGAGGCGAACTTTGTGTTTGCCTTTGTGGGTGAGGCAGGAAGGCCCGAGAACCGAGCAGAAGACGACGTGTTGGATTGTGAAAGCGATGGACTTGATGGTGAGCTCGGCGAGAGTGGAAAAGAAAGACGAGCAAGATTGTGCAATGCAGTTGCGACTCAACGATCAACGGATGTAACCACAGCCACCAGAGTTATGAAGCTGCTCCTTGGGGAGCGACTCGGCTGGTGGTCGTCACAAAAGTTTGACCGCCGAGTTCGGATGAGAGCTCTCGTTCTGGGAGCAGTGAACGACCAGCGTACAAAGATATTGCTCGACACCGGTGCGAATGTGTCGGCAATAAGCGAAGGGTTCGCGAAGAGGCTGCGGTTGAAGCGGTTCACACGCCAGGACCAACAGATTGGCGTTCAAGGTATTCGGAAAGGCAAAGTGGCGACGATGTCACGAGCGATGGTGAAGGTGACGCTCGGCTGGGAGGTCACGTATGAATTTGAAGTATGGACCCTTGATCACCACGCGGGAGTCGAGTTGATTCTCGGTACGGACTTCATGATTCCGGCTGGGATCCGCCTGAATCTGTACAACTCGGTGGCGAAGTTGCCAGATGAAGTTGTCCTACCTCTCGTGAGGTCCCAGAACTTTGCGGATGAACCGAAGGGCGGCCTCTACATCACAGACGGCCCGACCGAACCGGTGAATCTCGAGAGCCGAGTTCCCGCCGAGTTCAGGCTGATGAGGAATCAACCGAGTGGTGAAACACATGACTTCTGGGTACGCCGGACTAAGGACTGGGTACCGACCGTGGAATTCGACCGGCGTAACCGAGTGGCTCGAGTTCGCCTGACCAACCTTAAGCCGACTTGGACGTGGTGCCCAGCACATTTCCCAGTGGTTGCCTGGGCGTCGCATGGGGTGTTACCGCCCGATGGTTACGTCAGGCTGCACTCGGCGAAGTACAAAGATTGGCAAGTCATGGCCACGAAGCGGCTATGGATAAGGATCTGCTGTAAAAAGAACAACACCTGTACGCCGAGTGGCTGGCTCGACAGCCGTCAGCTGTGGACCGTAGAAACTACCTTGAACCGAAAGGGGTGACTACGTAGCCGTCTACCAAGCAGCGGGATTCGGCACTGACTTGCGCCCAGCAATGGGAGAAGTTAGCCGAGTCGGAGGAGCGAGCCGAGGCAGAAGCAGTCGATAGTCCACCCTTGACTCTGACAGAGCCAGCGAAATCGGCTACCGCTACCTTAGCGCCTGAGGAATTAGCATTGAGCGCGGAGCCTACTGCTACTGGGTCAATGGCCCGCCTAGTCGAGCAGAGATCACAGTGACGGCTGGTCAAGAAGCGCCCAGCCAAAACGCCTGTGCAGCAGATGAGTGTGAAAGTGAGCAATCCAGCGATTTGTCTGACTGGACGATCATCGACGACCCCGGGCCCAAGCCGCCGAGTCCAAGGCTCGAAGATGAGGTCGATGTGAGCGACGAGCCCATGTCGTCAGACCCGGAGGAAGACCTGCGCTTACGTTACCTTCTGGCAGCCAAGTACGAGGAAGAGACAGATGGCCGAGGCGACTCGGCGGGAGACTCAGCCGAGTTCGAGCACCAAGCAACGAACTTGGAGCTCGAAGACTATGCTCGCGAGTTGGCGTTCCTGCCCGATCTGACTGAAGCGGTGTCGACGCCACTCGACTATGAAGCGCCAAACGTTCGGAGCTCGGCGCACACTCGGCCACAGTCTACTCGGCTGGTGGAAGTATTGAAGAGCCATGAAAAGATCATGATCTCCAGTGGTAATGCCCTACCTCCACCAGCATACGGCGTAGTGTGTGACATCGACGTACAGGGGCATCCGCCAATCCGCCAACGAGCCCGCCGAGTTCCGCTGAAGCATCTCGGCAAGTTGTACGAGCTGCTCAAGGCGCTGTTACGGGCTCGGCTAATTGCCTTCTCGAACAGCCCATGGGCATCACCCATCGTGATTGTCCTAAAGAAGAATGGGGTCGACATTCGGTTGTGTATCGACTACAAGCTGGTAAACGCGATTACGTTGCTCATGGAGTATGCCATGCCGCTAGTGGACGATCTCCTCACGGAGTTGGAAGCGTACCTATGGTTCTGCTCTTTGGATGCTGCTAGCGGTTTCTGGGCGGTTATGATGACTCGACGGGCGCGTTGGATCTCGGCTTTTGTTTGCGCGCTTGGCCACTTCGAGTGGCTGCGGATGCCCTTCGGATTAAAGAATGCCCCAATGATCTACCAGCGCCTTATCGATAACGCTTTGTCGGGTTACGTACAACCCAAGAGCGGCTGGAAGGTGTTCGCCAAGCGGAAGCCGCCTCAGAAGCTCAGCGGAAACGGCTCGCAGCCGACATCGACTTTGAAGCCAGTGGCCAGACCAAGTTTGAGGCCGACCGCCGAGCTCAAGCTGAGTTTGACCCATTGGAAGAATTCATTAACAGTCCAGAAGCCGACATGTTCCGGACGGATGAACCTGATGAATCGTGCCTTGCACCCGGTTTTCGACCGGCGATCGTTTTTGGACGATATCTGCTTCGGTGGGAGGACGTTCGACGATTGCTTGGGGACGCTTGACCGATTGCTGCGACGCTTCACTGAATGCCGCATCAGCGTCAGCTTCCCGAAAAGCATCTTCGTCCAACCTAAAGTCGACTTCCTGTCACATGGGGTGACCTCGGCTGGAATCCAAGCCGACCAGAAAAAGATGCTGGCGATAGCCGGGCTACCGTTCCCGACGACGAAGAAGGGGATGCAAGCATTCTTAGGAGCGCTGAACTACTACGGCCGGTTCGTCCAGAACCTGGCTGTATATGGGGCGGTTCTCTATCAGCTGAAGGACGAAGATTTCGGACCCGGCGGTGATCTGACGGCCGCAAAAGCGGCGTTCGCCGAGTTAAAACAGCAGGTGGTCGACGCACCCATACTCCGCCACTTCAACTCGGCTGAGGACATCCACGTTATGCTATTCGCCGATGAGTGGGCTCTGAGTAGCACGCTGATGCAGCTCCACGACGGGAAGCTCCATCCAGTGCGGTTCTGCGGCCGAGTCCTGAAGGATAATGAACTCGGCTACCATCCCGCCGAGAAAGAAGTTCTCGCCTTGCTACAGCTCATCAAGGTGTGCCACACGTTGCTCGCCGGGAAGACCATCCATGTTTACACCTGCTACTCGACTTTCGAATGGGTGTTCCAGTCGAAGTCTCTCTACGGCAGAGCAGTCAGCTTGCGGTACTGCTATCACCGTTCCACCTAAAGGTCAAGCGGGTCCGCGAACGGGACACGGATTTCGCCCAGTTGCTCCAAGCGTCCATCACGCCGGCAGTGGGATTGGACGAGCTACTAACGCATGTCACTCCACCGTCCAAGAACTCGGCTGTGGTCCGCATGGACCCAGAATTGCTGTATGCGCATGTGCCCCGAGACTTCAAGGGACACGTCCTGTCGTTTGACGGATCGGCGCAGACTGCTAAACACAGCGGGTTCGGGAGTTGTTCTTGGATCCTGTGGCGTTTGCCAGACTGGAACATTGAGATCGCTGCGAGCGCGCACCTCCCATCGACCACGGTGAATATAGCCGAGTACACCGGCATGAACAATGGGGTGACCTCGGCCATTG